TCGATTATCGTAAAGAATCCATTTTTCATCACAGGTAATGATTCGGCTTAAAATACCTTCATTATTGTGCCGGTTCAGTAATGTAACGCAGCAGTCGCTGCGCGTTTGCCGGTTTGCTTCAGTCAATTCGTGAGGTACCCATCTTTCAAGCTTTTTAATCTTCCCAATTTGCTTCAAGTGAATTAAAACAGTTTTATCACTAACACCGCAGCCTGCAGCTAACTCGGACGTGGTTTGCGATGGAACCGCTTCCATAATAGCCTTCAATACTTCATTATCAACTTGGGTCTCAGGCCGTCCACGGGGCTTGTTCTGCAGGTCGAAATTTCCAGAACGAAAACGTTGGAACCAAAAACGAACTGTGTTTTCTTTTGCAACATGACCGCCATACACATCATTCACCCTTCGAGTCGTTTCCGCAGCACTAGTGGTTCCACCATGGGAACTCGTACTCGTAAATAATGCGATACTTTAAGTTTTCCGTATTGTAAAATGAGTGACGCAAACAGAAAAAAACAGAAAAAAAAACAAATGAATGACGGTCATCAAAGCACAAATACATGAGTAAATAGCTGTAAAAATTTGAATTTGGAATTCCTTACCAAAGAGGAGATCATCGTGATTAAAGTGGCCAGTACGAAATACACCAATTTCATATGTAAGGACCTAAAATATATACGTGGAATGCATTGATATACAAAAAACCCAAGATGCACACTCAACGTCAAAAAAACGTCCTCAAAAAATGAGCGCAACATTCTAAATTGTGCGCTCATTTCAAATAGTCTCGCGTCTACAAGTGGAGTCGATGTTATTTATTTGTGTTTTTTTTATAAATAAATTTATGTACTCTTGAACTTCTTTGTGTGTAGTTTTTGACAAATATATTTACGCTATATAAAGTGTGGGTCAGGAGGTAGCCAATTTAACATTTTTTTTAATTTAAAGAAAAAAACTTTTTAACCGGATTAAAGTTATGTATTATTATAAATTGACAACTATTTAACATCCAACACCTTTTGTCTTCAGTCACCGTAACCACTCACGCTGTAAAGCACCCGAAAAGTCGGATAAATTTAAAATTATGTTAAATAGTTGTAAATAAAAAAGTCATGTTCGACTCCACTCAATACCTTGTCCTACCGACCACGGTCGGTCGTAAAATTTTATTGCTTTAAGTACGTATACGCTGCGTTGTAATAACAACTTTAAGCAATTCGCGTAAGGTTGATTTTGCAATAATATATGCTTGTAACATATACTGTTATGGACAGAAATATTGTTTCGGGACACTTTCGAGCGTTACTTTTATATGAGACTGTGCATCTTGGGTTTTTTGTATATCAATGGTGGAATGCTTCTAATTTTACATTTACTGCCAGTTCTCAAATCAAGGGCGTAGAACGGAAGAGTAGAACTGGCAATAAACTCTCCGCCACCCTTTTTAATCATCAAGCTTTTTGTTATACACAACGTTTGTAAGGAGCTGCAACTATAATAAATAATAATAAAATAAATTAAAAACAAAGATTTGTCCTCTATCAGCAGGAGACATGGTGAAATAGGAGCACGTAGGTACTTACATTCTCGTGGGAACAACACGCAAATACGTAGTCAAAATAACTTACATCACCGCATACACGAATTCAAGTATGACAGTCACCACAAGTAGCACCCGTTCAAGAGTATGTCGCATCAGGGATGGCCAGCCATCGGCCACCTTGCCATATTTTAGGGAGAGAGAACCCGACGTACTTGGTAAAAATAGTAGTAATTATTTATCAATTTCGACATCGTTACTAATTCACACTTATAAGAATTGACCATAAAGCCTTAATACCCGAGAGAATAATTACTGTTATCTATTGTCGCAATTACTTCATTGTTAATTGGTAATAATTGGTTTAATTTAGAAATGGCGTGCGCTCATTAGATGCCACAGGCCATCTCGTACTATATGCAAGTTCACATATAAAAAATGGCAATTATTAAATTATGGCAGAAAACCAAAAGGAACCTTGAAACCCGTTTACATATCGGGTTTATCTATGAAATCTATTCTTTAGTTTTTGGTTTCCGTAAGTTAAATTGAAATAAATTCTTACAAAATTATAGAACTCCACGTTACAAGTGAGATATTCTTTTTAATACATGAAATAATTTGGGGAACTAAGCTACAACTACCGCCTTCGAAAATGTACGATTACAGGAATTGTCCGTGAAGTGTGTAAATCACTGTGGAAAAAGTTGGTTAAACAAGTTATGGCCGAACCAACTAAAGATTTCTGGAAAAAAGCTCAAGAATTTGAGAGATATGCGAATTTTCCAAATTGGATTGGTGCTATAGACGGAAAGCACATCCGAGTTATAAATATTAAGAATCCTGTCGATTCGGGATCATTGTATCATAACTATAAACATTTCTTTTCTATAGTGCTCTTAGCAGTTTGCGACGCCAACTATTGCTTTACTTATGTTGACATTGGGGCTTATGGCAAAAGCAGTGATTCCGCTATATTCAAAAATTCTTTATTTTATAAACGACAGATAGAACAATCATTAAATTTACCACAACCTAAGCCAATACTTATGTAGATTCAACACCATGGCCTTATGTTATAGTTGGAGATGAAGCCTTCGGTTTATCCGAAAATTTAATACGACCATATGCAGGAAAATGTGTATCACATGAAAAAAGGATTTTTAACTATAGGTTAATTTAAATTAAAATTAAAAAATCATTTAATCATATAAGTAACACATTGTACACTTATGACTTGTCAGTAAAGAAATACATAATAATGTTTCTAATTTTACATTTAGTGCCAGTTCTCAAATCAAGGGAGTAGAACGGAAGAGAAGAACTGGCAATAAACTCTCCGCTACTGTTTTTAGTCGCCATTTTTTTTTTACACAACGTTTGTAAGGAGCTGCAACCATTAAACCATGTTCCACATGACATCTTAAGTAATTATTAATAATAACATAAATTAAAAACAAAGAGTTGTCCTCTATCAGCAGGAGGCATGGTGAAATAGGAGCACACACTTACATTCTCGTGGGAACAACACGCAAACACATAGACCATAGTCGAAGTTATCGAGAGCCCGACATTACATTGAGTGCACTTTTGGTATATTGGCTAACAAATGGCGTATCTTTAAAATGCCTATAAATGTAAACAGTCTTTGCCGAAGACATAATAAAAGCCTGTTGCGTTCTACACAACTATGTGAGGACTAGAGATAGTATAAAATATAATGATACGTTATATACTACGAGTGTGAGTGACTGTAGCCAACGGTTCTTAACACAACGCGGTTTTACGCTTTGTTATTGCTTACTTAGTACTTTTCGCATTTAATATTTATCATGAGAAAACCACTTTTTATGAATCAAAGGAAGATACTATTTGATTAATTGGTATTTTATTAATCTCTATTTGATATCAATGGAAAGAAATTAGTATTATTTCATCACCTCACTGCTGTGAATCACTCACTAGTTGTTATTTAGTTTAGCTATTCGTTCCTAGATGGAGCCACGGCTGCTGACACAAAATTTAATTATCTATAATAATATGTAAATTGTTTATTGATACCATAAATCTTATTTTGCTATCTACCGCTAGATGGCATACCGCACGTAACCTAAGTGACGTTTAAAAATTAACACGTGGTTATCGTATTTGTTTAGTTATTATTTTTGTATTTAACGTAAAATATAATCGTTATCATTTTGGACTTAAGGGAAGGTCACTCGGTCTAGGAAGCAATTGCACGTTTTTAATAAAAAATATTATGTAATATGGTAGATAACGAGTAATCTTAAATAAACTACTTACTACATTATAAAAAGAAAATAAAAAAACTATCAAATAAACAGTACGTTCTGGTTTGTACCCACGTATAAATAATGAATACTTTTAACAATACAATTATTTTGAGTTTTTCCTATTAACAAAGATAGAGAGAAAGTAAAAACTAGATTACAACCATCTTAAAAAAATTACATCATTGTCAACGTATCTTGCCGTATTAATAATTTCATTTAAGTAGCTATTGTCAGGTTAATAATATAAAACCACTTAAGTGAGTTGTTATTCAATTAAAACCAGTTTTATTATCCTGAATATGCTAGATTATTCTTAAAGACAATGAACTTAAAATTAAACGGCATCGTGTTATGCCTAAACGTTAGGAAAAAAACTGAGTAAGCCTGAGGGCAACGTCCGAAATCCAAATCGAGTTTTCGGTTCACCGAAACAGACAACACATCACAAGACATCTAAATAAATAAATAAAAATAAAAGATATAAAATCAAATTATGTTTTACCCATGTGTTTACATTTTAAATAGTATATAGCTTCGGTGTCCAGTATTTTTGTCAACGGCGTGTATCTAGTGTATAAATAAAAAAATTGTATCAAGACAATCCATGAGAAATGGATACGCTTTAAACGACAATCAAAACAATGACGTGACTAGGTATACTATTATGCATAATAAATAAAGTTGTATCAATAAGTAATGGCATCAGGCGTAAATTCTAAACTGACCTTATTAATATTATCTTGACACCAATAACAAATGAGTAAAATTTTTGGAATGTTTCCTTATAAATATAGGTTATCGTAATAAATACTATTAAAACATCTTAAGACAACTCATCTATTCTAAATTCACCATGCGCGACGGTCAAGTGGAGCGACAAACCTAACCCCCACACAGACAAATCTGTTCACATTACAGACATTTAAGTTGTTCTTGTGTTTATTTACGTCCATCGTATTGTTTGTATACAGCCCGGCGCGACTGCGCATCTGTCTACGTCATACCTCTTTACCCCGCACCCCCTCTGAGACCCGCTATTCCTATACCGGGGTCGGGTCGACTCACTCCGCACACTCGCTCATTCATTGGACATTCGCAAACGTAGGTGGACGTAGTCAGAGAGAATCGATTTCTCGTGTCATAATAATTTACTATCCTTCAACGCTATGTTGAAAGAGACCACCCGCTATGATAGCCGTAACACTTCACAAGAAGAGAGGCGTCCGTTAGCGGCAAGTCGTTTACCAGCTATCGAAGAGCTCACACTTGGCTTAAAGCAAAAACTTCACCTGCAGGCTCGGACAAGAGCTGCACCTTATTATATTAGAAAGCAAGAACCAGTTGATCTCGTGGAAAGGTTACTAGAGCAACGTGCCCTTGTCGCCGAGGCTGTGCGAAGATTACAGGAAAAGAAACAACCGTGTCATGAAATATCAGTAGACTCATAATTTATTTATGTTATTTAAACAAAACATTTTAGTTGTGAAAGTGTGGAACGTGTTGTGAAATCGTTTGTGTGTAAGAAACGTGTCGGGTTACAATGGTGCTATATGCGGAGAGCATGCGAGAACGAGATGGCTGATTGTGACGTGTCCACGCACGACACGAATCACGAGAATGAACCAAAATGGCCGCCGGTATTCTACAATCATAATATTTATTCTTCGTTCTATAGTGACCTTAACTGATCAAAGTACTGAATGACGTAACCTACGTTTAGGATTGTAATACTGTTTTAAATGATTTTTACGTTACGTTATGTTATTTTATACTGTGACAATTACTGTAAGCAAAGCATTTCCAAATAAGATGATTAACATTATGATACCAACATTTATAAATGTGAAGTATTTACAAGCTTTAAATTATTGTTTCCCTATAGATTTATTGTAAAAATAATTACTATTGTAATAAATATGACTAATGTTTACTTATAAACATTTCACTTCAATCAATATTTGCATAATAATTTTATCATAACATTTATAACAAAATGGGGCAAAACAATACTTAATTCATCTTAAATATTTCAATATTATGCGACTTGTTCCGTTATCACTTTCACAACAACTGTAAACATAACAGTACATATTAAAAGTGTTTATAAGTACAGCTATTTCCTCGCATGCTATATTAGGAAATTTTCGCACAAGGGCGATTTATCTATAGCAGATATAAAGCATTTTCCATTCCAGATTAATGTTTACTGGATAGATGGTATATAGTGTCCTAATTGCTTAATTTAGGAAAATTTAGAAAATATTTCAATAACTATTATCAGATTATTATATATAGATTTTAGAATGTCTAAACTCTTTAATAATTATTACTCTGTATATGTACAATCGTACCAAACAGGTATAAAAATTGATGTAATATTACATGTGTGCATGTTTTAGTGCATTTTGTGATTTTAGATAGTTTAATTTATCGTGGATCTTGTGATTTAGATAAGTAAAAAGGTTAAATAAATTAAATGAACTTAAAAATTAAAAGATGTGTTTATTTAATACTTCCTTGTCCGTTGAAGTTGCTAACAAAGCTGTGTAGAACAATACTTATTTTATTAAATATTATGAGTAATATTACGTAATCGGTCGTTGTAAAATAGTTCTAATAAAATAATAATGCATATTAGTTATATCATCATAATTGCAAAATATATCTCATACTCCAATATTTTTGTGTTTGGTGGTGTATCATTCAAAATTATTGCATTTTTTGTTTTTTAACCAGTAAAAGATAGGATTGATTGACATACGCGTGCAAAGTTTATATAAATTAAACAATGAATGCTCCACAAAAATTGGTATTATAAGATGTGAATTTAATTGATACAAATATTAAAATACTATTAATTTTATAAATTTAAAAAACCCTTTAAAACCATTAATTTTTCAACCCAACGCCATCTCTTATCGAGTAGAACTTTAAATTGTAAAATAATATGAAAACAATCATCTGTCAAAAAATGTCAATGGTTTGAATGTATTTTTTTATTACGTAAAATGTATCAGCTAAATGTGAGCCGATGCTAGCCGCTTGGCAATATGACCTTATTTTACTTTGCGTAATCGTATTTGAAAATAAAAACTGATTACGATATATAACAAACTAAAAAAAATAATATAACATATTTTATTCGCAGATGTAATAAGTCTTCGCTAGTATATAATAAAAGTTGGCTGTTTTTTTATAACTTAATAACTGTTACATAGTACTTTTATTTTATGCATTAAATTCACTGTTTAGTCTGTTAACTCGTCAATCATCATGAATTATTGTTAAATATCTGTCATCTTGAAGTCACAGACTACCTTTGTAGTTGGTATTCTTAAGTTTGAAATGTTAAAACAAAATATTATTATTATTTTTAAATCACGTAAAGTAGCATAAACCTTTTAATTGTTCTTAATTTTTCAACATATTATTTATTACGTGACCGTGTTAACATTTGTATTCAACTGCGACCTTTCCTTGGGTACGTAAGTGACATTTCACATTATCAATAATCCTATTTTGCGATTAACAGACGATTATTAAGTATTTCGTGTTAAGTATCCTATTTCATGCAACAGCCAACAATCATCAACAGGCAAAAGTTAAAGCATCAGTCGTAATAGTAGTAAGTATAAATTTATTATGAAAATACTTTATTATATGTATTTGTCTCTGACAATGATATTGTTATATTATGTATTATTGTTACAATAAGATTATTCATGCTTTATTTACAAGAGCTCCTCAATAGCTCACTTTCTAACGCAAAGCACATTTGGGAACTTTATAGAAACTAGAATGCACAGATTCATTTGGAAAAAACACATGAATTTGAAATCCCTGGTTAAATAAAAAAAAACCATGTTGAGAAAATAATACAATTGACATTGAAATAAACATACTTTACTATACAAGATATAAAATAAAGCTTTAAGTATCTTATCATAATTACTTCCAAGGGTGGATCTTTCTATTTAAAAAAAACCTTTTATGTCATAATTTTTCTGTTTGGTGGCTTGTTTATTTAAATTTTATTGTTTTACCTTACAATATATATGAAAGCAAACATTGCATAATAATTGATTGCTCATCTATCTATATCATACATTATCTTATCATTGATGATTAAAGCAGTTGCTTAGTTGCTACATTATAATTATTGATAACATTCAGTTTTCAAGTGACCTTCAAACAAATATGGCTGCTTTTTGGTCTATGGGTCCTCTAACTCTTGAAGTGCCTATGTCTTTGTTTGCCAAAAACCGACAGAGACTCGCAGAAAAACTCCAAGAAGGTCAAGTTGTACTATTACAAGGTGGAGAAGATATCAGCCACTATGATACTGATATACAATATGTTTTCAGACAGGTAAGTTCTAGATAGCAGCTGATTCATATTCAATATTTGAATTACCAATTTATATGATACTGTTTTAATGTTGAAAAACATTTAATGATTCTATAATCTATGGAAATTGTTTTGTGCTAGTAATATAAGATATTACAGATTTTTATAGCACTAACCAGCAGTGTTGTTCACCCTGTTAAAAAACCTTAAATGTGATAAACCTCTTATTTCTCATGTTAAAGCTAAGTAGCATATTAGGGTCATTAAGGGTTTATATGAATGTAAAACAAGACAAAACATAGGAAAGTGCATGGTAGTAACACCATACTACTTTTTTTTATTTTAAAGTAGCAGTAGCAAAAATTCTATTTTACTACACATATACTAAAACTTTTTTATATCTATTACAGGAAGCATACTTCACTTGGATGTGTGGAGTTAAAGAGCCTGGGTGCTATTTAGCACTAGATGTCAAAACTAAAAAGGCACATTTATTTGTCCCGCATTTGCCAGATGAGTATGAAGTGTGGATGGGAAAACTGCTCACTTGTGATCAATTTAAAAAAATCTATGCTGTTGATGAAGTTCATTATGTTGAGGATGTAGGTAACTTTATATTAAATTAAAAAATTAAAGTATACAGACACAATTAACATATCTACATAAATTTCCCGTATATGGAACTCTTTCGTCAGATGTGAATAATAATAAAATTGTGATAATTTTAACCCAGTTTTGTAATGAAGGAAATATATAATATTTTTTGCATATTTGTTTCAGATTGCAAAAGTATTAAAATCGCTGAATCCCGAAAAACTGCTGACACTTGTAAGTAACTGTAACATTTATCAATGTCTTCACCTTAAAATTTCTTGACCAGTTTTTATGAATAATTAATATTTATATAATTAATAATATATAATTATATTGGGTTATTCTAAAGTTATTTTTTTTGTTGTAACTTAATTGCACTTTTTAAACAGAAATGTTTAGTTGAAATGAAAATGAATTAAAATAATGGCCCTTGAATGTAATAAATAGAGCTGTTATAAATTATTTTTTAAGTGGTTCAATATTTGTAGAGTGGTCCCAATACAGACAGCGGTCTAACAGCAAAGGAAGCGGTGTTTGAAGGAATCGATGAGTAAGTCACGTTTTACTAAAAAAACTTTTACTTGAATAGTATGTTTAGACTGAAGTTTAAAGAGTGAATTGTTACATATAATTTTTTAAGTACTGTAATGTAACATTTAATTTCAGGTTTACAGTCGACAATGAAATATTATTCCCAACTATTGCTGAGCTGTAAGTACATAATACTGATTCTAATAAGGTCTTACCACAAACTTTACAATAGTTCCTACGAACATATACAATTTGCATTCCCGCGTAAATAGAAATTTTGACATCTATTGGAATAACGCTTTTTTGATGTTATAAACATGAAGTGTCATCTGTCAAATGTCATCATATTGAGTTATAACAAGATTTTTGAAGTTATACTTCTTTAGGCGCGTTATGAAAAATTAATGAAAGTGAAATTTTACGATACGCGCGCACCGTGACACAAAATTAACAGAATGAAGTTGCCCACGGAAGATGCTACGGCATTGGACATAATTTAAAAACAACATTCGAATAATAATAGAATTTATGTTACACTTAATGTAAGAGAATAATAATAAATATTTATTTATTTAATTTTTCAAATGTAAACTGAACTTTATTGACTATAATGACTCCTTTTCCAGTCTTTGATTATTTAATTGTAATTAATTATTTGCATGCAATCAAAAACTATTTTTAATAATGCCAAAGAAGTATAACTTCTTACGCGCGTACACGCACCCTTTTTTTCATTGTTTCGTTGCCTGTTAAAATAAATGTGTCAAAAATCATAGGTCTGTACTTCCAATAGCGATTCCGAATTCCAAAATATTGTAGGTATTGCATACAAAAATTTGTATAGCTATTGAAAGTTACAGAGTTTGGCTGAAAAACTTAATAAAATAATTTCACTATGTTTAAATCCAGGCGAGTAATAAAAACACCCGAGGAGATTGAAGTGATGCGATATGTGTGCAAAGTTTCGTCGGATGCTCACAAGCAGGTATGTAGTCTTAAATCCCCATACAGCCTTCCTTGTAAAGCCTAGAACTGGCCTAGAATTGTTTACATTTTGTCGACGTTCCTAAGGATACGTTGTGTAACCTATATCTTTATGTAATTCAACTGTACGTGTTTATTTCACTGAACTCCTATTAAACGGCTGGACCGAATTGAATGAATATTTGGATTATTTAAATTCACAAGCAGCCCGGCAGATGGTGCTGCAGTCAGTACTTTGAGACTTTGTTTAAAATTCTAATCGCTTGAAATATCATGCAGGACAGCATCTGTCGGGTACGCTAGTGTCCATATAATCTTTGTGATATACAAAGACGAATCATGTGTGTGAGTTATTGTACTTTATTGTTTAATAAAATTTCTTAGTCTTATTTAAACTTCTGCGGAATAGAAATGGGAGACATTAAGGGTCTTTTTCACAAATTCGTTGGCCAGCAGTGTTGGCCGTGCGACTCCCTTATACCTGAAAGTCGACGGCGGGTATCAGTCTCAGGAGGCTGTTCACCTACTTGGCTAGTAGATTGCCAAATGATGATGAAATAAATCTGGGGCCTGAACTAAAAGGCTTTTTTTCACAATTTGTTTAGTCTCAAAGAATATTACTTTTCTCGGGAATCTATCGTTAAACCATTAAATCAAGCGCGCGTTGCGGTGGTAACATATTTTTGTTTTATATATTTAAAGAACTTTACATATGTGAATGAAAAACAATAAAAATAATGGCCTTTTTATTTAAAGGTTATGCTATACGCCAAGCCGGGGCTAAAGGAATACCAATGCGAATCAGTGTTTCTGGATCATTGCTATCGCATAGGCGGGTGTAGACACGTGTCGTATACCTGTATCTGTGGTTCGGGACAGAATGCAGCGACTCTGCACTATGGACACGCGGCTGCGCCCAACAGCAAGATGATACAGGACGGTGATCTGTGGTAAGTTGTCTATCGAATTGCGATTATTGTTTGACTTTTTTTTGTCACGCTATGTAATATGTACAAAACTGCTATACTTATACCTATATAATGCTACATTAACAGGGAATAACATAGATTATGAAACATTGCGATTAAAATAATAATATCAAAGAATATTTATTAGAATGATAATGTATTTGTTCTTTGGGAGCGTTCAAGTATTACGTAACGATTTTTTTTGTCTTGTATAACGTTACGATGCAGAACGGGGATTAAATTACGCGTTATTCTTAATATTATTTTCGACTTTCCAGTACTTTACACCAGATAGTGCTAACTTTTAGGTATAAAGAGTCACTGGGTGGTCAAAAAACGTTTTACTATTGGGTACAGAAAAACGTTACGGCGCATTACATGGGGGAGGGGTCAATAATCTCCAAAAATTGCGTGACGTAATACTTGACCGTTCCCTTTGGTATTACTACTATCACTACTAGTACTATTTGAATTTCGTTTTTGATAGTAAAATGGCTCAAAAGGAGTTTGAAAGCGTGTTTTTTTATCATGCCTGATACTCATATCATACCTGATTACTGCCAGCATTTTTGATTGATAGCTAGTGTACTTTTTGTTACTTTTACTTAAGAGATGATGTCAGCGGTTTTTAAAAGTAAAACTTAAATGAGCTTCATTTATATTATTTATAATACATTCTAATTATTATAGCCTGTTCGACATGGGCGGTAACTATGCGGGTTACGCCGCGGACATAACGTGCACTTTTCCCGCGAACGGAAAGTTCACGGAGGACCAAAAACTTGTATACGAAGCCGTACTGTTTGCCAGAGACGCTGTTATTAGGTAATTTTGTTAAAGTTTCATTCAAAATTTCATCAGCATCACCTTGATGGCTGGAAGTCTACTATGATCCGCTTCACAAGACACCTTCTGCAAACCAGCGAACTATGGAATTTACTCCCTTCCCTGGGAGATCCGACCTCCAATTCTTTAAAGAAAGAGTATACTCCTCCCTCAAAGGTTTCCATGGGCTTCTATGCCCCCTGCCCCTTTTTGGCGTCCATTTTGGAGTTGGTTGGCTCGTTTGGCCCCTTTTCCTTTAAAAAGGCATTGAAGTGGGGTATTATCGCAATGTAACATAGGGCAAACTCATTTTGTCATTTATATGACAAATGTCAAATGACGTCAGAATAATTTAATTTTGAAAATGTAAATTTTTGTTGTGTTTACCTGTATTATTTATTTTTAAAGTTTTTTTCCTTGTGTTTTAAAAGTATTACTGTTGTTATCATTATGTTTTCCATGTAAAATCGTAACCATAAAAATAAACACAGTAAGGTACTATGTTTAGTCCATGTTTTGTAATAAGGATATATTAACGTTTAAAAGTTGGTTTAAATAATATTGGATTAAAATGAATTACTATTACAGAGAAGCGAAACCGGGTGTGCTATGGACAGACATGCATTTAACAGCAAATAGGAGTATGTTGCAGCATTTAAAGGATGGCGGGTTACTTTTTGGAAATGTCGAGGAAATGATTGAGGTATTTTTTTTTATATTATTTAAATTAAATTTTATGAACAGCGTTAGGCTTTAGGGAGCGTTCAAGTATTACGTCACGCAATTTTTTGAGATTCTTGACCCCCCATGTAACGCGCCGTAACGTTTTTCTGTACCCAATAGTAAAACGTTTCGTGACCACCCAGTGACTCTTTATTACTAAAAGTTACCATTATGTGGTGTAAAGTACTGGAAATTTGAAAATAATATTAACAAATAACGCGTAATTCAATCCCCGCCCTATATCGTAACGTTTTACGAGAGCACTGCACCACATAATTGTAGTCTATGGAAATGTTGCCAAAATAACGCCATCTAGTGAGCGGCATATTGCAAATGTTTGTTTGGAATTTATTTCGCACCTTAAAATTGATATTGCCTTACAGAACGGCGTGGCCGCGATTCTCCAACCGCACGGTCTGGGCCACCTGATCGGCCTGGATGTGCACGACGTGGGGGGCTACTTGCCTCATTGCCCCCCTCGGCCCTCGGGACCCCTCGCCCGACTTCGTACTGCCAGGCGACTGCAGGCGGGCATGGCGCTCACGATCGAGCCTGGGTGTTACTTCATAGACAAGGTTAGTGTAAAAGATTTTGAAAATGCTTCTTTCAAATCATATCTCTTGACAGAAGCAAATTATTCCCAATTGTATTATTTAGTTTAAATTTGTTTTTTATACATTATCGAACCTTAAAGAATAATTGTTTGTTTAGATGAATTATTTTAAAATAGAATGTTTTCTCTCTTATCATGTCAAAGTCAAAAATAATTTATACATATAGGTAACACAATGTACACTTATGAACGTCAAAAAATAAATATACATTAAAATTAAATGCTTCTAATTTTAAATTTACTGTTAGTTCTCAATCAAGGGCGTAGAACGGAAGAGAAGAACTGGCAATAAACTCTCCGCCATTCTTTTTAATCTCCAAGTTTTTTGTTTTACCCTGTACCCTTTTGTGAATTTTTTTTTCAGCTATTAGACCGAGCCCAATCAAACCCATCCCAAGCGCGTTTCTTCAACTGGCCCCGCGTGGAATCGTTCCGCGGCTGCGGCGGAGTCAGGATCGAGGATGACGTGCTCATCACGGAAGACGGGGTGGAGAACCTCACCTTCGTACCGAGGACGTAAGTGTAGTGATGATCCTAAAATATGTCTTTATTTTTTATATTTAATATAGATTTTATAGTACGACCATTTAATTACAATAACAAATCGTCAATTTAGACTGTCCAGTTGTTCTAGCGCCATCTATTGATATGAAAAGTAAAATTTTCCTTAACAAGGTAGGACTATAGATATTGTTATCACATCTTGAAATAGCATAATAGATGGAGTAACCAAGTCAAAACACATTTTGTGTACTTTAACAATTAAAAAAATTAATTGTATAAAATGTTTCTTTACAGCGTTGCAGAAATCGAAGAACATATGTCTATGGGTGCCAATTTCAAGTCAATTTAATTATATAGAAATAAGAAAAACAATTGCATGTTTTGTATATTTTAATCATGTTTTATATCATTTTATTTGTTTTTGTTATATTAAATATTTACACTGTTGACTCTTTGTTTTTATCACAATTTGAATTAAGCAACCAAATTCTTTATGAATAAATAACAAATCTTATAATAATAATATCACAATATATTTTATTAATAAAAACTCTTAAGCTACGAAAACTTGCAAGAATAAGTAGAAACGTCTAGATTTTTTTCTTAACTGCATTCATGCAAATTTTTTTGAAAGTTGAAACTCAAATATAAATTTAATAAAAAAATGTGGGCAAAGTGAGGAAAAATATAACTATAGGTGGAATGCCAATAAGTAAGCTATAATTCACCTATCATATCTTATGAACATGATAAATAATGGAAACCATTCAAAACTGAACCTATTTCAAATCAACAAAACTTTTTTTTAAATCTTCGAATGCATGTTATTTTAGCCAGTATTAACAGTACTTCGCAAACAGATTGTAAAAAAAACCTTCCATACAATTTCTATACTATGAGTAACTTTTGTATGTATTTAAAATAATGTACGAACTATTAAGTAAATTTTTACTCTGCTACAATTTTATCTATTCTATAATAAGTTAACTTTTAAGAGTAAAAAAATAGTAAAAGAATTAAAGGTGAGTTAAAACAATGAGATAAGACCACTTTTGTGCATTTTTCATTGCATTACAAGATATAATGTGCCAATAGTATCTATTATGGCTTCCTATGTACAATTACATATACCGTAAATAATTTTTAATTATTTGAGGTAGTCTAATCAAATCTAAAACATTTAAAAACTGTTGTGTGGTAAACCGCTTTGTTCTCTTCCTTAAAAGTGATCTAATTTTTACCCGGCATAAATGCTTCAAAGGTAATGGTGTGAATGGTAGGATTTCTGCAGTGGTTCCTTCCTTAAATATACCTATCATTGATAAGATTTGGTCTTGAACCTAAAACAACAAAATTTTTATATATTTCTCAAACATAAGTAATGGTAACTTTTTTAGTTTCATTATTTAAAAAAAATTACTACAAAGGCCCAATTTTAGTGATCATATACACTTACACTTGGTGGTATCCTTCCTAGAATACCATTATCACAGGCAAATTTGAGCAAAAAGCCTGGTTCACCGTAAATACTGTATGGCAACATAATTGGTATGGTTGCCGGATCTGAGGTCAGTGATGCCAAGAATGCATCAGGCACACATTTCTCTGTATTTATACATGAATTGGCACTACAATAGTCCACATTGCAGCCATGTTCTCGGAGTATACTAAAAACCTAAACAATATGCATGTAAGTCGTAGGTATTTGTTGTGAGATAATTAATATTTAATACCATTAATAAAACTGGTATTGTACATTACAATACTAACTTACCTCTTCAAAACACACAGAATGCATGCAATAGTGAATGTAAACCAGTGGTGGACACTCATTTACATCCAATGCATCAACTGCTAAACCTCTCATAAGAAATAAAAGGAAAAACTCTTTAAATTTCTCAGGCGAGGTACTATATATGTATTCACAGATATTCAAATATGAATTGATTGGAGCATTTGTCAAGTATGTAGGCCTTAAATCTCCAATTTTTTCTAAAGTGACATGAAATTGCTCTATAAAGTCAAAGAATTCTGGACCCAAGTTATGCATAAGAAGACTCTCCAATATTTCAAACTTAAAATAATGAGGCTTACATGCATATAAAATTATGTTCTGATCTATTTTGTTAACATCCATGACGGATAACAATGTTTTAAAGATTGTACTATAACCCATGTTTAAAGAAACTGTTAAGGCTAAATCTCCATACTGATTTTTAATATGAGGATCAGCTCCTTTCTTTAACAGAAATTTTACAATGTCATCATTGCATCCTTGTGCAGCAAGAATCAATGCGCTATCACCATTGACAGTTAATTGGTCAATCTCAGTAACAAATGGGTACAAACTATGCACTATTTTCAAGCAGCCCTTATAAGAAGCCAAGTGAAATGGAGTATAATTTGCTTCATTTCTTATTTCTGGATCTGCACCAGCATACAATAGTGTTTCTGCAGCTTCATATTGCAAGCCTAAAGCAGCATCATGTAGAGGAGTGTCACCATCAAAGTCTTGTACATCAAGCATAGCTCCATAATCAATTAAAAGCTGTATTACCTCAACTCTTCCTTGTCCACAACTAACATGCAAAGGTGTTACACCCTCAGTACTACCGTAGTTTGCAATATCTGGTACATAATCCAGCAAAGTCTTAATTGTTTTGAGAGAACAAATATGACGACAGGCAAGATATAAGGCTGTATGGCCTTCATGAGTTTCAACTAATGGCCTAGTGTCTGGATGTTTTAAAATGAGCAATAAGCTTTCATAACTATCATTAGCAGCAGCTTCGTGAAGGCAGGTCCATCCCCTGTTATCGATACAATTTGGATTAATCTTTTTGAGTAACCTTTTTACGCCTTGCACATCGTTATTTCTTGCGGCAAGGTTTAAGGAATTTGATGTAATCGGATTCAAAGAGCTAAAATCCATTTTTCTTCGTTTCGTAGCTCATTGACCCCCTTATCTCCTATATTGTCCGTAAACGTTGCGATTCAAGAATTTGATTTTAAATTATCACACTTCACCCAACTTAACTTTAATGTATTGTTAATTTTGTTTCCTATTAGTGGCTCATTCACAAAATAAAGTGTAAATTGTAAAATACTAATAACAATTAACAAGTAACAACATTCATGATTCAAATCATGATTTCTTAATTGTTTATATAGAAATGATTCAAATTCAAGTCTGCATTTTTCAACTTGTGTTGAAAGCACAGACTACGAAGTGAATATATTATAAATAATAAATATAGTAATCGCCAAAACCAGCAAAACTGCATTCTAAAAATATTTTTTTCAAAAGTTAGCGCTTAAAATTCGCTGTCTTACCTGCCTAGTAGACCAGTGCAGATAGCCTTTAAAATAAATAAAAAGTGAAAAAAATTACAGTAGGATGAAACCTATTAGAAAAGCAGGGGAATATGATCAAAATGAAAGGAAAAAAAAAGGGTGCGTGTACTTATGTACGCGCGTAAGAAGTTATACTTCTTTGGCATTATTAAAAATAGTTTTTGATTGCATGCAAATAATTAATTACAATTAAATAATCAAAGACTGGAAAAGGAGTCATTAAAGTCAATAAAGTTCAGTTTACATTTGAAAAATTAAATAAATAAATATTTATTATTATTCTCTTACATTAAACAAATAAAACCCTATTTATCTTTAAAACATTTTTATTTCATTATACTATTTATTTTTAAGTGACTCTAATGTCTTCATCAGGATTTCGGTTTGTAATTTTAAATTAATCATTACTTGGTTGTGCATCTACGAGGCTTCTCCAAAACTAAAACTACTACTTGCTTTCTGCAACAAATAAGAGAATATTAATTTAAGCTCTGTCCATGCAAAACTTAAAAAATTGTATAATTCATATTATAAAATTTTTAACACATTTATATTAATATAATTATATAAATGTGTTAATAATATAATTTGTAGCACATGCTACAGACCTGGATAGCAACTTTCTTTTATTCTATTTAGAGATAGAGATAATTTAAATATAATACCGGTGTCTTCCTTGTAGGTTTCTTTTGAGTTGTTTGGGGATTCTTGTTGTTCAGTTCGACATGATTTTCTTTAACCTTTCTTTAATCCTACAAAATAATGAAATTGTTAAGTTATGTTGTCACTGTTGTGCACACCTTTGTTTGGCTTTTTTAGTATTCAAGTTATGTCAAAACTGATTTATTACCTTGTCATTGTTGGCTTTATTTGCTTTTGGGATAGCAATTGTTTCCAAAATGATTTTATTTGTAATATCCTGAAATATATAAATAACATATATTAATTTAAGTATCATGGTGAGTGGTTCGCACTCAGGTATTAAGGTGTATTATACCCACTGTCCATTATAAGTGGGAATGGGCTCACATCTGGCTGGATAGAGTTTCGGTACTACAAGAGCAACATGGATGTTTTGAGGTATTACAATAACTCTAACTACCCTGTAGGGGAATAAAGTATGTGCCTATGCTTGAGAGGTTGAACCTTGAACATCACCATCATATTTATAATTAACATTCCTACCTCGACACCATCACAATCAAATTCATTGAAATCTACTTCAAACCGTTGCGGTATCATCTCTGCCATATCCATTGTGTCTGGAGAAGGTGATGGTGGCTTTGTTCAACCTCTAGTTTTTGATGTTTCACGGCGATAAGATGACAACTCTTTTTTTGTATTCAATTTAGTGCACTTCCACTGATTCATCAATTGTTTTTTGTCTCTTGTCCTTATATTTGCTAGATTAAATCTGAAAAATTACATGTTTTGATTAAATAATGTAATCATTTTTTTGAGATACAGGTACTTATTAAAATGTTTACTTCTCTGTAATATCGCTCCAAGCCTTCATTTTCTCCTTATTAGTATTCGTGCTTAAATCTTTGTTCTCAATTATTGATATATAGGGTCGTAGAATATTTCTAAAAAGTTGCTGTAACAAACGCAATAAACAAAAGCAATGAATAATGGTTCATGTTTCAGTTTTAATCAACAATAATACTCGATAATACATACGGATAGTTAACCTCAATTGTATTGAAGCACTCAGGAAGTTTGGCACAGTTTTTTCACAAATATTTTATCATATTAATTAGTATTGATTTAGATATTCAATTTAAATCACTTCTGATTATAATTCAGACGCACATATAAAATTCGCACTTGTATAATGAACATTGAAAACAACTAGGTACTTATATAATCTTTTATTTTAAACAATAATTCAAACTCCTATATTTGTTTAAAAGGTTAATGTCATTGTCAGATGTCAATTGTCATGGTCATTCAAAATTCTTGTTAAGCAGTGCTAAGCTAAGAAATAGAATATGCGTGAAGTTAGCTTCACGCATATTCTATTTCTTTTTCTTGTAGATTGCGCACGCTATAATCACACTCCCAATTTTGTGTCATAGGTGCGCGCGCATCGTAAAATTTCACTCTCATCAATTTTTCATAACGCGCCTAAAGAAGTATAACTTCAATTACAGTAGGATGAAACCTATTAGAAAAGCAGGGGAATATGATCAAAATGAAAGGAAAAAAAAGGGTGCGTGTACTTATGTACGCGCGTAAGAAGTTATACTTCTTTGGCATTATTAAAAATTACAGTAGGATGAAACCTATTAGAAAAGCAGGGGAATATGATCAAAATGAAAGGAAAAAAAGGGGGGTGCGTGTACTTATGTACGCGCGTAAGAAGTTATACTTCTTTGGCATTATTAAAAATAGTTTTTGATTGCATGCAAATAATTAATTACAATTAAATAATCAAAGACTGGAAAAGGAGTCATTAAAGTCAATAAAGTTCAGTTTACATTTGAAAAATTAAATAAATAAATATTTATTATTATTCTCTTACATTAAACAAATAAAACCCTATTTATCTTTAAAACATTTTTATTTCATTATACTATTTATTTTTAAGTGACTCTAATGTCTTCATCAGGATTTCGGTTTGTAATTTTAAATTAATCATTACTTGGTTGTGCATCTACGAGGCTTCTCCAAAACTAAAACTACTACTTGCTTTCTGCAACAAATAAGAGAATATTAATTTAAGCTCTGTCCATGCAAAACTTAAAAAATTGTATAATTCATATTATAAAATTTTTAACACATTTATATTAATATAATTATATAAATGTGTTAATAATATAATTTGTAGCACATGCTACAGACCTGGATAGCAACTTTCTTTTATTCTATTTAGAGATAGAGATAATTTAAATATAATACCGGTGTCTTCCTTGTAGGTTTCTTTTGAGTTGTTTGGGGATTCTTGTTGTTCAGTTCGACATGATTTTCTTTAACCTTTCTTTAATCCTACAAAATAATGAAATTGTTAAGTTATGTTGTCACTGTTGTGCACACCTTTGTTTGGCTTTTTTAGTATTCAAGTTATGTCAAAACTGATTTATTACCTTGTCATTGTTGGCTTTATTTGCTTTTGGGATAGCAATTGTTTCCAAAATGATTTTATTTGTAATATCCTGAAATATATAAATAACATATATTAATTTAAGTATCATGGTGAGTGGTTCGCACTCAGGTATTAAGGTGTATTATACCCACTGTCCATTATAAGTGGGAATGGGCTCACATCTGGCTGGATAGAGTTTCGGTACTACAAGAGCAACATGGATGTTTTGAGGTATTACAATAACTCTAACTACCCTGTAGGGGAATAAAGTATGTGCCTATGCTTGAGAGGTTGAACCTTGAACATCACCATCATATTTATAATTAACATTCCTACCTCGACACCATCACAATCAAATTCATTGAAATCTACTTCAAACCGTTGCGGTATCATCTCTGCCATATCCATTGTGTCTGGAGAAGGTGATGGTGGCTTTGTTCAACCTCTAGTTTTTGATGTTTCACGGCGATAAGATGACAACTCTTTTTTTGTATTCAATTTAGTGCACTTCCACTGATTCATCAATTGTTTTTTGTCTCTTGTCCTTATATTTGCTAGATTAAATCTGAAAAATTACATGTTTTGATTAAATAATGTAATCATTTTTTTGAGATACAGGTACTTATTAAAATGTTTACTTCTCTGTAATATCGCTCCAAGCCTTCATTTTCTCCTTATTAGTATTCGTGCTTAAATCTTTGTTCTCAATTATTGATATATAGGGTCGTAGAATATTTCTAAAAAGTTGCTGTAACAAACGCAATAAACAAAAGCAATGAATAATGGTTCATGTTTCAGTTTTAATCAACAATAATACTCGATAATACATACGGATAGTTAACCTCAATTGTATTGAAGCACTCAGGAAGTTTGGCACAGTTTTTTCACAAATATTTTATCATATTAATTAGTATTGATTTAGATATTCAATTTAAATCACTTCTGATTATAATTCAGACGCACATATAAAATTCGCACTTGTATAATGAACATTGAAAACAACTAGGTACTTATATAATCTTTTATTTTAAACAATAATTCAAACTCCTATATTTGTTTAAAAGGTTAATGTCATTGTCAGATGTCAATTGTCATGGTCATTCAAAATTCTTGTTAAGCAGTGCTAAGCTAAGAAATAGAATATGCGTGAAGTTAGCTTCACGCATATTCTATTTCTTTACTTGTAGATTGCGCACGCTATAATCACACTCCCAATTTTGTGTCATAGGTGCGCGCGCATCGTAAAATTTCACTCTCATCAATTTTTCATAACGCGCCTAAAGAAGTATAACTTCAATAAATTACGGTCGATCTGAGGTCGGGAAGGGGAAGGGGGGGAAATCTTAAAATTATAATCAGATGCCTATTTATTACTATTTTAAGATACTTATATATACCTGAGTGACCTAAAAAAAAAATTTAGCCATTAGATGGGCTAAAATTTTCGTATTTCATAGAGAAGTAAGGAAAGGGATCACAGGTCTGGGCGTTACTGCATACGATTTTTTGCGTTTTCTGAGAAGATTTACTATGGTAATATATATATTTTTTTTACCATAGGAAAGTAGAGATTTCAACGAACTGAAAGCACACCAACTTTTTGAAAAAAGCTGAAACTTTGACGTCAGAATTTTCGATTGAAAATTAGGGTGTTTTTTCGATATTAATTCAAAATAAGGTGAAAAAATAAATATTTTTAATCAAATAAATTACAGTGTATTTGGGACATAGAAAGGTAAGTTTTCACCAAATTTCGTTAAAAAAAAAATATTTTTGTTAAAGATAAAAATAAAAAACCAAAAACTTGGTTTTTTGAATTTTTCACATAAATTTTGAGGTTATGTGAAAAATGTGTAAATACAAAAGTTTTAGATCTTTTTATTACCTCCAACTTTGCCATTTAACTTTCTTCGATAGGACTTGTAGTTTTGCCGGAAATCGAGATACCTACCCCTTCCCGACCTCAGATCGCCCGTAATTTATTTTTCCTTTAATTTTTATAATATTCTCCTCCTTTTCCAACAGGTTTCATGCTACTATTATTTTTTTAGGTTTCAAAAATTATCGGCACTGGTCTATAGTACCCTAGCAGCTTTTAAAAGTATGAATTTTGTGAGGGGCATAAAGTAGATTAAGGGATGGAAAAATAACTTTTTAATATCCTTTATTTTTCTGAGAAATCGCTCTTCCGTTCGGAGGTTGGCCGAGTCACTAATGTTGTATGTAATATATTATGATTATCGTCATTTTCTAAGACCTTAATCAATGTACATATTTTAATATCTGAAGAAAAGTACTTTAATAATTTTTTTTAAATATGGATAATCTACTCCATTTATACATAAATATTTATTTTAATTCTAGACTTGCATAATATTTTTAGGTACATTATTATTTACTACACAATTAAATTAGGAAAAAAAGGATTAACATAGGTACCTATTTCGTTTGCTATATATGCATAGCTTCTATGCTTTACTAATATAATGAAGAAAAACAATTATTAACGACAAACAGGTAGAAAGAAAACAATAGTATTAATCATAAGTATTTATTTTGACTGTTTTCTAAATTTTTGTTTCAAAATTGCATCCTTCTTCGAGTTCTTGAACAAACTCGCCATAAAAAATATGCTTAATGTTTTTCTTATGCATGACAATTAATTTCCGTGTGTAACATGCACCTAAAGACGTAAGTACTAAAACAATTAAATTTAGCACTGACAAATTACGTTTTTTGTAATGTATGTTTTTATATAAGTAATTTATATTTTAAAACCGTAATAATACCAACGTCCAAATAGCGACAAGCAAACATAATATTATTTATTTATATATATACAAATACTCTACCGTATCAAAAACAAAAACCCGTACAAATAAAATTATTACAAAGGAAACTTTACAATGTGCCGTAATAGATTGCTAATATGGCTACAAAACAAATTAGTCATATTCTTTTAAAATTATCATCTCAAACTGAATTCAGATAAATACAACTGCAAATTGCATGTCATTAACATCTAAATCTACACCTAATAAAATACTTTTACTCCATTATTGTAGATGGTATTTAATAAAAAAATAATAAAAATATTTTTAATATAACTAAAATTTACAAAACTTAACTATCTAAGTTGTCACATCTATTATTTTATATAAGGGCAATACCTCTCACTGCCACTTACATTTGCGAAAATATACATAGTTTAACAAAAGGTGCGTAATTGAAATCCAATAGGTACGCACCAAATATTGCAAATAGCTAATAATTTGCAGGGCTTACACATACGTCATAAAATCAAAACATATCTCAACTTCGTAAATTCAATGTTCCTTCTACTTCACTCATTGGGCAACAGAAGTGAAAATTCGATTGGGGTGATTGGGGTAATTCGGGACAGTGACGCCGTTCGAGTCCGAGGCGACCTTGGCGAGCGACACCTGGCGGCGGGATAAGGCCGCGGACGGAGCTCTTCCGCACTGCGGAACGAGCCGCGCGTCACACGACGCCTATAAAGTGACGTCACTGATACCTCTTGTAGAAGACATCTGCAAATATTTGAATAACAAACATTTGATAATGAACGTTAAATGTATAGCAGTTTTGTCTTTAAACCGGTTAGAATAATATTTACATATTATGCCACTGCAGTGATAGCAGCCAATAAAAGCCGCACTATAAATTATTACTAAATGTTTATATTACTACACAGTAAATGTAACTAGCATTAGCTAACATTAGAAGTCTTGAGACACATTTTATGTAATCAGTTATGAGAATCATTTATTATTATTGAATATCCAGTCAATGTCCAAGAACCGGGACCCAAATGTTTGTCCAAATGAAAAACAATATCTATTATGAATTGATTATTAGCGAACCTGCCATGTGAATTTGGGCACAAAATAATAAGTGATAGACTATTAGCTTTGGCAAGTATTAAGTCCACTAGTAATATTCTTCATAAACAAATGAAAACCGTTGAAATCTGAACAAACTACTTATCCAGAGCTTGGTACTTGGTAGCTTGGTTGATGTGGTGTACTTCAATACTGAATAAATACATCTTATTTGATTTGAAAAAAAATTTAAACAACAAATACATACTTCTCCAATTCGCTGAGCTGTTGCTTAGGAGTAGACGAAGCCACGGGTTTGGCTCGGCCCAGTTTTGCCCGCGTGGTCTCTAACATGTGTTGGGTCACTAGGAGCTGAGGACGTTCTTTTGGCGTAGGTTTTGGCCGAACTGGGTTATCCTTTTACAAAAAAGTTTTAACCTTAATATACCTTTTCAATCTTCTATAGATAGATCAGTTTTTTTATGTTAAATGATATCGCCGTCCATAGACAATTATTCATAGACATTCACATTGCCAGAGGGCTCGCAAATACGCTGCCGGCGGTTAGTCCTAAAATTACCACGAAACAGATACCAAGAAGAAATCTGACCAAGTTCAATGGAAACGCCACTGTTTTTTAGACTTGTGGTTAAGGGAATGACTTTTCCTGATCCCCGAAGTGCATGAAAAACATGCACGGTGAAAGAAATATTGACAATTGACAATTAAAGAACATGAAAGTTGCGGTACAATGCCTGATGCCGATTTCGGCATCGACATCGACGACTTAACTACTAATAGAAAAGGGTAACAACTATATTAATTGGTATGTTAATTTCAAGTGTCATTTTCGCCATTGATTTCTAAAGATTGAATATTTACATTATAAATATTATTAGGAGGTTTGTAAAAAATACCTTGGTCTTCCTCAGTTTAACATTCGCGATATCTTGTGGTGTGATAGTAAGTCTCGGTCCGACAGTTGGTGGAGCTGAACCGCACCTCTGGATGTTGGTCCTGACTGGGAGCTTTGAAGGCTGTGGTGGTGGAGGTGGCGGAGGAGGAGGGGGAGGAGGAGGTGGCGGAGGGGGAGGGCAAGATGGCGCTTTCTGTTGCGAGTCCAGGCGGCTGTAATTATATTTGTTTGATTAAGTATCAAGTGACTTTAATGGACTTAATATTGATATCAAAACAAAACAATCTATCTCTATAAAGAAGTTAATCAAAATTAACAATAATATAGTTAGAAAAGGAGAGCCAGAACAGCTTCTCAAAGACATAATACTTATGACTTATTGTTAATATTCTGAAGAACATAAAAATGTAACAAGGGTATTTATTACCTTATCTTACCCTGAAGGTCTTCAATTTCGCTCTCATGTCTGCCCACCTTGTGTCGCAAATCTTCTGTCTCGCTGGTCTGCCGCTTTTGACTCTTGTCTAAATCTTCTACATACTTCTTGACGTCTCTCATTTCCTGGTTCATTTCTTCTACGAATTTCTTAAGTCCCTTCAATTCGTGCTTCATATCTTCCACATTTTTCTTCAGATCCAACAGGTCCTCTGATAATCTTTCATCTTTCTTCTCCTTTCCTTTGATAGGTTCCTTTAACATGTCCGCATAGAGACCAGTAATGGACTGATACCCCTGTATTATTACAAAAATTAACTAAACTTCCAACCTAATTTTAATGTGTAGGAGAATTAATCCTACTAATTTACAGATTTCCAAGTTCTTTGAGACAAGGGACATCCCGTGCAGTTTCATAAAGGACGAGTCTAGGTTCCATTTAAAAATTTGTTTCATTAATAAAGATACTATTCATTTCCCCACGACAAGTATAATATAGATACACGCAGCTATTTCATAATAAGCTTCGAATCTTTCCCTATTTATTTGAAGTAAATAAATATTAATAACAGATAAGACAGGCAACATAACATGAAACTTACCTTTCTCCCGATCCAAGTGCACAAATCCATCACTCGCCAAGATTTCGGCCTTACGCTCCTGCGCAGATTTTTCTCTTTTCTAGGACTCCCAGACACTAGCACAACATAAAACACTTAAATTCCATACCTGTTTCACGAGCGTCGTTATTTTCTGAACACATAACGAAATCCATCCGAAAATACTTTGCATATCATTACAAATAAACGTTAACAAGTTTTAGCCGTTACTGTGAGCCCCGAATGATGTCACGTCTTGAGTGTGTAATAAATTACCTCGGGAGTAAAATTAGGTAGACCTACCTAATCTATCAATCAAATATGATGTTTGTATCAGTTTATCTCGTATGAGGTTTTAATACATTTAAGAGATACGAAATGTGCTGATAATTAGGTTTCAATCGAAAAGATCGAATTAGAAATAATAAAGCTAATAATAAATGGTATTATATAAAAGTAAAAGTGATAAATTTAGTTATTTTGTTAAGATTTAATAATAATCAGTGGCGCTACAGATTTCTGAATCTGTTTCATGATCAATTTTCAAATTAATACGCAAGTGGGTGATCAGCCTCCAGTGCCTGACACACGCCGTCGACTTTTTGGGTCTAAGACATGTCGGTTTCCTCACGATGTTTTCCTTCGCTGTTCGAGCGAATGTTAAATGCGCACATAGAAAGAAAGTCCATTAGTGCACAGCCGGGGATCGAACCTATGACCTCAGGGATGAGAGTCGCACGCTGAAGCCACTAGGCCAACACTGCTCACCTTTGTTAGGATTTAGTGCTTAAATAGTTTGCTAAATGAATTCGTTATAGAAGAGACCGCAGTATGTTTTTTTTATTATTGTAAAACAATGTAACATACCTGAAGCATTGCTGATGGAACAATTATTATTTGTGTGAAAATTTTTGCCAGCTCTTTGAAGGGCATCTCTAAGCAAGGTCGACTCTGACCGTCGTCTTTTTTTTCGTGTCTTATAGGAGTAGTTACTGTTCACAGATACGAAGGACACCTCCGATTCGGATGATAAAATATGCCTTGAAGAGTTTGATGTACCAATGTTTACCTCTCTTTCTGATAGACCAAAATCATCACATTTGGTCTTTTTGCATGGGCGTTGATATTCTTCTTGTGAATCTCGACGCAGTCTTTTCCCTACACTCTCGGAGGAACTGGAATCCTCCATGTCAAAATATTTACTAAACGACAAATTAATATTCGTCAAATCTTCCTCCTGTCCTATATCGGTCTGTGTTGAGGTATTTGTCCTGCTGCTGGGACTTACGTCAGACATTATAACTGGTTGAAATGGTGGTGTTTTATTGTTATCACTCAGTTTTAAATCACTGTATAGACTTTTATCCCAAGATGTATCGATATCAGTTTCTCTATTACATCTTCGTATGAGTTCTATCGAGTTGCCTTCGTTTTCATCACTTTGTTGCTGATCTTCTACATCAAAGACGTCACTATCGACGCTGTGAACTGTATTTTCTTTTTTATCAGTACATGCCATTTTAAATTTTTACCTACCAGTATAATAAAAGGCAACGTCAATTATATAAGACACAATAACATAATTTTAAAAGATAACTAGCGGAAAAAAAGTGTAGTATTCAGGCCGTTATACAGGATACTGTTGTGTTTAAACTAAATTAAATAGTACCTTTTTATAATACCCTCATATTGAATTTCAGAAAAAATGTTACGACACAGATTAGGTTTCTGTGTGGCGAAATTGTGCATTTTGATTGGATTGGACTTATAACTTATTAGATGATTTATTTTGACAGTCGACAATATCAATCAGCTGTGCTTATGTTTACAGTTTACACTTTACTGTTCGTTTTAGTATTTAAACCCGCTTAGGCAGATTACGGCAATTTAAAAATAAGACCTACAGTATTAAAGCCACGATTTTCAATTGATTTAATAATAGTAATGAATACTCGCATCATAATTTTTAAAAAATCAACGTAGTGAAAATATGTTTCACATAAACAAAAAGAAAATACTAGCTGTTTGTGCTGCGATAGGCGTAATATTATTATTTCTACATCCAAGCAATTCATCGAAAGAGGAGTATGATTATATAATGAAGGAAAATATTATGAATAGTTTGCATGAAAAGCTAGCTGTTAACTTTACTAGTTCCGCTATTGTAGACTGTGATTATTACGACATTCTTCATGATGATACAGCATTGCCGGTGACCCTTGTCGATGGTGATTTAGAGGAGGGTCATAAAATCAGAGAAGGTGGTGAATTCATTCCAGAATGCAAACCAAAGTTTAGTGTAGCCATTATTGTTCCTTACAGGTAATTTACCTATTGAAGGAATAGATTTGTTTTTCCAAGGGTCAGCAAATGCGTTTTTTTATTACAGGGATAGAGCAGAGCAGTTAAGAGGGTTCCTAGTTTACATGCATACATTTTTACATAAACAACAATTACATTATCGCATTTATGTTATTGAGCAAGTTGATACACATCCATTTAATAGAGCAAAGCTGTTAAACATTGGTGCTGTTGCTGCAATTAAAGCAGGATATCCTTGTCTAATTCTTCATGATGTAGATCTCCTGCCAATAAAGATAGCTAATATATATGCATGTGTGAAAACACCACGGCACATGTCTTCAAATATTGATAGGCCAAGGTATGAAGATAATTAAAATATACAGTACTTCATTTGCTGAATATTTTTATTACAAATTAAATATATATTTTTATAGGTTTTCACTGCCATCTCCAAATGTGTTTGGTGGTGTTATGGCAATACAATCTAAGCAATATGAAAAAATAAACGGCATGAGCAATGCCTACTATGGCTTAAGTGGTGATAATTCTGATTTGTTTTCAAGGGTTAAGGCCAATCATTTAAAATTGTGTAGATTTGAGTCATCTGTAAGCCAATACCATATGACTGCACATGAGGCTCATATTCAAATGTAAGTTATTATAATGTAAAATTCCTCTTTTAATATCTTTGAAAATTGAAATTATGCTTCATAATATATTAATTTAAACTTATTGTACAGTGAAATAAGGAAAAGCAGTCCAGAGTTTTCACATGAGAGGATGGTAAAAGACGGTCTGAATTCATTGAAGTTTACAGAAGTAGCAACTGTACTCCATCCATTATTTACTCATATCATGGTGGACTTGTAATTAGATTAGCTGTTTTAGGTTTCTGTTTTCCAGTCAGTACTGATATTTTGTTAAAATGCATGAACTATTTTATCATGGCTTAGTAGTAGTAAGTATAAACTAGTCAATTTTGTAATACAGTATTAATTATCATATCAATTAACACAGAGTTCCTAGAATACTCCAGCATTAATCGAAAGGATTATGCATGTTTTAGTAGTAGTTTAATGTTATAAGATTTTGTTTTAGAATATAAAAAGTTGTGTTTAGAATTATTTTGTTAGTTCTCTGTTTTGCCGTCCAAAATACAATGAATTATTTAATGACAATAAATCACATTAAATATAGGTAATGTAGGAAGTGCAATGTGTCCAATAGTAGTTAGTATAGCAAAATGTGGGCACTGAAAATATAAATATTATTGAATTAGAGAAAAACACCTTTAGCTTTAATTTATAATATATTTGGTATTTATTATACATGGTCCCAAGAAATAATAAATTGTAGTGTCTTTTTTGTAACAGAATTAATATTACATACATTTGCACCTATGTTAATGATTTATTTATACACTACAAAAATGTAATTAGTATTATGTTTAGAAATATTGTATAAGCATAAAATGAAATTGTTGGTAATAAAAATTTAATTTATGTTAGGATTTTAACCATTATGTACCAGATTCTAATTTGCTCAATGAATAATGTAAAGCTAAATAATTTAATAACATAAACATTACTTTGTTACAAAGGCAAACATTTAAAATTAAAATATAACTAATTCCTCTTTCATAAATTTCATATCACACCAAAAGATTGTTATTTCAGCACCATAAAATTGTATCACAAAACCAATTAAAATGAAAGCAATACCAAGATTAAAAATATTTTTTTGTTTAAACATTGATAACTGTAATGGTTGAAAATCATTGTCTTGTTAATTTATTGCAAAAATAAAAATGCTTTAAATACAATATTGTACACACAGTACTGTTTTTTAATACCCGTCCATTGCATTGCAATATAGTTTTTAATACTTATCATTTGGTATATGATAATTTAAATCAGTACTACAAAAATTTGAAAGTTTTACATATTTCTCTTTTTATGAGAATGAATTAAGTCAAATGCAGAAACATTTCCTAATACCCAATCATAATATAAACCTAAATAACAAAATCCTTGAAAAACTTAATAATATGAAATACTACAATTTTAGTATGTTTCTAACACATCCAGTCCCTTACATTCTAGGGTCGTAATACAAGCATACTTACTAGTCCCAGTACAAAGGAAAAAACTAATTTTAGGTTTGATCCAATATGAAGCCATTCAGGCAATTGTGATTTAACAACAGGATCTGGCTGAGTAGGTAACAGTAATGCTGCTATGCAACATATACTTACTGCTACAGCTACTATGTTCATTGGTTGTTGTTCCCTGAAATTGGTAAAACATTTTTTTTTCAGTTTTAGAAATAGAAGACTAAAAACTCTGAAATGATAACTTACCTTTGGTGAGAGGGATGACTGCAACTAACTTTTGAATGTTCTTCAGTAGGCCTTATGGGTGCTGGACGAGATGTCAAAGGATGAAAGCTATCTCCAAGGCTCTCTTGATTAATACTCATTGGTTCACCCTCAATCAATGTTGTAGGAATATCTCGTTTACCTAGAGCCTGCAAAATGTAATTAATTTATAGATTTCAGAAAATTTTTTAAAAATTGTACTTGGCATTCATTATATAAATATAAACTTATCATCAACAAGTAAAAACTCTATGGATGTATAAAACACAATACTAACCTGCTGGGTATTTTTGTCATACATTGTTATTCTAAACTTTTCAATTGTATTACAGTGCGATACGGAAGGTTGTGTATATCTTACAACAATATCGATGCAACTTTGGGGCGCTATCACACCTTCAGGGTCGAGAACAGTAAATTTGTTGGGTGATGTACATAGGACTAAAAGAATTAAACATTTAAGCAGAAATGAGCCTTAACAATAAAAGTTTTGAATGAATGGTCAATGTTACCTTTAAAATTAACAGAAAAGTCATATGGATTATATACAGTTAACAGCTGCTTGTGAGTATGTCGCGCATTTAAATAAAATTCTAACGATACAGGAAACACGAACACTGGAAAATTTTTCATTTTCACCAATTATTTATTCAGCAGTTGCAATTCGCACTTCTCGACCCAAAACAAAGTAAAAACAATAACAATCACAATACGGATTTGCGAAGACTGGACCTCCCCCGTGGTATTTTATTTTTGCAATATTGACGTCGTCAATGTCAAGAGATGTTGACAATTGACTGTTGTTACACATAAAAAACGAATTCGAATTGAAATATTTTTCTGGATCTCTTGGTACATATATCCAAAAATTTGCCTCGCTGGGTAAAATTCAGGAGTTTCGCGCTAAGGATAAGCTTCAGAAACGAGACATAAGGCTAAGTTTGACTCCCTCTGGTCTAAAGGTATTGGCTTATGACATACGTCGTTTTAAATCTCGTTTCGAACATATTGCTAAACAAGAAGTGATTACAGACATTAAATCAAGGTAACAGGCCTTTGAATAGACATAAGTGTCGTAGAAAGAACATAAATAATTTTTTTTTAGAACAGGGCGCCAACGGACAGGAGGCTCACCAAATGTTAAGTAATAAACATAATATGTATATGTTAAACCCTTAACATAAAATAAGTTAACTCAGTTTTTAGTAAAAATTAAACATTTTAATTTAAATATACTACAAATTCGCAGAAAATAGTATCACAATATTTAAACTACGCTAAGTTATTAAAATGTTTTAAGATACATTTCTTTTGTTAAATCAATTATACATAAGTTGCAATCATTTAAATAAATAAACATTTTTACAAAAATTATCTAATATGGATAAAGCAAAGCCACTGCTGGGTCTTCAGTCTCAAATGTGATAAGGACTTCCTTGAACTTGTCCAAAAGCTGCATTAGCTGGGACCGGGTCACATTTTCCATAAACATTATTTCTTCTAAGTGTTGTTCACCACGGAAATAGCCTGAAAGCAATAGATTATAGATACTGTTCACTAACTCTCTGGAAATAGAGATATAGAGTTATAGACAGGTGCCCCTAAAATCACATCAGTCAAATCAATTAAGTTACACTCAGAAATGGCTATTAAATTAAAACTATTTGTTTTTTTTGCTCAATTAGTAAACTAACAATTTGTATGTATAGGTGTTTTTCTGCTGAATACTTTTATATGCATATTGTTAAAATTATAACAGGCTATTTGACAGTATGAAAAATAAAAACATAAAGTAATCTGTATAAAAAATAACTTTAAAAAGAGTAACGGAGTTAAAGAAACTTGTAAATAATCATTAATTAATACCAAGATGGGATTAAGCGGGTTATTTAAAGTATCAATGTTTAGTTATAATTATTTCTAAAGACCACATAAAATTAACAATTTATGTACAGGTACAGTCTTTTATATAAATAAAAAAAATCTTCTAAGTATTTATCAATTAAAATTTAATAATAATCTAATATAATAATTAATTATAAATGTACTACGTTATTATTCTTTCATACATACAACAAATTCTAAAACATTTATCAGGCAAAATTCGGCCTTAAACTTCCCAGGTTTTTAAAAAGTATAATAATTGTAGATAAGGCTTTAAAATACAGATTAGGCAATCAAATACATAAAATCTATTTTATTTTCAATACCTTTTTTATGCAACTGTGCGAGTAGAAGTAAGTCGTCGGGGTTGTCAGCGGCTGGTATGTTTGCTAGAACTGCCCTTTCTTCGGGGGTAAATGTGTCCAGCAGCGATTCTGTGGTGGGTGGTTCCGGTGGAAACCGACAATAGTCCACGGCATCACATCCAAGGGGCGCAGTCCAGACCGTCGGTGATTGGAAACTGAAAAAATATTTTAACCTTAGAATTGAGTACCGCTGTTACCATGGTAATGATGTTTTGTATTCATATAGATATATTAGATACTATAGTCAAGGATTATTCATAACAAAATTGATCTAACGCTAGTCCCCATACAAGGGAGTCCCGTATTCCTTGGTACATGGTGCATGTATAAAACATTTTCTTAAATAAAAATTAGTCTAAGGGTCTGTTTCACAATATACGGATAAGTTCTACATAAGTTCCAAATTAGCTATTTATTACTTATTGGTAGGATAAACACTATTGTTGCGTTTCACGACTGTCAGATAGCGCTATTCGTCACATAATGAAGTGAACAACACGATGAAATGTCAAATAGCACAATTTATCTTCCAAATAATGTATGCGTTGCATAGCTATTTGGTACTTTGTCCATACATTGTGAAACAGACCCTTAGTATGACATCTAATCAAACAAAGGCCTTGTATGACTTTATTACGAATACGTTCGAGCGAATGTTAAATGCGCACATAGACAGAAAGTCCATTGGTACATTGGTCCATTGGTCCAAAGCACAGCCGGGGATTGAACCTTTGACCTCAGGGATGAGAGTCGCACGCTGAACTACGCCCACATCGCGCTTAACCTATTAGTTTATATCAGCATTGTGATAATTTATTTCTTTGGCGATGAGCCTTCCGTGCCTGACCCCTTTTTGTTCCAATATCCTGAAATGCGCCCAACACTTACCTCATTTCACTCTGCAACTTCAGGTTCAGAGACACGCCGTTCTTGAAATACCGTTCATCACTCTCTAACCTATCCTCGTCACTGCTGTGCGTGTCCTTCAAGGAGACATCGGAGAGCCGCGACGTCAGCTTCTTCTCATTGTTAGAGATGCCGCTGTCGACGGAGTTGGCCTTTTTCTGCTCCTTATTCAAATCTCCGTCGACGACATCGGCTCCTTCGTCGAACGAATGATTCGCCGAATCGACCTCGAACTTGTATTTCGTATCGGACTCGATGACTATGGGTTGCGTGTGAGAGAAGTCCGTCTGGTTGAGGTTGTTCTGAGTGGGATAATGTTTGTTCGTGTCGGGGTCGATGACCTCTCGGGGCTCGACAGGTTCGGGGACGTTTAGTTGCAACTGATTTAAAGAGGAGAACGAGATGTTGCTGGAGAGATACGAATCGTGCTTTTCGCAGAAATATTCTTTGCCTTCTGAAAATTCAATTGCAATTACTATTTAGTAAAAATCTATCAAATTGCTAAGTATGAAACTACTACTTTTTTTTTTAATTGGTTAGGGGGGGCAAACGAGCCTATGGGTCAAAAAGATCAGTCATCCCAGCCTACGGGCACATTTTAGTAGGTGCGTTACCGGCCTTTGAGGGAAAAGTAAAAAAATAGTAATAATAGGTCAATTTTGATATAGAGATAATGGGGTCCAATGGGTAATTAAGTATTTTATAGCTCATTAAACATACACTATTTATATTATTTGAAATTTATTAAATTTTAATTAATAACCTTTGGATTATACAAATCGTTTTTTTTAAGACATCTATTTTATGATAAATTTTAAATTTTTATGGTTTTACAGTAGTCAGCAAGAATCGTGTAAAAATGTAATTAATTCTCATTTATAGTACAGTTAAAATAGCTGTAACACTAACCGGCCTGTGGCGAGTCAGAATGCCGTTGCCGTGGCCAATGGGGCGAATTGAACTGCACGTACGTGTGCAGCTGCATCAGCAGGCGCCTTTGCAGCAGCCACGCCACGAGGCGGGCCAAGCGCCCCCCGCCCCTCGCGCCCCACGCCCCGCTGCGGCATACGTACCACAGAGGGGCAGGCAGGGAGAACTCGCTCAGCATCTTTAGTGGAAAATATTCATAGTAACTAAACACATAGGTAGCAAATAGACCACGAAAATCTTTACGCAAAAGCATAACCAGAAACTTATTTAATTATTTAAAGAAAACACCTTTTTAACGGATTGAAGCTATGTATTATTATAAACTTGTAATTATTTTACATAATTTAAAAAAAAATATTTATTTCCCCGGAGTTGGTATCGACTAAAAGATGGAGGGTTTTGGCAGAAATGACTCACGGTGTCCTCTATTTTCGCGGATTGTTTATCTTGAAATTTTAATTTGGATATTATTGAATCCCAGGTGTTTGACAATTTTAGGCCGTCTTCTCTATTGAAATTGGGAAGAATCTTTTTTCTTTCGCAAGTACTTTTGGTTGGTAATAATAATATATAGCTTCAATCCGATAAAAAAGTGTTTTCTTTAAATGTGTAAAAGTTATATTAATAAAAGACAATACTATATTTAATTAAATATAGTAAAACCTAATTTTTAAAAATTAAATCAAATCAAAATCATTTATTCATGTAGGTATTGGTATGTTATTTAAAGCTGGCGGCTTCAACACATTTACAATTTGTGCTTGTGTAGTGTCTGTGAATAAGCGCGAGGCGTTATGTCAAACTGAAATATAATCACAAATACATCATGAAAAGACTGTCCGTCTCTCTCGCGCTCGGTCAAGCTTATGAGTATAAAAGAGACAGTTATTGTTTTGCTTTTGCTACTGTTTATGTTGATCTTTTTTTCTCATTATTATTTTGTCTGTGATTGTTTACTTATTTGGTTGGAGGTTAGAATACTTTGAAAAAAAAAAAATGTCTTATGAAATATATTCCGTCTAAACATGAACAGGACAATCTCGTGGAATGGTGCACAATGTTTTTAATTATTTTAAGCATCTTAATAAAAACAGTTTAATGAAAAAATGTTATATTTCATTTGACATCGGATGCGACTGGGGTTTCTAATTTCTAATCTAATTTTCTGGGGGAGTATTGAAATAATAGTTAGTGAAGTAAAAGTGAAGTGTGTTGAGCTAGTTGGGGCTTATGTCGAAAAATGAAAAATTATTTACACAAACTACTCTTTTACGTTCTTGGTCGGGCTTAGAACTTTTGTATCCACCCTCGTATGCACATAATATTTATATGTATTTGACACATTTTTATTTATTTACAACCCACCCAACCTTACTAAAACCAGAGTAGACTAAAATATATAACTTGGCAAAAAAGTCATATTTTTAAACATACTGTATAGTGAAATTGCATTAGTGTGAGTACTGTGAACGCGCCAGCTTTCGATAACCGACCTATAACACAATGTACACTTATGAACGTCAAAAAAGAAATATACATTAAATGCTTCTAATTTTACATTTACTGCCAGTTCTCAAATCAAGGGCGTAGAACGGAAGAGAAGAACTGGCAATAAACTCTGCGCCACTCTTTTCAATCGCAAGTTTTTTTTTTAAACAACATTTGTAAGGCTGCAACCATTACACCATGTTTCACATGACATCTATGACATATAAACTAAAAACAAATTTATCATAAAAAAAAGATTTATTCTATTTAATTAATTTTCAGTACATTTTTGTAACTACGATAAATGTTTTAAATAAAAAGCAATACGCACCTGCAACAAACAAAGTCCGGGAAATTCCTTAGCGAACTCGTCAACGAGCGGTGAATGTACGTGCACGTTGGCTACGGGCGACACGACGTATACGTTCCCTTCGCACAATGGGAATATCACGGTCGCCTTGGCCCAGTACACTAAGTGGCCTGTCAGCTGGAACGCCTGTACAAAGACATTTGTATGTGTACATAATATGTAGTAAGCTGAGTTGGCCTTGGAGCTTTAAAATTCGCTCGTACGATCAGACACAAAAGGCTCGATCCTCGGACAATGTTGCTTCTGGTGATTTTTTAAATAATTGCTTATCTAATATATAAAATTCTCGTGTCACACTGTTCGTTCCCATACTCCTCCGAAATGGCTGGATCGATTCATATGAAATTTGTATGAATATTCAGTTAGTCTGAGAATCGGCTACTATCTATTTTTCAAACCCTTAAGTGATAATGGGTGTCCACTTCAAACAAAATATTTTTTAATTTTTGAGACAACTTTTTTTTTTTTTTTAATTTTTATGGTACAGCATACAAAAATACGTACAACCCCTATATATATCCAATTTTTTATTATTGTAGACAGTTGTTTTTATTGAACTAAAAAACGGTTTCCTAGAAATAATGTACATGGCAAAACAACGTTTGCTGGGTCAGCTAGTATAGTATAAATTTCTGTCCAACCAACTCTTAACTATTGTTTCACTGGTAATCAAGCACCGGACCAAGGTTTTATGAATGACCTCTAAGCCACTGAGGTGGTACGCCAGTACTATATAGGAGTTAAGATAAAATATCTTTTATATTGTCTAAGTGTATGTCGGCGGTAGTTGATAGTTGGTACAAATGAGACAGCGTTATCGAGCGCTGTCGACAGGTGCATACGCACCTGTACACTGCACGTGCACAATGACGTCATTGCCCCACTACGTTTCGGGTGTATAAAAACCCGCCTCGCCACTGTATCGGCACGCATTGTTTCTGAATGCGTCGAGGTGCATGGACTGTCACCTCTTTCCCTCCCTCACTGCTATTGCGTTATAATGATTAAATTATTAATCATTGTATTTCATGGTTTACTTCTGATGTCTGGGCCTATTCCTACATGTATTATTTTATAATATGTTTATCTGTAAGATTGCTTATAAATAATTGAATTAAAAAGAAAATAACATATATAAGCAGATTGGCTAAATTACCTGTGTCAATGTCAAATCAGCCTCAATAGCTAAAGTCTGCAAGCTTTTCAAAGGACTGTAGCACTTAATAAGACGAAGAAGCGCCGGGCTTCCGTCCAAAGGTATTGATGCCAACAAAGCATTTGGATCGACCTGAAATTAAGTTGTTATTAAATTGGCTTATTAATTATTATTTCCCTAATATAATTATATTTTCTAAGCAAAAAAAACATTAAATTCAGATTAGATAAAGATTAGGGAATTTTGACAAGACAAAATTATTTTAACAAAAAACTTATATTTTACCTCGTTTAGAAATAGTACAAAGTTAAACAAAGATTAAGATATAAATGATAATTTTATACCTTACCATAAGTAATATGCCATGATATGGCCTTAACATGCTAATACATTTGTCTATAGTCTCTGGTTCAACTATAAGGCCCCTATTATGGATCTGATGTGCTTTGTGCGGCAGACAGAATGAGAGAAGAACCCATTTGTTAATTGTTACTTGAACTATTCCTGAAAAATATAAATATTCATGTATAATTTTATTAGCAATGTTGTAGCGTTATCCTATAAGCCATCAACAAATGAACTATCTCACAATTTTTTTAAACTGGGACATCAGATTAATATGTTAGCCAAACAACTTTTCAACAATATTTAAATGAAAATTTAACACAGTAACATAAGTATAAACTGTTATTCATAAAAATAGTATAATCCTTAAATATTAATTATAATAAATACAAATGCACCATTCGGATTCGGGGCAGGCATTGCATCTTGGTTTAAATGGTGTTGTTAAATCATATTTTTAATAAATAGGTGTATTATTTAGATTGGGCGCATAGTAGGAAAATCCATTGGTTAACAGCCAGTGTTTGAGCCCAAAACCTCGAATCGTAACTGCTTTCCTAATTTAAACTTAATTTATTAAATTATCATTATGCTATATATAATGTTGTTTACATTTTATATAAATAATTTTTTATAATTATTTTAACTAATCTCAAATAAATAATAAACATTAATTAGCTAATTGATTGATTGATCAGTTCAAGCATAGTGACACTAATCAGTCATGAATCAGCCAATTCCACTAAACAAAAAAATCATAGCAAGATATCTATCTAAACAATTAGTAACCCAAACAGACTACAAATTTTTGGTAATGTAAAAATTTTAAAATATCATAAAAATATTCACAGCAAAAAGTTAACGGACATTGAATGTGTTACATCAAATGACGTCATTCGCATGTTAAGCTATGGTACTAGTCATACTTCGTCCTTATTCATGAAATGACGTATTGGTTGGATAGACAAAAGAAAAGTTTAACTAACATCATGAAACTTTTAAATTCAATGTAATAAAAAATAATAATGTATTAATATAGTTAAATATGGCTAAAAGAGCTGATAAAATAAAGTAACTCCTACCAGTATTACTCAGTTCTTCAAAAACATCTTTCATAGATTTTGCTAATGAGCTCTTCTGCAGAATCAAGTCAAAAGCATTTTTGGGATCAGACTCAGTTCCGTTATCTACATTTTGAGTTGTGGAACTGATTGAATGGCGGGAGTTTTCCTCTTCATCTTCATTATCACCATTTATTTCCTGATCTAGTGCTGACACTTGATCATGCGCTTCCAACTAAAAAGAAGATTTTCTATTCAAATGGTCATTGTTATTTATCGGAACAAACCCAAGTCTTTCCAGTGTGTTTAAAAATCTTTAAATTCTAATATTGAATGCAGAATGAAGGAAATTACTTTTCATAATAAAAACACAGTTTAAACCAGATGCAGTTGCTTGAAGGACGGTGTTAAACCAATTGATAAAAGATGAGATAGCTACTTAATAGAACATTATGTATTTACCATTATTTTCATTTCTTCTGTCAGATATGAGCACCGTTTTTCTTCATGGGTGAGGGCTTTACCGAGCCTTTTGCTTAAATCATAATAACACTTTACTGTAAGAGAGGAATTTCTTTATTAGTAAAAGTTTGCAGTAATGTAATAAATCCATAGTTAACAACGGTTTTGAGCTAATCATTTAGCTCAAAACCTATGCCAAAATTTAATTATTCAAAATTTCACAATCACACACGAATCAATATACTAAGAATTATATGTACATAGTATTTTCGTTTTTACTTTTTTTACAATTTAGCTAGGTTTTTAATTACAGCATTCAAAAGATGAAACTTGAAGTTGAAAATTAAGTTGTAGATACAGAAGTTGGAGTCATATAAACTCACCAATAGAATGGCTAGCAGACGCTTGCAAAGCAAACACAATGTTTATAAGTATCATTGCAGCTGTGTCATCCTTATTAGTCCGATATGGAAGTAGAGTGGGGTGTCCAACAAATCGAACATCATTTACTTTGAGCTCAAATTTTCGATTACACAATTCTGCTTTAACAGCAAAGAGTGTTGATAACATTTCATCCGTAAAACCACTAAGTTCTCCTGAAATTTTTTAAGCAAATATGTAGTTATCATACTGTAGTTGTTAGTTTGTGGTCTAGTATAATATGACAGTAATGATTTATATCTTCGTTAGCATAAATAATTACGCATGTTTACACAATAGAAACATTATTTATTATAACTACTTTATTATAAATACTTCATTACCTTTACAAATATTTGAAGTTTGTGATTGAGGATTTTGCAGTAAATCTTCCGTCGAATTAATGGCATATGGGTTAAGACGTCCATAATTTTCCTGTTTATTTTCATCTTTGTTTTCCGTTGTGTACGGATATCTAAACAGCAATCTATCACCCTTGCTGTCTGATTTGACAAAAAATATATTTAATGGATTCACTTCCATCTCATCGAAATTTTACACAGAAAAACACATAACACAATGCAAAGCTGCACTTATTTTGATTAGGTAGGAGAGTAGAAATAGTTCCGCTTCTTTAACGTCTCTAACATTATTTTAAATCGTAAGTATTTAAGGAGATTTAAATTTTAAAACTTCCATTGTAACAGTACTCAAACTACCATAAAACGACTTAGGGCCGGTTTTTTGATCCGTAGTTAACTCAACTATTGGTAAAAAATCGTTACTATTAGTTAAATATCAGCAAAATGCGTTTTTTGATCCGTGGTAAGAGCATCCAATGGTAAAATATCTAACCATTAGTCAAAAAAGTTAACTACTCAGTATCGGAGGGTTAAAAAGATGGCCGCTGGTAATTTATATACTAACAGCTGTTTGTCACAGAAATCAAACTATGATAAATACGTTTATTACTATCTAATGATGAATTTAAACATATTGAGATACTTTAATTAATGAGACGATGAAGAAGACGATAATATTATATGAGAATGTGTTAATGAGTGACCAAAAATATTTAGGCAATGTCATCCGCCATTAGAAACCTGGGATGATGTAGATTTTTGTCACTGTTACCCCCTATCGAAGGGAACAGTGCTCTGGATTGTTACTGAAATTGGGAATGATCTTAAACTGCCAATGAACAAGAGTATATATAGACAGCAGCTCATACCAACCTATTTTGCTTCATTACTAACTACAGAACCGCAGCAGTATATAATTAAGTATATTACTAATTCATTATGTGTTTTATTGCCTATAATATTAACTTATAATTATTATAAGTTAATATTATAGGCAATAGAATACATAATGAATTAGAGTTAATATTATTTATATATTACTAATAATATTAACTTATAATTATTATAAGTACATACAAGTATGTACTTATACTAAAAACTACAGCTACACATTAGTTAGGGACCTATGATATTCTTTAGGGCTTTTATTACATTTGTGAGTTAGCATCTATCTACTTTATTACAAGAATTTATAAATAAAACATTTGACTTGATTAATAAACTGTTTAATTATAACTTAAATACAAACCATTTTTATTAAAAAAACATTACAAAATTTACATGAAACCCTAAAGTAGCAATTAAATATTTTCTAATCGTTTCTTCTTGCATTTCACCTCAATTTGATGCAACTCTTTTTGCTGCTACATATATTTATTGTGCCTTTCTTCCATCTGCTGCATCACTTTTTGGTGCACCTCCTCTTTATGCAGTATGAATTTTTGGTGGGCCTCTCATTGGTGCAGCAAATGTTTTTAAGCATAATTGAACAAATCATCCTCTCTTATTTGTCTTTGTTTCTAAACTCAATTTTTTTTTATCCGTGTGGATCATAATCCGCTTCCTTGTTTCCAAAGGGTTAAAAGATTTTTTCCTTTTGTTGTAGGACACAGCTATACAAGAATAAATATAAAAATGTGCCTACACCTTCATTAAATGTATATTAAATTTAACACTTCGGTGTCCAGACCCATCTGAGTTGAAAACGTCACAGAGATTTCCAAGCTGCATCTTTTTGTAGATTGCTGCAGTGATCAGTTGTTTGCAGGTTACGACTGTGTAATCCTTGAGAAGCATCACCAGTTTGGCAGTTTCTTTTTTGGCGAAGTTAGCAGTATGGTCCCTTTAACAAAACATAAATGTATTACTTTCTATTACGAAACACAAGATAAACCGGAATAAATAACACGAAAATATGTTTGAACTTACTTATTTGACCGTTGGCTGTTTGCGGACATCGTTATTTATATATTTAAGTATCGTAAAAAGTGTAAACCGTATTAAATCACAGAAAAACAACTTTATTTATATCGTGTTATTTAGATTAATTTGACACTTCAAACTCTTCAAAGCGCAAATAACGAATGAAGATGGCAAAAATGGATTTCATTCACTCAATATGTCTAGTGTTGTCATACAAAATAAATGATCCCCACAAAAAAGAACCACATTTTTTGGGATGTCATTGCTCATTGCACTGGCAACAAATTGACAAATTGTTAACTTTAACTATAGTTAAAAAAGGCATTGAAAAACGCATTTACGATTTTACCAATGGTTATTCATTTAACTATAGTTAATGTAACAAATGGTAAAACCATTTTTTACTACGGATCAAAAAACTGGCCCTTAAAAGAGGTATGGTAAAAGAAAATAATTATTAAAAATATACAAAAGACAAATACTGAATACTCAATCATCAAGGCGTGTCAAACTTAAAACTGCCAATTGTCAATATCACTTTGTAATTTATGTCATTGTCATATAAATACACGGCAAAGACACCAACTATATCTGTGAAAAGTACCTGGGGCCTTAGTCAAGATGCCTTAACAGTAGTGTATGTAGAACGTCAAAAACTAAATTTGTATGAAAACTTTTCGACACTAACTGTCATTTTCATACAAATTAAGTTTTCGACTTTCTACATACACTACTGTTAAGGCATCTTGACTAAGGCCCCTGCAGTCGTCGGTGTGGCCATAGCTCTAAATTTATTACGGAATAAGAGTTTCGAGTTTACCTGCTTATACAGGATGTCCTAAAAGTCGACGTCAAGTCGAAATTTTCTCATAGGTAATGCCACACCAGCAGTGTGACCGTTTTTAGTATATTCAGTACCAAATTGGTATAATTTGGGCTCCGTGTAACTAATTTAGTATTTTTTGGTATCCTTTTATATTCTGGTATTTTTTGGTACATTTAAACTTTCAACTTTTTAAAACACATTTTGATATATTTTTGGGCTGGGCGGGAAACACTCACTTTCATTCGTTCGTATTTCGTTCACATGTTTTTGTCTTTGTCTGATGTTTACCGCAAATGTATCATTTTGTCTCTTTCGAACGGTTAATGCTAACAAATTCGCGAATCGTGCTTTGGCTACGTATTACTATCTACGTTACATGCTGTATTTTTTTATACATGGATGTTATACGGATGTTTTAGTTCTTTATTTATTTCTCTCTGTGTGCATGTGTAGTGAAGATAATGAAGCGCAAATGCGATCAGAAATATAGATCTGAGTGGGAACAAAATTCTGAATTTTCGTCATGTTTGACAAAAGATAGAAATAATGAGAACGCCTTGTGTAAAACGTGTGGAGCAACATTTTTAAGCAGAATCGCTACAATTAAAAGTCATGCATATTCTGAAAAACATCGATAGAAACTTATACGTTATAGTGGACAATCCAAGGTAAGAAAGCTATGCCCCCATTAACATATATATTTATAAGATTATTGTGTCCCTTATTTTTTTATGGCACATGAATTAATTGTCCTACTTCTTCAGGATGTCCGATGAATCTTGGATAGTACATGTACACACATAATAATTATATAAGTATAATTGATTTAAATTCATCAAATTAATCAAATCCTGTTTATTTTCAGAACGATGATAAATTACTTCAAATGAAAGAACCCATATCTGAAAAAGTAAGAAAAGCAGAGCTTATATTTTATGCAGCGTTGGCAGAACATAACATACCATCTCGGGCCATGGCCATGGATCCATGAATCATCTCAGCGATTTATTCAGCAAAATGTTTTATGATTCGGAAATCGCAAAGGGCTTTTCCTGCAAACGCACTAAATCTGCTCAGTTAGCTCAGTGCAGCGAATACTGACTTAGTATTTGTAATAAAACTTATTGTAAATATTTATTATTATTTGAATATGTCTGTACAATGAAGGTGTGTAATTGGTAAAATTAAAAAGTATCTGATAATGAGTGTTTTAATAAAAAAAATCCTCTTTTTCTTTTAGTATATTTTTAGTATAATTCAGCATGTGTTTTGGTATTATTTAGTACTGGCACCTTGTAGTTTTGGTAGATTGGCATTTTTTAAAACGGTCACACTGCACACCAGTTATCAGAAAAATTAAAAAAAACATTAAGTCATGTATTTGACGACTCATTGGTCTAGTGGTTAGTACCCCTGACTGCGAATCCATGGGTCCCGGGTTCGATCCCCGGCTGAGACGAACATCGATGTGATGAGCATTTGGTGTTGTGCTTAGGTCTTGGATGTTTAAATATGTATTTATATGTCTATCTATCTATAATATGTATGTATAGCCGTTGCCTAGTACCCATAACACAAGCTTCACCAGCTTAACATGGGACTAGGTAAATTGGTGTGAATTGTCTTTAAAAAAAAAAAAATGTATTTTTGAAGTTATGGAAATTTTCCTTTTATTCCAGAAAATGTACACCATGTGACAGTTTTTTCATTCCTGTTGTTACAAATATTTACTTTTTGCCAATTTTTTTTCTCCTACGGCATCCCGAATAGTGCTTTATATAACCTATGATCCAAAACCCTGTGCCGATCACTCCAACTTGTAGGAAAATGTCATTTTATACCGTACCAAGTTATCAAAATTAATTTTTCGCACTAGTTCAACTGATCGTCCTGAAAAAAAAATGTACTACTCCAGTTTGGCAAGCAGCTTTAAAAGTTCGCGCATTTAATAAGGATTCTAACGTGGTGTAACACGTACATACTTCATTATTTCTTAGATCGGCCATAAAAAAATTTTTTGGTAAACAAAGTCTGTTTTTAAAAATTTCTCTGGAATTACAAAAAACGATTCTAGTGTACCCAAAGCGTTCCTAATAACCACCGCGTGGTTTAAATAAGATGGCGTAAAGTGTGAGCGAGACAGATAGTGACGCTACTTATTGCTATTGACACACGCACTACAGGTCAGTACGCAACGCTCCTTCGTTTACTACGCATCTTTTCGTATTCGCTGGTGTTATTTTGTGTTCTAACTACTTTGGCTTCGTTTACGGACTTGTTTGCTTGTGATTTGGATTTTACATTTGTGATCTACGACGACCTTTACTTTTCCCTGGACTTACGTGTTATTGTGTATTTGTACCATACCATGGCTACGTACACTACACAGGAATATGCTAACATGCACCTCATTTATGGGGAATGTTTATGTAATGCCAGTGAAGCCGCTAGACGGTATCGCGTGAAATACCCTAATGCAGATCGCTATCCGGATCACAGAGTTTTTACCAATGTGCACCGTCTACTGTTCTCTGAGGGCCGACTGCCAAACCAAGTGCACGGTGAAGGTAGAATTTCACTACCCTACGAGGCAGTTGTCCTTCAAGCAGTTGATGAGGACCCAAGTTGTTCGGTACGTGGAATTGAGGCCAGCACAGGTGTGCCCAAAAGTACAGCACCGAATACTACAAAAAAATGAGTTCCATCCATTTCATGAACAGCGAGTACAATCCTTATTACCTCGAGATTATAAACCTCGGGTTGCTTTTTGCCAAACAATAATTCAAAAACACCGAGAAGACCCACAATTCTTAGAAAAAATTGTATGGTCGGATGAATCAACTTTTAAAAAAGACGGCTACATGAACCTACACAATCTGCACGAGTGGCACGTCGAAAATCCACGATTGATGAGACCAGACAGATCACAGTACCGTTTCAAAGTTAACATGTGGACTGGAATTTTGAACGGAAAAGTCATAGGGCCTTTTGAGTTACCAGAAGTTTTAAATGCTGAAATTTATTTAGATTTCTTACAAAATCATTTGCCCAATTTGCTGGAGGACGTGCCGCTTATTATTTTACGAGATATGTGGTTCCAGCAAGATGGTTGTCCAGCGCATTACAGCCGCTTAGTTCGAAACCACCTTAACGAGGAGTATCCAGACAGATGGATAGGGCGGGGTGGTACAATCTCGTGGCCCGCCCGCTCACCCGATTTAAATCCTCTTGATTTTTTTACTGGGGAGCAGTAAAGGAAAAAGTCTATTCCAAGTCGATGCAAAATGTAGAAGAGCTTAGATAGAGAATAGCGGAAGCAGTAGAATTTGTGAATAATGGACGATTTGCCCGCTTCATTTCACGATCTTTTTTAAGGAGATGTCGAGCCTGTATTGCAGCTGAAGGACGGCAATTTGAACATCTTTTATAAAAAAAGTAATAAATCTAATCATAAAAAAGAAACTGTCTATTTTACTTATTTGCGTCCGTATGTCATAAGCGTCACTATCTGTCTCGCTCACATTTTATGGAATGTCTCTCTCCATCTTATTTAAACCACGCTGTGGTCATTAGGAACGTTTTGGGTGCGCTAGAATCATTTGTTGTAATTTCAAAGAGATTATTAAAAACAGACTTTGTTTAACAAAAAAAAATTCTTATGGCCGATCTAAGAAATAATGTAGGGAAAATCGATTTTTTTACGCGATTTTTAAATTTAAAATAATCGATTAATAATTGATTATTTTTATAATTGAAAATCAATCATAATCGATTTTTTATCTGCCACCTCCCGACATTATGTCTGGTATTTTAAAACCCGGACCTCGAACTATTAGGGATATTCGATACACAACGATGTTTACAATGCGATACATTGAATCCGATTCTTTGAAGATGTATTGATATACTCGATACATTGATGTTTTTTTGTAAAACATCAAAAGGATGATAAAAGCAGTTAATTTTACAAAAACTCAAGTTTGAATGGAACACTATAATTTAAAAGTAAAATAAATTTATTCAGCAGCACAAGACTACATACAATTAAAACGACAACAAAAATACTGCAATGTGCTACTGAAAAGGACGCTCAGCATTTATCAAAAATCTATCAAAACGAGATTAAGTTAATTTTGATTATTCTTAAACGTTAAATTGTGTTTATAATTTCTATTGTTTATTTTTAATTTAAAAAACCATGAAAAATAAAATATTTAGGGTGTTTATTTTGAAATTAATTAAAAAATTAGGAAAAAATCGATTAATAAAAAAAATCGATTATTTATTAATCGATTATTCAATTAAAAAAAAATCTATTTTTTATGCAAAATGTCACATCCCTAAAATAATGGACTAAGTGTTATACCACTGTAGAATCCTTATTAAATGCGCTAACTTTTAAAGCTACTTGCCAAACTGGAGTAATACATTTTTTTTCAGGACGATCAGTTGAAGTAGTGCGAAAATTAATTTTGAAAACTGTATAAAATGACATTCCTAAAAGTTGGAGTGATCAGCACAGAGTTTAGGATCATAGGTTACATAAAACACTATTCGGGATGACGTAAGAGAAAAAAATTGGCTAAAAGTAAATATTTGTAACAACAGGAATGAAAAAACTGTCACATGGTGTGCATTTTCTGGAATAACAAAAAAATATCCATAACTTCAAAAATACATGACTTATTTTTTTTTTTTAAGTTTTCTGATAACTGTGTGGCATTACCTATGAGAAAATTTCGACTTGACGTCGACTTTTGGGACACCCTGTATAAAGTAGTGGTATTATGAACAGTGGGGTGAGTTATTATTTTAATAACGGGTATAATTTTTTTTTCTATTTACTATCAATATTATTTTACAATATACGCCCAACATATTCGAAATTCCAAATGGACGAGATATAAAGTTCAAAATAACAACTCGTTTAATAATAATATAATATGTAATACATGTACTCCAGTAAACATTTTTCACGTTAAATAAAGATATTTAAAAAAAAACATGTATGGTATTACAATGTCAGAAAATTCAGAAATCTGAGGCCAAGACCTAAAGAGATGTAGCGCCACTGATTTATTTTTTATTACTATATCAGAATATAATAATACATTTCAAATAAAACTTTTTATGTAAATATTCCCTTTGCATATAAACAAAGTTTTCGATGGTAGTCTATTAAACCACGTTTAAGTACTACCTTTGCTAAATTCTACATGTTAATACCTATACAAAATACAGAGGAACTACGCCACAACAAATATACATTCTAGAACATCTTAACAAATGCATTTAATTTAATACTATATTTTTTATTAAGCTACACATTATAGTAGACAGTTAAATGACAAAACAAATTTAATATATTATCAAATATATTAAGAATATGATATTATTTATTTTTGGGACTAGATGTAACAACACATACAATATATTAAACCTCTTAAATAATATAATCTGTAATCTGATATTACGCACATTAAGAAATACTTTGACAGTGCGTCCGTCTGAACGATATTGTTTTATAGTTTAGTAGATAGAACGATAGAATTCTAACAAGAGCTGTCAAAAAAAAAATCTTTTTTACTTATTAATTGTGCTTAATACAAGATCATGACTGAACATAAATTTGCAACATACAATTGTATTTAGATTAAATGTATATTGAATTATATTTAATAATATATTCTTAAATAATTTCACTAATTACATAATTAATAATATAACCATTAGCAAAATGGAATAAAATAGAATATTTTTTTTATAGTTGTCATGGTTTACAATCCGAAAATGGACGTAACAATTAATTGTTAAAGCTAAAAAAATATATATGTATATATCATTTAATTTCCACCACAAAAATATGATAATAGACATAATAAGTTTTTTATTAATTATTAATTAATTGTGGGGATTCGTCAATAATAATTGTTTTAATTTGTAAAATCATAATTTACTTTAACAAACAATTAATACATCTTTAAAATATAAATATTTTTATACCACATTATACATCTATTGTATGTAATATACTTTGTAATATAGAGTTTTTGACCGCCATAGACTATATGTGTTATCAAATTTGAGTAAATAAACGCCTTCGCCAGGGTAGGTGTGAGATCCTGCATACACCTGAATAATAATAAAAAATTAAATCTTTGGTTTTTTACACATTAGGGTAATTATTGAAGTTATACTTCTTTAGGCGCGTTATGAAAAATTGATGAGAGTGAAATTTTACGACGGGCGCGCACCGTGACACAAAATTAACAGAATGAAGTTGCCCACGGAAGATGCTACGGCATTGTACATAATTTAAAAACTTTAACATTCGAATAATAATAGAATTTATGTTACACTTAATGTAAGAGAAAAATAATAAATATTTATTTATTTAATTTTTCAAATGTAAACTGAACTTTATTGACTATAATGACTCCTTTTCCAGGCTTCGATTATTTAATTGTAATTAATTATTTGCATGCAATCAAAAACTATTTTTAATAATGCCAAAGAAGTATAACTTCTTACGCGCGCACATGAGTACACGCACCCTTTTTTTTGTAATTTTTAGTACATTTAATAATAACAATTATATTTCATGAGTAAATGAACATGAATGTCATCGATTTTAATTTTTTCGTAAATTTAACCTTGTATAATTTTAAAATAATTGTAATGGTTTAGGTCCTTCGAGAGTATTTGGATCGTCGTATTTTCAGAAGAAATTAAAAAAAAACTAAATTTAATAGTTATCGTTGCTACTTACTTCAGTGTGACAATCACGCCTGTATATAGGTACAATAAGACTGACAAGAGGCCGCGGTGTGTTTTGCACTCGTTTGCCGGAACCTACTTCCGGATCTGTGCTATTTTGTATTGTATACTCTGTAAGTAAAATTTCGATGTCATAATTATTAATTTTTAAAGACAAACATTTTTCATATTTGCAAAAGCAATGAAAACTAACCTTCGTCTGCATCATCATCGTCATCGCCGTCGTCTTCATCATCAGACTCCGACACGTGTACAGTTACTTCTGATGTAGTTGACTTGCTCCATTCAAAGTGAAGACCAAAACCTGTAAACACATCCATTGATTGATTGATAAGAAAATATAAATAAACTGTAGTAATGGCATCAACGATTCACTGAATGAATAACCTTGGTGCCTGAACAGCATATTCAATCGCTTAAAACTAAAGACAAAACAATAAATTAAAAACCATTAAATAGATTTCATGATTAATAAAGACCCAAACAGATAATATAATTCCAAATTGGAATCGGTGTACAGATTCGTAAAGTTTTAGATTTTTTTTGTCTGTTTATTTGTTTTGTCAGACAAAAAAAAGCATTATTTTAAATTATAAAATCGTACCAACTTATCGCAAATTTTAAACTATAAGATCACTGTAGTAGAAGTAGAGACAGTTGAAATGGTATAGTATGGGAGACAGGTATTAATTATGTAAAAGGATTTTCATATTTAAATTATATAAATGTAAAATTTTTTCTTAATTATCACAGTTCTAATTCTTGCAATATTCAATTGTACTTACACTAGAGATAATACAAAGTTTGGATTTTCCAAAGTTAATTACCCCTAAAATTTGATTCTTGGGTTGGTAAATCTAGTATCTTTTCCGAGCTTCAGGATAAAAAACATTACTAAACAGAATATCATACCTATATCATAATGGTCAGTAGCAAACTCCCAACATATGGACCGAGCTCTGGAATGAGTAGGGACACGTATTGTCACTGTCTCCCCATGCCCTACTGTTAGCATTCCTCCATTTGCCCGAGCTGATTCTTTAAACTCATCAACTTCACTACGAGTCCACATACGAGCCTCTTCAACTGCTGGTAAGCCATCTGGAATTAATATATATTATAATAGATTCCACAGGATGTAAACTAATTAAGAATCTTGAAATTAAACACCTACCATCAATTTCCGATTCTCCATCATCTTCCCTTGATTCATCATTATAATCATGTATTTCAGGTTTTTCTGTTGTTTGCATTGCTCTTAAAAGAAAATTAAAATAAAATATAAATGAGTTTATAATAAATGTTTAATTCTAACCCAATTTATCAGATATCCTGGGTTGTTCCCAAATATTGTTTTAGGGTTAAAGACAAAAAAGGCTTGCCATTCATATTTCATTATGACAATATGTTAAAATCATTTACACTTATATCATCAAAGGGTCGGTTAAAGTAACATTTCTATAGTATTCATAGTGTGTAACATACATACTTGCTATCAACAACATTCTCTGTATCATTTGAATTACAATCCTTTGTCACTTCAATATTTTCTTTGTCCTCAATACAAGAAATATTTGACTTTGCTAATCTCTCATCAACAGCAAGCTGTTGAATATATTGTTGGTAATGTTGATCCTGCAGCTGACGTATTAGCACAGCTTGTTGGTCAAAGTTGCCTGGAAACTGCTGTCGAGCATACTCCAAAAACTGGTCATAAGACTGCACATTTAGTGCATCTTTTATTCTTTGCCTGAAAATGTAGTTGATTCTTCTACAAGCCATTTTGTTGGTTATTAGTACATGTACGTAAATGTTAAAATTATTTATATTTTCTATAGTGATGAAGAATGTGTGCGACAGTTTATTTGATTAAATTACTCAATTACCATAGCTTCTAACAAAAAATAATAACAGACTAATTACTGATGTTGTTAGAATAAATTCTGATTAAAATTAAAATATGACATCCTTTAAATAAGATCTAGATACTAAAAATCTTAATTAAATATGTAATTAAAATGTGTTTACTTATATTATAGTATTAAAACTTACACTTGTTGGTCTTCAGTTAATTTGTTGCACTGTTGTTTCTCTTTCTCCAGAATAATTCTGTTTTCCAAATCTTTGTGGCTTTTTTCTTCTCTTTCTTTAATTATCCTAGAAACACGATACATTAGGATTATGTCCACTTCACCAGTCTTAATTATATTTATGTTATACTGCTAAAATTATACTTACTCCTCCTGTATTTTTGATTCCATATCTTTTTGAATTGCTTCCAAGTAAGGTCTAAACAATGGGCACAATCTGCAAAATATAATGATTGTGAAATTTTGTTTAACCAGCAACATAATATAGTATTTAGTTTTTGTATTTATGTTAATGATCTGAAACTTCATATTAATAATTCTATATAAGCAAAGTTTTTACCTATCCAGAGTGTGTACAAAGCCTGTCATAGCTTGAATTTGAGACATTTGGCCAAGGTTTTGCCATGCCGCCCTTCTATCTCTTCCAATGACATCTAGAACTCCTAATGGTGAAGCTGAGGTTACATCCAATGGACCATGAGCTGCTTGCTGTGTATATGCTACTAGCTTCAGCTTGTCTTCATAACTCAAGTGCATAGCCTTTCCATCTTTATCTGGAAAAAAATTATTTACATTAATGTGTAGAGATATATCAAAAAGTACATGTTTGCAAATTAGTGACCGGCAGAGTATACAAAATCGGTGCGAAAGTAAAATTACTGTATCAAACAGGTTTGACAGTATTCAAATTTTCGTATACAAATTTTACTAAGTAACAAAGGTAGAGTATTGGAGACATACTAAAATATGTATTAATTATTTAATAAAAATTCAACGAGCAATAAATTGATCTTACCTTTGTAAAAAGACAGCCCGTGTTTATATACTTCTCGCAAAGGTAGACCCCATCTTCTTTCTTCGCTCTCTATGATTCCTTGATCCGTTTCGAGAGGAATTTTTTCTGCGTTAACCCTCATGCTTTAATGACTAAATTATTTTTCTTGATAGACTCAAGTTAACTTCAAATTCTTATGCAAAAATATAAATAACAATTTACGAATGAGAAAATGAATGATAAAAATAGAAAAGTCAAAACGTTGCTGACAAGAACGGTATGACTGACGACTGATTTACTCTTCTGATAGCCGTCGCCGACGACAGTCACAAAGTGTGACTATTACAATGACATTATGACAATGACAATGAGCTATACTCCCATTTCTAAGTCTAATATTTGACACCTTTGTCAGATTGACTACTTTAGTTAGTACTTTTACGTGTTAGTAGTTAGTAGACTGTGCATTTTGTGGTTGTGCATGAGATGACAGTGATGTGACAGCTATGTTTTTGTTTTTTTAAATAAAATTTAAATTTTTATTTCAACATGTTACAAAATTTTATTTTAAAAGGATTTCAAGTTAAACTACCCAGCAGGACGAAGATCTTAAATAAATTAACGATTTACAACCGACCTTGCAGACACTGTGCGTCCAGGTTATATTCTAGTCAGAAAATTCAAGTTTTACATTGTAATCTTGAAAGAAAAACCCTTAGTAAAACCAATATTTTCACTGTGAAAACTAGACGCTATACCAGTGAAGTTGACGCTCAAAAGAAAAATGGACAGATTGAAACTCTAAAAGATAAAACTGTGATAGCAACTAACGTAAAACTAAAATCATCAGAGTTAAGAAGATTATTCAGTCTAGCTGGTCCTGAAAAATGGACTCTTACAGGTATTGAAGATATAAATAATGTTTTAATTCCTTAATAAGTTTATTAACTTAATGTCTAATAATACTTATATTATGGTACTTTTTAGGTGCTATTGGTTTTCTTATCATATCATCAAGTGTGACCATGGCAGTACCATTTTCACTTGGGAAAGTTTTAGACATTATTTATGATACAACCAGTGATTTGGGGGCTGCAAGAGAGAAACTTGACTCTTTGTGTCTAATGCTCTGTGGGGTGTTTCTTCTTGGAGGATTGTGCAACTTTGGCAGGGTTTATTTAATGTCAATATCAGGTAACTTAAAAAAGAAATATTTAAATATTTAAAGTTGTGCAACATTATTTAAAACTATTACCTTGAGACGTTTCTTATCAATTTTTTATGAATATCACAGTCCTACATTTTTGCATAAACAACTAGTTTAATAAGTTTTGAATGTTGCATAATAATGATAACATGTCTTGACCTAGGGAATAAACTGTTTCCTAATAGCTAAATTTATCTAAATAAAACTGGGGTCTAAATCATTGAGTTTATAAGAGTCATAACCTTGTTTCATATCTTACATAAAATAAGATCCTAAAAACAACACTATTTATTCAAGAAACAGGATTGTCAAGGAATTACATTAATGAAACTTGTTATTTTTTTAAATTATTTCAATATATGCACAGTTTGTGACTTTATGATTATAATTCTAAAACATATGCATATTTATCTTCTGATATTGTTGCCATTGCTAAAAGCGTTCTTAATATCAAGTTATGTAAATAATTGTTAGTAATTTGTGTTTACCCAGTATAGAAGTTTTATTGTATATTTATTATAAAGTTAATATTTTTTATTAAATATATTAAGTCCTTGTTAAAATAAACTTAAACACACTCAAAACCTTTAAATATTTATCATAATATAGATGCTTATCAATCTATTATACTCTAATAATACACCATTTCTATATATAAATCTTCAATAAATAAACCAAGCAGTTATAAAAAGGATTAAATTAATATCAGAATATTTTAGGACAAAGAATGACACAGGCCCTCCGTAAGCAAGTGTTTGGTGCAATAATGCGCCAAGAAACACAATGGTTTAGTAAAAATTCAACTGGAGAACTCGTAAATAGATTATCTGCAGACACTCAACTGGTTGGACGAAATCTAAGTCAAAATGTTAGTGATGGATTAAGGTCTTTTTTTATGGTGGGCGCTGGAACTGGCATGATGGTATGTATTATTTAAAAAAATATTACACTTAAAATAGGTTGTATAAATAGATTTTTAAGTCTTTAGTATAATATCACAAATATCGCCTCTGATATGATAATACAACATATATGCATACAAGAGGCCCTGCGTTTGTCATCAAGTGAGATAGTGAAATATTGAACACAATTTGGGAAAATAATCAAAACTGAATCATGCTATTTTACTGAGCTTTTTTATGAAGTTAATTTCAAGGATATTTTTTTTATTTATCCTTATACAGTGGTACCTCTATATACGAGTGTTTTGAAATACGTGCAGACGAGCGAGCGATATTTTGATTTGAGATGAGAGCAAGATTTGAGATACGAGTTACATTTAGTGTAACATAAATTCCATTATTATTCGAATGTTGTTTTTAAATTATGTCCAATGCCGTAGCATCTTACGTGGGCAACTTCATTCTGTTAATTTTGTGTCACGGTGCGCGCGCATTGTAAAATTTCACTCTCATCAATTTTTCATAACGCGCCTAAAGAAGTATAACTTCAAACATCGCGCAGGGCACGAAACTCATTTGCATTCATGAAATTAATGCATGCATTTCGAAAATATTGATTTACACGTGAATGGTAAAAAAATGGCACGAAATTAATTTCATGCCACTAATTTCGTAATGTAATTCCGGCTTTACCTATAAGGAAAATTGCAACAGGATTTAATACAAATAATTTTTCAGTTCTATATGTCACCATCGCTAGCTTTAATTGGTTTGTGTGTGGTACCTCCGGTATCCGTACTAGCTGTTATTTATGGACGATTCGTTCGAAGTATTACTAGACAATTACAGGATACACTTGCTGATACAAGTGAGGTAAGAAGATTTAATTAAATAGTTGTATGGTAAGCTTACCCTGTATTTACAGCATTTTAAGTTAATATGGACTTTATTGTTATTTGATTATGTGCTTATATAATATGACTCCATAATTAGTGGAATCAGTTGGTTTGCAATTGAGGCGATAATTACAACTTAATTTGTAAGCAACAAATAAAGCTTATTATGTGATTGTTATAGATAAAATAAATGTGAGTCACTTAAAAAAAGACTAATTTAAAGAAAAAACTTTTTAACCGGATTAAAGTTATTTATTGTTATAAATTTACAATTATTTAACATAATTTTAAATTTATCCGACGTTTCGCGTGCTTTACAGCGTGCGTGTTGACCACGTTTATAACAATACATAACTTTAATCCGGTTAAAAAGTTTTTTCTTTAAATGTGTAAAGGTTATGTCAATAAAAGACAATACTAAGAATAATTTAATTTGTCCGTTGAGTATTATTCATTGTGTACTGGAGGTCGTGGGTAGAAAACAAATACTTGTTTCAGTTTTAAAGGCCAAAAGGCTGCTAGTCAGCTCACCTTTGAAATACCACCACATTGCTTTATGTGATTCGATCATATTTCTTTATAATGTGTGAAATTTGAAATTATTATTGTTTACTGGACAGCCCCTATAGTTCTAGCATCCGTTCTTCACTAAGTAATTAATATAAATTATTTTCGTCTATCACAAAATGCATAATATTAGATTAGACTTACAGGTCAAAGTGTATCAAAGTGTGTCAAAGTGTTTCCACAATAGTTATATCGAGTTAAATTTCAGTTAGCCGAGGAAAAAATATCAAATATTAAAACAGTGAAAGCATTTAGTAAAGAGAAGAGAGAGTGCGAATCGTATGCGCAAAGAATAGAGAATATATTGACATTGGCCTATAAGGAGTCGTTGGCTGTGGGGAGTTTTTATGGATTGGTAAGGTTTTTTATTTTCTTATTTATAAAAAATAAAATAGTCCTGTCTCTTTTTATTATAGCGTAAACATTGTTTGGCAGAAAGAGACGGAATAGTACTTTAGTTAGGGAGCAATTGGACTGTCTTAGTTTTTATGATTGAGGTCATTATCAAAATTGTTTTTCATATATTCATAAATAGTTTTCGTACCCTTAAGTCGAAAGATAGTAGGTATTTTATCTAAACGGTCAAATTCAAATTAAATTTATAAGGAGGGGTAATATTTATTTATTTATTAAAGTTCACCACATCATATATATATAATGCATTTTTACAGTATATGTTACAACTTACAAGCTATCTATTCTAAAATACATGACAATAATTATGGTGTTACTAAAAATAAAAAAAACAATAAAAATATTATACTTCTTAATTTTTTGCTTAACAATGCGGATTAGGTAACAGGCACTTAACAATGCTTTTATAAAATTTATTCAGAGACAAAAGTTTAACTGTGAGACCCGTCAATGTCAAAAACGTATTAGATTATGACGTACGAGAGTCACACTTTGGGCTAAGTCTTACCTTTAGAAGGGTTTCTTTGGTCTTCGTCCGACATACGTTTGAACCGTAAACAAAAAACTTGGACAAATGATATCACGTTACCATGGTTACCGCTTTTACCATGTAGGACACTTCGTAACTATGGTTCGCACGGTGGAAATGGTGCGATTGAGTCCATGTTTTGTTTGCTTGCTATTTAAGAGTTATTTTCTAAGTCATGTAGATCGCAAGCTCACGGTATTGAGTTATTAGTTTCTTTTTAATGAAAAAAGGACAAAAAAATCCTGCTGTTTCAGGTTTATGTCGATTATAAAGTAACACTTCTGTTCTCTCAGCCTGTAACAAAATCCTTACATTATTAGATGAAGTCCCCAGTACCTATCTAACTATATATGTATATATAAACTTACACATAAACTCACCACACATCTCCAGAGTAATGAGCGATGAGGGAAATTAAATTCGTTTCTTTGCCAGCCTCAGCTTGCAAGGTGCAACGTTCCATGAACGTAACATAGTATATCCTTATTATATACTTAAAATTGTATGCTCTTCACTTTTAGTTATCTAAGAAGAGGCCTTTGGCCCGTATAGTAAAATAAATACTTAGAACGCTTATTAATTAAAACGCTAACCTCGAATATTGATAATCTCTCGAAATGTCCAGATTAAAAAAGTTTTATTGAACTATTAGCCTATTCTAGTTAAGCGTGTCTCTTAACACTGCGTGCGTTTATCATTTTTTAACTACTACGGTGAAAGCAAAAACCGAAAATCAAAAGAAAAAGACAGGCATCGCACTTGCACTTCTGACAAGGAGAGTGTCTATGGGCGGCGGTATCACTGAACATCAGGTGAGCCTCCTGCCCGTTTGACCCTTATTGTATAAAAAAAATTCTAAAAATATTGGCCTGTAGAGCAACTGATGTAATTAGTATTATTATTAACCAGTTTATTTAACAATAGGTTGGGTAAATGATTTAACGTTTACAGACGGGTCTATCTGGCAACACAATAATAATCCTAGTACTTTACTATGGGGGTGGTATGGTGGCCACAGAGCAACTAACAGTGGGTAATTTAACGTCGTTCTTACTCTATGCGGCATATGTGGGCATAAGTATTGGTGGACTTAGCAGTTTCTATACAGAGATGAATAAGGGCATTGGTGCTGCGACACGGCTTTGGGAAATTGTGGATCGGGAGCCGAAAATTCCAGTTTCCGGTGCGTTTTATTTTAATTTTAAAATTGTTCAGGTTAACTTAAATCTTTGATATAGATGTCGTGTTTCCCCCTTGCTAAAGTAGGGTTTTTCTCAACGTGGGCCCCACGAACCACAGGGGGGCAGTTAGATTGTTGGGGAGGGTGCTATTCGTAAATTTATTAAAATTATTTGGAATTTTTCATTTTGTTTTGAAAACTTACAATTTCTTAGTAATTTCTTCCTAAATTCTATTTTTTAATACTAAAAATGATGGATGTTACATAGAGGGAACACTGGTCTAAACTCTAAATATTCATTTTTATAGGAACAAGCGAGCGTTTCTTTATTCCTCTGTTTACACTCTTTATTCTGATAGGTGGAAGGTGAAATTATCGAAAGACTTTTAATATTGTCTTATCAAGGATTATGCTAGAAATTTTCACTTTTATGAGTAAAATTATATAATATTAAATTTAATAATAAGCTATTGTTAAATGTGATGAAAAGAAACACTCTTATTAGTAAAGAATTCTACTATTCCCGCCTCTTTTCATCATAGTGTAAACACGATTTGACAGAAAGAGACAAATTGAAATAAGTTGTCTTTTTTTTAACTGTTTTTCTCAAATTTCAATTTGAAATAAACAATACAGCGGTAAAAATACCACTAAGAATACATTTTAAGATTTCTAGATTCTAATCTATGGTTTTAGGCGGTCTCAGACCAGTGGACCGTCCTCATGGCGAAATAATATTAGAAAACGTAACATATAATTACGGTGGGGCGCCATTGCTGAAGGGTTTGAATCTGCATCTCCATCCGGGGAAGTCGGTGGCTCTTGTGGGGAGATCAGGGTGCGGAAAGAGCACCATCGCCTCTCTCATATTGAGGCTGTATGACCCTGAGAATGGGAGGATCCTCTTAGATGGTCGTGATATTAGGGAGTTGGATCCTGTGTGGTTGAGGAGTCATCTAGGTTTTGTCAGTCAGGTGGGTGCTGTTTATTGAAGTATTTTCGAAGCTATTCCACTTAGGGTCCTTTAAGAGCATACCAATTTTAAAAAGGCCGGCAACGCACTCGCGAGCTCTCTGGCATTGAGTGTCCGTGGACGGCGGTATCACTTAACAATAGGTGAGTCTCCTACCTGTTTTCCTCCAGTTCTATAAAAAATGGCGGTACTCCTGATATGTGCCCAAGTTTTTTGAAAGAGTTTCTAATATTTTATTGTTTCCAGGAACCGGTATTATTTACTGGATCAATAAAGGAAAACATTTTGTATGGCCTGGATGAGGAATCAACACTGGAGGAAAATGATAAGGTAGGTTTTTATTACTCCAAATGTTCAACTCTTGATTCTACTGATATTTAAGGATTTTTATAAGTAGTTTACAACAGGTATTAGAAGTAAAATATTTTTTTTTATTGAATTTGTTTTGATTATTCAAGTCGCCTTCGAGGGCGATACAACGATTATAGCGGTCATACAATTTTTCGATACCGTTTTTTTAAGATTCCTCTTTAGCCTCAAAATAGGCTTTAGTTTCGGTAATTACCTCTTCATCAGCGCAAAATTTCTATCCAGCGAGCATTCTCTTGTGATCTGAGAACAAATTTTTAAACAAGCAACAGTTCGTTTACTAAAAATACCATCACAAACTAATAGTACGACAGTTGTTAAATTTATACACGTGTTCTTTGCAGGTTAGGGCTAATTAAAAATCATATTAATGTATTACTAGTAGCGCCATCTATGTGTCAGCCTACGAACTTATCAGTCCACAGATTATGCACTCAAATTTTTAGTTCAACCTATTGTTTATCTATAACAATATTGTTTAAATACTCCACTGCTCGCAGGTCCTACTATATTTCTACACTAAACATTTATCCAAGGCTGTACTGGCATTTTGCTCACTCAGGCTTTCTTAGTTTTATAAGCGTGGCGATTTCCTAAATCGTCGGAATTACGCCCCGAAAGTATAGCCATAGGCACTCTCTTCAACTGTTACATTGCATTCATTCGTTACATAGCAATAAACATTTCGATATTTCGCTTTTATTCTATTGTACGCGAGTGGTTTATTTAGAGTAAAAATAAAATCCTCTATTATTTAAATCACCCGATGAGCCAGTAAAACTTACGGCGTTTAACACTAGACATGTAATTATTTATTTATTTATACAAAATATATACATTATCCTTATTAAGCCAATAATGTCGAAAAATATTTTTTTTTTTTATTTTTGTTATTTATTATATACAATAGTATAATAATACATAAGATACACAATATCGCTCCTGTACTCTGCGAACATATCTTGTATATATTTCGTCAAAGATGTCGATAGTGTCAGAGGCAGCATACAGTAAGCGCAACGTCTTTATTAACGGGGATCTGTGTAACAGACTGGTTCTGGCCCTTGCCCTTCGCCGTATATCCCCTAGGTACAAAGAAACCGAGTACTTGGAAAACACTTGGGTTGCTTACCATCGCAAGACTTTAAGTATATAGTAGGCCAACTGTAAATCCCGTCTTGTTTCTAATTTATTGTAACCCATCATCCCTAAGACAAAAATATATTCAATTACCCTCGCAACTTAAAAAATACTATCAGACAGAATGCCACTAAATCAAGGTTTAACACAGGCTTCACAGTCACTTACAAATTTATAGTAAAGCTGTAAGGTTTTTCAAAATAAAGTTTTAGTTAGTTTTACGAGTTTAGTCTCGTTTCCTATTTATACCATCAGCGCGAACTATATGTTAGCCCTAAATTGTTTATCGCTTTCAGTCAAAGAGTTTTTTTAATAGATAGGGTTATTCATTACTTTATTACTTTAGGAGGAGGCATGGCTCCAAGCAGCAAAAGCGGCTCAGCTGCAAGAGCTGGCGAACCAGAGCAGAGCGGGTTGGGAGAGGCAGGTGGGAGCGGGGGGCTCCGAGCTCAGCGGGGGTCAGAAGCAGAGGGTGGCCATCGCAAGGGCTATTGTTAAGGTACCTATTATTTATTCATGAAACATGGGGCTAAAGTACTTGGAAAGTGTTACATGGTCTAGCCTTACTAGGGTGTTACACCGTCCTAAACATTTATGTTACCTGTTTTTATCTGTAATGTAACAAAGTTTTACATAAATGGCGTATAACACATGTCACGCTGACAATTGACCGAATGTCAATTGCTAGAGATTTCGAAAATTAAACAACATCCAAAATGTTTTAAGTAAATTAATTTATACACTCATATAAATATAATATTTTTTATATTTATACATAGTAAATGTAACCGAGAAGTCACAGACTCCTGAAATCTTTACATCAGGAGCCTGGAACATGTTTGTAATCTATGGCAATAAATTATTATTATTGCAGAATCCAAAAATCCTCATCCTAGATGAAGCTACCTCAGCATTAGATACCTATTCCGAATATTTAGTCGACAAAGCATTAAAGGAGATAAGCAGAGAGCGCACAGTACTGACGATAGCACATCGACTTAGTACCATTCAGTCTGCGGACGAGGTCGCGGTGATAGGCAACGGCGTGATCGTGGAAAAGGGCTCCTACAAGGAATTAATGGAGAAACCGAACGGATATTTCAGAGAGCTCATAACGCATCAGACATTTATGAAGCCTAAAGAAAAAAGTTAACCTAAATTATGGAGTAATTGTGACGGCATGACGTTTCAATTGACATTTTTCTTATCGGTTTCGAGACAAGGCATGGCTTCTAGATAATTAAAAGAGTAAAGCAAAAAATATTAATTTATTATCTGTGCTAATTCTGATGTTATATTTAAATTATTGAAATGTTTTATTGTTTAGAATAATTTAATTTAAATAATAAAAGATCGACTATTGACAAACCACAACTTCTTATGTATTTTTATAATATGCAATATATTTATAATAACAATAAATAATTTTATAATAATAATAGCAGTTTTAGGATTGCTTTGAGTTTAAAAGCTTGTTTGCAAATATGGATTACATCAGAACTAGCATCAGTTATGACGAATATTTATTCATAAAAAACTAAATCAGTTTAATAATACTGTTTTTTTTGTTAGTATGATTAAATACCTGTTTTATTGCAATTTCACATAAAACAAAATATATTTAGACATATACATAAAGAAAAATTTATTAAATTTTTGGCGCCATATAATATACTCTCATTATAAACGCTACTGTAAAAATATTTCGCGGTAAGTAAAACCATAAACGCTCAATAAAGTACAGAGTTATAGGGAGCGCATTTGACAGTTTACATAGAATGATGTAGACAGATAAAGGAATCGGGTAGCATTTTTCAGGTAACATTTAGTTATTGGTGCTGTGGTTTATGAACATTTTTTTATTATTTTGTTTGACAAAAGTACAATAAAGCATTGTGATCACATCACTGCCATTTTTTGCGTAAATTTTTGTTATAGTATATAATATTAAGTTTGTGCAATTTTTATTAAAATTAGGGTGTGGTAACGACGGTTATGTTAATATTAAATTACTTTTTGTATATATGAATTAATTACAGATTGCGCGACTGGTTTTTAAACGAAACTAGTCGCGCTATCTATATCTATAAGTTTTTTGCAACGAGTTTGACAAAGTTAGCTTAAAATATGTATGTTATTTAGACGCACGTGTAACTTAGTTATTTAGTTAGTAAATTAAACTTTGTCAAACTCATAGACAATCTAAATTGGAAAGACAAGCTAAGACGAAAAATTTAATAATCCTAAAATCTATTGGTATTTTTGGAAATTACGATATTTTAAAATGAGAAATACAAATTAAAATTATAATTGTTCGCAATAATCATATCTAAATCAGCAAGGTTACTCTGTAAAATTGATACCAGTTTCTAATTATTGACTTAATTGGAGCTGTCGTATAGTGCCGATTCCAATAACTTAGACGTTTTAACAAGGAAAAGTTGTTGTTTTTCGGTGCTGAAGTCACAAATAATATCGAATTTACAGAGTAAGCCTTCAGTTAGAAAAAATATACTTAGCCGTAAGTACGACAAGCGTACAACTTTTAAAACAATAGTTTTTTATTGTGATATATTTGTGTTGTAAATTAGATGTAAATTTTGATTGTATAGAATTAACGGGTTATGGAATATTTAAATAAATATTGTGGTTATTTCATTGTTTTTTAATTATTATTGTGTAAAAATATCGTCTTATCTTCAGACTGTATCCGTTTCTTTAATTTTTATTTCATTGACAAGTAGGTGATCAGCCTTCTGTCTGACATATAGATTTTTGGTTTTGAGAACGACCAAACGCCAAAGCCGGCATTTCTTAGACTCTAAAATCGACATCAAGTACAGGGCTACTTGATTATGCGTCTGAAGATGCTGGAAAAGGCGTATTGATGATTAATTTTTAGATACATTGTTCGAGGTTTTGCCTTGAACGATTACAAAGCACTGATAAATATGTAGGTAATTTGCATTTTACAAAGTCATAATTTAGTCTAGTTTTATGAGCTATCAACCTAATTTTACCTATGTATAAATTGCTAGGTACCTTAACTGCGGAAATTTGACTTTGGAAATTATGAAACCTATGAAACTGGAGGTATGTATGAAAGTTTAAATTTTTTTTTTATTACAGCTGATGCTGGCTCAAATTATCTATACAATTTTGCCATTTTGACGGCAATTGGTTTATCCGTTTACTATAGAAGTCTGCCGGCCGCGAGGCGATGAAGTTAGCGAAAGGCTTGTACTGACTCTGTGGAGAATTTTTTCCCACTTAAAAAATTGTCTAAATTAAAAAAAATCTTTTGGAGCAAGGTCCAGCGAGTACTGTACCAGCTTTTACTCTCGTAGCTTTGCGATGGTCTGTCGTGAAGTCTGAGCTCGGGCGTAGTCGTGGAGAAGCAATGTGGAAGAAAAATTGACCAGACCAGTCTTGGTTGTTGAATTCCGAGCATCTCCATCATAGTATAAAGCTTTATGTACAAGACAGTCACCATCTTCTTTATCTGAGTAATCTGTTTTTAGCGCACTCATTAGGTTCTTTACCTACCCTCTGAGACGAACGCTTACGGTTGTCGTACAGGATCCAGTATTCATCGAAGGTAACACTTCGATTTAGAACTCCCTCATTTCCATGCCGATTTAGTAGTACTATGCATGCTTCGCGGCGTAAGTCTCGTTGTTGGTTGCTTAGTTCGTGTGGCACCCACTTATGAAAATTTGTATCTTTCTTATTTGACGTGTTGTTTTGACACTAATTCCAGCAAGCTCAGCCGTAGATTTAGTTGGATCCACTACCACTATCGCCTTTTGTGATTGTCGATAATAGTTACCGGCAGGCGAGGCTTGTTCTTCAACAATTCCAAATTTGAAACTATTGAACCAGTCATTATTGGCCCGTGCTTATATAAGCAGTATTTTTCAGTTTCAGCCGCCAAAAACTACAATTCCACAAAAACAAAAAAGCAAAACAAAAACAAATGACTGAATTTGAAAATAAATTATAACACAAAATTTATTTGAATTGAATTGCGAGCCAATCCATAGACAATTAAATCTGAAAATGCTGATTATAGAATAGTTATCTACGATCTTAAATTCGTTTACCGCCATCTGGAGGCCTACCATGAGCTCTGATTGTAGCCTATTGACAATCTCCAAAATTCGTCAAACCGTCGAAGAAATAAGGCCGTTTATGTTTCCATGTGACCTTAGCGGTAATCAGATTTCGTTCACTCAATTTGTATGAAATTTCGTACCATGACCTCGCGACTATACCAAAATTTGACTCTCTCGCCTTCAAACTATGACAGAATGAGCGATTCTAAAAAAGTTACTATTTGTTCAACGTTTTTGTATCGAAATGTCCAAGTAATAGGGGAGACCGGGTACAAAAGTAACGGCAGGTCGAAAGTAACAAATGCTCTCTAGATTCATCCAATGGTCGAACACAGCTTCGCCGCCGTCAGGCGATAGCTGAGAGCGCCCCCCTCACTTGTAGTTAGTCGCCGCGTACTTCAAGCACTGTTAGGTTGTGTGAGAGGATACTACGTGGTTTTACAAACCAAAAGTAAGTTTTTCGATATTTTGTTATTTAATGTTTACATAGTCGTAAAAGGATGGTAGTAATCTGAATGTTTGCATATCTATTTTTCATTAGATTGATTGTAGATTGTTTAAATTTGTTTTTGTTTAGCACGTTCCGTTTTTAGGTTATATTTCATGTTTCAACAAAAATGAGGAAGGGTACAAAAGTAACATAGTCCTATGGGTACACAAGTAACAAGTTACTTTTGTCCCCGTAATGATTTAATTACCTTTACCCCAACAGAATGCTGCGACAACGCATAAGAACAACTACACGACACATGAGTGTATAGAAAAGCGGCAGATAATTTTTTTTTCTGAAAGGTGGCATGATAGTCAAATGGCTGGTAATGAATGGTTTAAGGGTTTTTCTAAAATGGCACCCGAGCCTCTGTTTGAGATCTCAGAGTTTCAACGAACATAATGTGAGCAAATTGTTTGATAATCTTGCTGAGGTAATTGATAGGTACAAATTTGAACAAAAAGATATCTGGAATATGGATGAGACAGGGGTCCACTGTCCAAACTTAGCACGATTGTTGCTCAAAAAGGAACTGAACAAGTAGGTGCAGTAACCTCAGCAGAACGTGGAAGATTAGTAACTGTTGCTGTTGCGATTAATGCTCAAGGAGGACACATACCTCCTTTTTTCGTATTCCCATTGAAACAATTCCAAGACCACATGATACTTGAGGGTCCTGTTGGTTGTGCCGGAACTGGCAATGCTAGTGGATGGATGCAGAATGCAGAACTTTTACTTATTACATAAATACTTGTTGATAATAAACAAGTATTACATATAATATTGTATTAATTACCAACCTCTTCTTCTTGTTACTTTCGAACCACAACGTGTTACTTTCGACCTGCCTACGTGGTCGAAAGTAACAACTGACGTTTTTTTTTTAACTCTCTGTTATTCATATAAAACACACCATATTAAAATAAATCGAGCTGCTAGTGTAAAGAACATAAACTGAATTTATATATGGTTATATTAATTTAATGACAATATTAAAACCTAGCCACAAATCAAGTGTGAAGTACAAAGTACCCGGTCTCCCCTAGTTAACATATCAATATGTTTTGAAGATTTACGTCCATAAACACAAATATACTATAATACACACAATTGCACTATGTTTAATAATATTCAATTAATTAATTAGAAATGTAGATAATATAACAAGAACAGTAAAAAAAATTCCGATGATAATTCACATATATTATTTTAAACCAGCTTCCTCCCTCGTTGATTTCGTGTATTTTACTTTACTTTTTCTCTTGCGATGCATTCAACGATAATTCCAAATATATATGAAAATATCCCACGAGAATGTAAGTGCGTTCTCCTATTCACCATGCGTCCTGCTGATAGAGGACAAATCTTTGTTTTCAATTTATTTAATTATTATTTATTACTTTAAAGATGTCATGTGGAATATGATGTAATGGTTGCAGCTCCATACAAACGTTGTGTAAAACAAAACTTGAGGATTAAAAAGATTGGCGGAGTGTTTATTGCCAGTTCCTCTCTTCCGTTCTACGCCCTTGATTTGAGAACTGGCAGTAAATGTAAAATTAGAAGCATTTAATGTATCTTTCTTTTTTGACGTTCATATGTGTACATTGTGTTACCTACATTAATAAATGATTTTTGACTTTGATATAATTTTAGAATAAGTAAGAATGCTATTATGCTATATTTAATTGGGGCTCTTCTTCGCTAACAGGCTTCAATTCAGGGAGTTTGTCAAGTTTATGCTGTAAGGAAAATATAATTATTTATATTATCTTAATTAGTTAACGTATAAACTAAATGTATACAATTAAAAGTATTTTTTTTTAAATAATATCAAGTTACTTATGATTTTCGAGTTAAAAGTTTTTTTTTGTTTTTAAGATAACTAACTATCTTTTTGCAAAAGATATTACTTTTGCAAAAGTTCGGTCTTGCGATGCCAATACAATAATACATTTCAGTTTATGAGTTTATGGTACGAAAAAATGCTATTGAATTTAGGAACCTAAACTTATCAGCATCTCAACTGGATTTTTTAAGGAACCTCATTGTAGGCCCCATGTGTGATTTAAATTACGCTTTCCTGCTTTCACGGGAACACAGCGCAATAGCTACATGAAAATATGTTATTCATCGCGCCATAATATTAAACTATTGAGTTTTTGGAAAGCATAGTAATATTTGTTGTGTATGTAGGAATATTATTAGCGATTGTATCATGCAGTAATGTGGGAAGAGGGGGACTTCGTGGCACTATAATGCACTAAATAGAAGGATATAGAGACTCACCTTTGACTCTTAATCCCTACGAACCGGTCGCACGCTTCATTCGTGCAATTCTTGAATCAATGATTATCCGAAATATTTAAAATAATTATTAAAGGCGTAAGAGAAGAGTAGTGTGGGACTTTTTTTATGGCTACGCACTTGCGAGCCTTCTGGTAATGTGAGTGTCCATGGGCGGCGGTATCACTTAACATCAGGTGAGCCTCCTGCCCGTTTGCCTTCTATAACATAAAAAAAAACAGAAATATAAAAGATTTCTATGAAGATATTATGATCGTGTACTAAATTTCTAAAACTCCAAGTTATTGTATTTAACATTTGTATGGTTTTCAACGAATAAAAAAACATACTTTATTACTGTAACGTAATCTATTAAATACTAAATATACTAAGCAAGGAAAGGAGAAGAGGGTGCATCACAAAACAGACGGATATAAGAAATGGAAGCGTTAGCAGGAAGCGAATGGAGAAAGAAAGCCTTTACCCGTGACGGGTTAACCAATCAACGGTGCTGATATTATAACAAGAATAAAAATGTATATTACAAATTAAAGCACCATTCTACTTTTGTAATGATTGGAAATTAAACGGGCTTTTTATTATTATTCTTATTATACAAACAGATAAAATAAAGAATATTCTAATAACATTTTCGTTGACGATTTCTAAAGTATCAGATTAGAGTAGTAATCTTTGTTGGATATGATTATTTCGATAACCCAGGGTTTAAGTACTAAGGTTAAATAATTTCTATACCACGAGGGATTCACGAAGAAGTTTTATAACAATTTTATGTTATTTATCTGTGGTTTACTACGATAAATGAATCGTTGATTAATAAGTTTGACCTTACTAGAAAAATGTACTCGAAGTGATTACACTTACGAACAGAATGCAGTTTTCTAAACATAATTATATCAATTATTTTCGTAAATAATACAATTTAAACTGTAGACGCTGAATTGGTTTGGATAAATTTTGGTTTAAAGTTTTTTAGTTGTAGATTATTTCATGAATACAATTTAATTAATTGGTAATTACTTCGTTTTGTAGTTCGTTCTTTTATTAAATAAGTCTATAAAGAACCTTGCTTTTAATAAAAAAGAACTTATACCATATGTACCATTTCGCGTTTATAAATTAGTATTATATTAGATTTTTTTGAAAAAGCTTGTCGTTCATTAAGTATTCCTTTCCGGTTCGATTCCCGAGTGCATTACAAGAATTTTTTAACAAGGACTTTTTGACTGAGGTATCACCTGTAGAATACTACTACTGTAAACTTCTTTAAAACACACAAACACCATGATAGATTCACTAAACGGGTTTTAGAATATGGGCGTGTATAGATTATTGGTCAAAGTTCGATTTGTGCATATGTGTCTGTATGACAATGGTACTATTTATGTAAAACTAAACATTGGAATTAATCTAAATGGACCTTGCCCTATGACGGGTAACTGTACGCGCCAAAACACATCAATGTTGTCTACGACTGACTAAAAATACAGTAGAAATACTGTGATTTGTAACATCGTTGTGTCTCTGTGACAAAAATCAACATAAATATAACACCATTCTAAAATGAATGAGATTTAGATTTCGTACAATATTTTTCTACTCTAGTTTTGTATGTGACATTAATCAATTAAAAAGGTTATCAAACAGAACCTTCGATAATCTACTGTATATATTTGCTGACAACACTGGTCTGAAAGCAATGTTATGGGAGCGTAGGAACCAAACAGTTGCAGTAACCGCAGCGTGCAACACGCGTCAACCGCGATGTCTATGAAAATTTTGCGCGGGAAGATTGCGCGACAGATATTAAAGAGTTACACCGAAAAACAACTTAAAAGACATGTTTTAGTTCGAAATGTTAGATGTTTAGCCACACAGACCGCGCCGGTCCTGGAGCCAAACCATTTGGTATCTCCATACGGTGAAATATCAGTTGGAAATGAAAATTTAACGGATCATGTGTTTAAAGATTTTGCGGAGTGGTCAGATGCACCATGTGTGGTAAGCAGAACTTTTTATATATAAAACATGTTAAATATATAAATAGCGAAATAATGAAGGTAGGTTAAAAAATAGTAGTTTGAACTTACCTTCATTTCCGCAAAAATCTAAATTGTGTTATTTTTGGTTAAAATTGAGTAAATGTATTTTCCTGGACACATAAATGAAACTGTTTCCTGGACGCTAGATAAAATAATATATATTTCGGAATTATACAAAAAAAATGTGTAGATATTTATATGAAAGCAGCCATAATCAATTAACTATTCATTTACAATAAGCGGTTGATTAACAATATTAATTGGCTTAAATGCAATGTTTCCATGATAGTACAAAGTTCAAGGAAGTAGATGTTTCGAATTATAAATAGTCTTATTGAAGGTGAAGAAAATCCCGATATTTTATGCACAATTTTCTGGTGCACGGGAAAGCGATATTTTTTAGAAATTAAAAAAAATATTTCTTTTCGTTTTGTGTAAGACTATATATTCATTTAACAACTTAAATAAGATTCCCTTTATATTATTTTTTCTTGTACCAAAGACAATAAATACAGTATATTTCTATTTTAAACAGATAATATGCATCCGTCTATTTCACTTATTTAAACGCGTCGTTCTCAAAAATAGGTCACGTTTGGTATTTTAAGATACCTACTTTGTGTTTGTTATTTTCATTTCTAACTTCTGACTTCTTAAACTTAGATTTTGATAGACTTTTTATTAGATTAAAGTCTTTGTGGGCCTTGTTTTTCTTTTTAATTTATCTTCGATGTTTGATACTTGTTTATAAATAGTTAGGCAATTTCTTGTGCCAAAGCTCGCATTCCGTGGTACGTTCGTTATGACGTTTAAGACTTTACGAAATTGTTAATATAACTAATATCAAGATGCAGAGTACTGAGTAGTGTTATATGATTCTCAACGTTGAGGTCCCACGTTTGAACTTATAGAAATAAATTTGGACAGTCACAAACGGCTATATAATTCTATACTAAAAAACACAGAAGTAACAAGATTCACGTATTCTACTAGATAAGTATTATACTACACAAATATGTTGTGTCATGTGTCTTGATCCAATGGGGTCATTTACTATGCTGACACTGTTACGTTATCAAGTGATAGTGTATGTTAACTATATTACTCAAATGCACAAATTCGATTTGATAAGAAATACAAATATTAGAACACCTTATCATCCATTTAAAAATCATATAAACCTATCTGGTGTTGAAATCGATAGTTTCCAAAACCTTCGTTTGTTAATTGGAGAACATACAAAAATCAGTGAGCAGTGTTGGCCTAGTGGCTTCAGCGAGCGAATCTCATCCCTGAGGTCGTAGGTTCGATCCCCGGCTCTACACCAATGGACTTTCTTGCTATGTGCGCATTTAACATTTGGTCGAAGGGTGAAGGAAAATATCGTGAGGAAACCGGCTTGCCTTAGACCCAAAAAGTCGACGGCGTGAGGCATAGGAGGCTGATACTTGCCTATTAGATTGACAAATGATCATGAAACAGATTCAGATATCTGAGGCCCAGACCTAAAAAGGTTGAAGCGTCACTGATTTTTTGAAGTTATACTTTTGAAACGTTATGAAAAATTGATGAGAGTGAAATTTTACGATGCGCGCGCACCGTGACTTAAAATTAACAGAATGAAGTTGCCCACGGAAGATGCTACGGCATTGGACATAATTTAAAAACAACATTAGAATAATAATAGAATTTATGTTACACTTAATGTAAGAGAATAATAATAAATAATTATTTATTTACTTTTTCAAATGTAAACGGAACTTTATTGACTATAATGACTCCTTTTCCAGGCTTTGATTATTTAATTGTAATTAATTATTTCCATGCAATCAAAAACTATTTTTAATAATGCCAAAGAAGTATAACTTCTTACGCGCGTACATAAGTACACGCACCCTTTTTTTTAATACAAAACACTACAGTTATTACTTTATTTACTTTTTAGTGGGTTTTAATGGCCTTTTATATAATACATGCTTTCATTATCCGCAAGCAAAGCGTTTAGCTATTGAAAATCCAATGCCGCAGATTTTGTATCAATTTTAATAATAGTTATTGCTATATGTACCTAACACACGTGATAAATTTTTGTGTCTACAGGTAAAATATCCTATTAGATTTTGACATGAGTTTGACATTTAACTAAGTTTTGGTTCTGAACCTGAAGCCTAAGGAAGACCGGTTTCCCCACGTTAGTTTTAATGTCTGATAGACTTGAATCGCGACAGGTTTACGGTTCAGAGTCAGGAATTTCACTGCTGAAAGTTGAAATTCCTGACTTTGAATTTTCTAAATCGTTCTCGTGGTTGGCGAAAAAAAAACAAGTTAGGTGAACTCTTAAATTTATAAACTATTTATAAACCAAAAACAATATTAAAAATGAAAAAGTATAATAAAATGTCAGAAAAAATTTTAATTTTCTCACAATGAATGCAACTCTTATCAGTTATTAAAATAAAAAATAAAAATAAATCTGTGGCGCTACCACCTTTTTATGTCTAGGCCTCAGATAACGGTTTCATGATTACATGTCAATCTAATAGGCAAGTAGGTGTTCAGCCTCCTGTACACGCCTTCGAATTTTTGGGTCTAAGGCAATTTACTCACCGTTCGAGCGAATGTTAAATGCGCAAATAGAAAGTCCATTGTGCAGAGCCGGGGATCGAACCTACGACCTCAGGCATGAGAGACGCACATAAATATGTTAATTAAACCAAATTCGCCTGCTAAACATTGGTTACTATTGCAGACATGCGGAGCTTCTGGACGTTCCTACGAATATGGGATGATGCGGTTGATGATTGAACGTTGTTCGACAGCCCTTGCCGGCCATTTGAAGCTGAAACCGGGTGAACGAATTGGACTGATTCTGCCAAATATACCGGAGTTTGTTGTTCTCATCCATGGTGCCATGAAAGCAGGACTTGTAGTCACTTTTGCCAACCCTTTGTACACTTCTGGTGAGTATTTACGATAGAGTCTGTGGAAGAGAAGGGGTGTGGCGTTATGCGAACTAATAATATTTGCTATGGATTTCATTTATTCACAAAAATCACATTTTTATATAAAGTACTAGCTGACCCGGCAAACGTTGTTTTGCCATGTACATAATATATAATTTGTAGGAAAATTTTTTTTAGTTCAATAAAAATAACTATCTACTATAATAAAAAATAGGGGTTGATCGTAGAGGGGTCAAAATTAGGTGTTGTATGTATTTTTGTATTCTGTATCATAAAAAATTATAAAAGATAAAAAAAAATTGAGGTGGACACCCCCTATCACTTAGGGGCTTAAAAGATAGTAGCCGATTCTCAAACATACTGAATATGCATAAAATTTTCATAAGAAGCGGTCGAGCCGTTTCGGAGGAGTATGGGAACGAACATTGTGACACGAGAATTTTATTTATATATTAGATGTATTTCACATAAAAAAACGTAAGACAGAAGGTCTCTTAAGTAGGGATTGAATAGGTGGACTGACTTGGTATTACATGGGTCTCACAACTTTTTACGGTAGAAGAACTGCGTTGCGAGATTTGGTTTTTTACAAGTTTTTGATGGCATACAGTTTACGAAAAAAAACTTTGTCTTTTTAAATTTTCAATAAACCTAACTGATTCTATGACGCTATTGCTCCATCATCGACATTTGGTTAATAAATTGTGGTTGTGGTCTTACACTAGTACGTATTACTAGTAGTATGTACGTCTACAAATTATATTGATCACAAAAGTTGTTTGTTTTGTTAATAAAAAAATTAGTGGCGCTACAACATTTTTAGTTCTGGGCCTCAGATTGGTGATCTATTTCATGATCATATTTTGTCAATCTAATAAGCAAGTAGGTGATCAGCCTCCTGTACCTGACACACGCCGTCGACTTTTTTGGGGTTAAGGCGAGCCGGTTTCCTAACGATGTTTTCCTTCACCGTTCGAGCGAATGTTAAATGCGCACATAGAAAGAAAGTCCATTGGAAAGCTGGGGCTCGAACCTACGACCTCAGAGATGAGAGCAGCACGCTGAAGCCACTAGGCCAACACTGCCTTGTTAATAACATCTGAATAAAACAATTTCAGACGAAGTACGTCGTCAGTTCGCGGACTGCAACGTGAAGGCCATTGCTACAATTGAGATGTTCATGCCGGTCGCGATGGAGGTCAGCAAATCACTGAAGGATTATAAAGGAACCATATGGGTTGGTGGCGAAGATGACAAAACTAAAGGTATATATTTCTTATAGAACAAGGTGCAAACGGCAAAAGGCGCATCTGATGTTAAGTGATAGCCCATGGACACTCTGCCAGAGGCTCGCGAGTGTGTTGCCGGCGTTTTATCTATTGGTTCGCTCTTTTCGGAAATACTTCACTGATCAGCTGAATCTTATGCCCTGTAGGCCTAGGTAAGATGCTGGACCAACGGTTTGAACGAAATATGGGTTAAATGAATAATGACCAGCGCTGTGGAACATTCTGCTCATCAGCATAATGCTGAGCCAGGGCCAATTACAGCCACAGCACACCCGCGCTTTAAACGAACATCATGGGAAAAGGGAAAAACATTTTTTTTGATATCTCTCATTATATTTTTTTCTTTAATTATTGTTATTTTGTGTGTTTGTGTGTGTGTTTTTGTTAGTAATAAATGTTATGTCTATGTCATTGTATGTAGTCTATGTCCATCTGTTAAAATGATATTTTATTGAACGTTACCGGGAAATCTATCGTGATAAATTTTCTTGTCATTTATTTATTTATAAAAGCTTTCCAACGCTCGCCAAACTGATACCTTGGTACAAGAAAAATTAAATACAATTTTTAATGTGACAAGCACTTATGAGCAAATAATATACACGAAAAGATACAAAAAAATTAAACAAAACCAAAACGAAAATCGATTTCAAAGTGTTAGTGAAATACAGAAGATTCAAGGGTTTATTATATAAAGGTCGGGCCTACCAACTGACTAAATAACAATTATATTTAAAAAAAAAATCCTAGCTTTAGTTTTCGCAAAAGTATCAATGACTTCGATTAAATCCAGGTTCTTGGGGATTAAAACAGTCCATGTTTATTTTCAGTGTATTTTACATTTTTTCACTACACAATTTTCAACAACAGAATGACAGGAAATGTCATATAAAAAAATAAACAAATTTTCATTAGTGCCAGTACTTTTCGCCACCCAGTACAATGAGCTGTAGCCGAAATCTTTAGATTTGATACGATTTATTGACTTTACCGGACATCAATATGAGTGGTTAAATCAAATAAAATTGAATCACTATATTGACCAGTACAAAAAAGTTTATTGACATTAGCTTACTTACTCCTGATACAGCATGAATTTTTTAACCGGTCTCAAAAAAAAATCTTAACTCGAATTCACAATAAAATGCACATCGATGAATAATAAAATGCACATATCACTATCCATCAAATTGGCAACACTGCCAACCTACAGAAAGAATTTAGGGGAATTCCCTAGGCATAACTTTTGAATTTCTCTCAAATTAATGTCTTGATTAAAGTGGGGTTGCAACCTGTCATATTTATTTTGAAAATGGGAGAAATTTCCAAAAGTTCAGAACGATCGAGATTTCTGGTGAGGATTCGAGGGCCCCCTGAGCTTGAGGGCCCCGGGGCACTGCCCCGCCTAGCCCCTTGGTAGCTACGCCACTGCCCAGAATGGTCCGCTCGCTAGAATGTGCAAGTGTTATAATTCTGTGTATTCTCATGTTGATATTTTTCACAATAGTAGTTATGAATTTAGAAAGATTATTCGCGGTGCAGACTTGCAGCCAGAATAACTTAATTTTTTTAATTGGCATTGAGTTTTTCTATTTTTTTTGTCATTAAGTTTAATATAATATGTACATATTATATACTGTATGTAACTGTTAGTATTTGGTAAACCAGCACTGAAGATTCCACTAAAATGCTGTGTACAGATCTAATTGGACTTCAGGTTTACAAATAATGTTTAGAGTGTAATAACTGTATGTATTTAACTAATCTGATGTCTGTTTCTGTACCTTAAATGTAAAAAAATAAATAACAAATACATATATAAAAGAATTCATTAGTTAATTGAAAATAGTCGGTTTGCCTGGAAGAGATTGCTTAGTGGCAATAAAGCCGTTGCGCCCTTTACATTTACGTTTGTTTTGTTATTTTTAGTTATACAATAATATAAGAATGTAACAATAATGATTGATAATGTAATATGTAACTCAAATTCTACCTTTTAATTATGTAAGACAAATGCACGCCTGATGTGTGGCAGAATATGCGAAGTTTAGATTTACGTCCATAATATTTTTGTACCATATTCTTGCAAATAAATAAATTATTATTATTAGATGTTATTGAAAGTTAATAAAAACAATTCCAGGAATCCATGGCCTCCGCTCACTGTTAATGGCAGGTCATGAAGCGGATCTTCCTAAATTGGATGCTGACGATGTCTGTCTGATCCCTTACTCCAGTGGAACCACTGGACTGCCCAAGGGAGTCATGCTCACGCATAAGAACCTTGTGTCCAACATAAAGCAAGTGCAAACACCAAAATTCATGAAGTATGAAGCCGAAAAAGGTACATTCCTTTATTTTTTGATACGATTTATATGTCATATTTTATATCTTATGTTAAAAATCCCTAGTTAACAAATATATAAACTTTCATAAAGAAGTTGACAGCTTTGAAAGTCTACTTTGACTTACTATAATGCAAAATGGCGAAAAAGTCGAACATCTTAAAAGACCTGCCGGGGTTGAAACTCGACGTGACGACCTCAACGGACACTATTCAGAATTAACAGGCAAAGTAAAGTAATTAAATAAATAAAACACGCAAAAATACTAGACTAACATAACTCTTGTCTAAATTTTATTTAAACCCTGGTATTTTTAATCATAAGAAATAAATTAGCCCCAGTTTAACTAAAACAGCCATCTTTGTCTTTTTTCATGACAGCGTAAACAATATGGTAGGAACGATGTAAGAGTATTTTATTATATTGTGTGCAATTATGTAATATACATATTATCGTCTTAAATTCGTAATATTAGCGTGTTTAATCAATTCAAAAGGTCATTAAAGATACATATATCAGACTAACCCTAGCAACGTATAAAATTATAATAGGTATATATAAAAATCCATTAAAAAATGTCTTTATGATTTATCCATTTTTCAGTATAATTCTACTACTTGGTCAAATCTGTCCCAAAGGACAGCAACGTTTGTAAAATTAAAGACCTTATGAAGTTTAACATTAAATACTTGAACTTGCCAGTTAATAAAACTTAAGTACTCAAATTTGCCATTAAATATGTCAGTAAATGCTTTGTATTAATTTTTTTTTTCAGGAAAAGGCGACGTCATCTTGACGGTTCCGCCATTTTTCCACATCTACGGATTTAACGGTATTCTCAATTATAACTTGGTGCTCGGCTATCACATCGTCTCTCTCCCCAAGTGAGTGATCTGTGTGAATTATTTAATTTAAAGAAATAACTTTTTAGCATAGTTCTATATAAATAATCTTCTAACCATTTTGAGTGCACAGCAGATAGCATAGCATAGATTAGAGAATTTTTACTTCAAATTAATATTAACTATTTCCTCTGATATTTAACATAAATATATTTTAACTCAAAGTTATTTTAATAGGTATAGAGAAGAGAAATATTGTGAACAAGTATTTTCAACATTGTGATGAATTTTGGCTTATACTTATTGAAAATCATTTGTCAATCTAATAGGTGAGGTGATCAGCCTCCTGTGCCTGACACACGCCGTCAACTTTTTTGGATCTAAGGCAAGCCGGTTTCCTCACGATGGTTTCCTTCACCGTTCCAGCGAATGTTAATGAGCACATAGAAAGAAAGTCCATTGGTTCACAGCCAGGGATCGTACCTACGACTTCAGGGATAATCACACGCTGAATTCACTAGGCTAACACTGCTCATGAAACAGATACAGAAATCTGAGGCCTACACCTAAAAAGGTTATAGCGCCACTGACGTTCATGCATGCGAACCATACACAAACAAACCGAAACTCCCGGTTTTCATAACAACAGTTATTATATTTCTATTACAACGGGTAGATTTTTCCGTCTTTACAATCTTCTAACAGTTGATAATAAATTTACATGTATTGGACATTACCGATACATAAATTTGAACCTTTTAAGTCACAAAGACAACCTTGCCTATTAAAAACTCTTCAGAAAATATTTATTTAGCATTGTCATTAAAATACTCACATTATAAAAATAACTCTTTACTTTCCTAAGATTTGTTAAGAGAATTTTTATAATTTATAAATATTGAATTTATAACGCCTGCGATAATTTTGTCTTTATCGATGCAATTTGTTTTAGGTGCGCGAACTTCATTTCGCCTTAATATGCATGTTTGTTTAGCCTACTTTTTAGTTAGAACATTTAGCTATGCTACCCTATAGAGGCGGTTCGATTTCCGGAATAAAAACCTTAATTAAATAAAACTATATTTTTATATTATTCAGTTAGTCAGTTTATTGTGCAACAGTTCTAGTTTAAGGAATAAATATAAATTTTGGAATTGGTCCAGCCATCTTCGAGTTTTGCGCTAAGCAACATATTTTGAGATTAATTTTTATTTATATATATTTACAATTGTAGGTTCACACCAGAAGACTATATAAAATGTCTGATCGAATATAAACCAACAACTCTGTTTGTGGTGCCATCATTATTGACATTCCTTGCGACTCATCCTTCAGTGAAGAAGGAGTATTTGGAGTCAGTGGAATCCATCATGGTTGGGGCTGCTCCCACCACGGATAGTATGTTGGAGAAGTTCCTTCTCAAGGTCGGGAAGACCAAGGATCAAATTAAGTTACTACAAGGTATGTTAGAATAAACGTACTATAAACACCAATTAGTTAACTGTTAAAAGCCTTAACACTTATAACAAAATGGCCGCCGTGTCCGAGTCGGTCTGAAAAACTTTATTAAATAAAAAAATAACATGTCGAATTGATTACACGGTTTTGGAGTCATTTTAAAACAGTTAAACCAGAAAATATATTAGTACTTATAAATTAAATTACTTATTAAGAGAAGGTCATTTTGAATAAATAAAAATTAATAATGCAATTACGAATTGAACTCCGCGGCTCGTAATAATTTATTTTATTGACGCACATTAACAAAAAATTTAGTAACGGATCGAAGTTTATTTTCACATGTATACAATTATTTAAATGGAGTTTAAAACAATAAAATAGCCCAGATGTTTCCATGATAATCCGTTATCATGGCATATTTGTATAATTGTAATAATGCGTTTTAATTTACTGTGCGTAAGTGCTTCCAATACAGTTACACGAGCGGTGATCTTAGGTTTCATAACCAGGGAAACACTATTCGAGCATTTTTGATTCCGGGGGCCTATCAGCTCATATTGCGTAATGACACAGCAGTAAACAAATTGCGTTAATTTAATTTGTATGAATATTCGTATCATTAAGGAATCTAAACTCATCAGCTGGATCTTTTTAACTAAGCTTATAATAGGCATCTGCATATCAGTTGAAGATATCAATTTCAGAATTTTAATTAACATTTTAACTCTGTTCTGTATTTTTATATGATTAAATCAAAGAGTACATGCTTGACAGTTTAATTATACAACGATATGTCATACTTTTATTTGTACAAGAGTTATTCATTGTTTCATCTTATCTTTTTTGCTTATTAATAATTAATTTGAGAGACAAATTTCGACGCCATCTTGCTTAGAGAAGCGTTTTGGCGGGTTCTTGAAATGAAATATATTTCAAATGTTTTTTTAAAGCCAATACGTAGGTACCAGAAATATTTAAAAAAATGGTGCGTGTACTTATGTACGCGCGTAAGAAGTTATACTTCTTTGGCTTTCTTTATTTTTTTTAAATATTAAATAATTAATAATAAATATTTAGCGTTAATAATTTAACAATATTTAGTATATTATTCAATTATTAATTAATATTAATAATAATAATTATTTATTATTTTATTATATTATTAATTCAATTTAATAACTAGGTATGTTTCATAACCTTTTAACTAAGTAACAATAGGTCTTTGTGAAAAAGCATTGCTAAATTTCTTTGAAAAAATAATTAAAACTCCTTTATTTGTTTAAAAGGTACTACAAATGTCATTATGGTCATTCAAAATTCTTGGCATAGCTGCTAACGTCACGCATATTCTATTTCTTTTTACTTTTAGATTGTCTTATTCCCATCTCGCTCGCGCACGCTCGGCGCCCATACTGATAATTTTGTGTCACGGTGCGCGCGCATCGTAAAATTTCACTCTGATAAATTTTTCATAACGCGGCTAAAGAAGTATAACTTAAAAAATTGTGTAGGTCCTATAGTCACTAATAAATTACCTCAAATAGTCTTTAATATCTTGTCAAATAGCCTATTATTATTTAAAAATATATTCTTGTTTATTTAAAAAAATTCTAGGTTACGGAATGACGGAGAGTTCTCCTGTGACTCTCCTAACACCATACATATACCCGTATGACAAAATCGGGTCAATTGGTCAGTTGGTGCCGTCAACTCAGGCCAGGGTCATATCTCTCACCACAGGTGACTCTTTGGGCCCCCATGAGTCAGGGGAAATATTATTGAAGGGGCCACAGGTATCGTCTTATATATATATCTTTTCATATATACATATATGTTGGGTTGGGTGTTGAATACCACCGCACTTTTTTGACGATACTAATTATTTAGGAGTCTCGGGGGACCTTCATTGGAACACCTCCAAGTGAGTTTTTCTGCGGAAATGCGTCTAAATATTTTTACAAAAACATTTAAAGTTTTGTGTAATGTATTGAAATTTGTAAACAATTCGACATTTTCTACTTTTCTATTGGTTATAAGAGATGTGACGTTCACTTTAAAAAATCGTGTTTTTAATTTGTCGATTGTTAATAATCGTTTTTTTTATTTATCGGTTATTTCCTCATTTTTGAAATTTAAGTTATAGAATAATCAACATTGAAATTAACCTAATTTCGTGTTGATAGATTATAGGGTTGGTACCTACTCGTATGTATTTCCTAATTAGTACTTGTATTTCATTGTTTGCAACTTTCTGTATTATTTAATTTTTACTAGAATAAAGTGTTTACTTTAATATCCAAAAAGTACCCAAAACCGAATCAGAGCACCCCACAATCCACGTGGTCTTGTCTGCCTTACCCCTAGAGTGTATATAAATACTCGGAGGCGCGAAGGAAGAGCAGCCCCCACCCGCTGTAACAAAGCCTCAGCCGCTACAGCTTTCATAATGCCTGTGCTTTGGTACGCAAGGGTAGAGATCGGTTAGGTTAGATTAGTATATTAATATTTATTTTTAAAATAACTGTTCAACTGAAACTGATCAACTATGATTGAATTTCAATTATTTTTAATATTAAAATCGAATACAAAAATCGATTTTCACTTTGAAAGAAATCGATTATTTTTCACATCCCTATTAATTTTATAAACGTAAACGACCATTTTGATGATGATTTTGATGTGGATTTTGCTGGACTAGTAAACAGTTTTACAGTGCAAAATTTCCTTTAGAAATCCGTTTCTTTTTTATTTTCACGTGAATGTTTTAGACGCGTTTCCGCAGCAAAACTCACTTGGAGGTGTTCCAATGAAGGTCCCCCAAGACTACTAAATAATTAGTATCGTCAAAAAAGTGCAGTGGTATTCAACACTGTTACCGAAAATAGTAACGATACGTTTCAAGTACTAATAATTTTGTTATACTCAACTGTAGTCAAACATTTTAATCTGTTTAGGTGATGAAAGGCTATTGGAATAACGAGAAAGCTACGAAAGAGACCGTAGACAACGAAGGGTGGTTACACACGGGTGACGTCGCGTATTATGACAAGGACCATTACTTCTACATCGTTGACAGGACTAAGGAACTTATCAAGGTTAAGGGTAACCAGGTAAGTCAATATAACACAAATAGTAATTGTTAAAAACTCAGTGATATACCTTTCTCATGAATCATTCTAGAAGGTGATAACCATAATATATTTGTGCAGTAGTTTTTGACTTTGTCGCAAACAAACAGATAGATAGATAGATGTGGCAGAGGACTTGCTTTTATATAATACTAGCTGCCCGCGAGCTTCGTTTCCCCTTAATGTAATTTTACTTTTGCTATGCTACCCCAGAGACTGTTCGGTTTTCCGGAATAAAAACTTTTTAGGTTGTTCTTTGAATTTTTCTCTATATAAACCTCAGAGTTCAAGTCATAATTAACAAACAAAAAAGGGGTTTATCTGGTTCTCAGACTTTCTGAATATGCATAAAAAATTTCTTAAGAATCGGTTGAGCCGTTTCGGAGGAGTATGGGAATGAACATTTTGACACGTATATAAGTTAGACATATCCTGCCCCTGACTTATTTGTAGGCATTATCAAGCTCTATTTTTCTCTAGAACTCAATAATATATCTCTCATCCTTAAGGCAGCGTTCGTAAGAAACGCGTTTGTTTGTCCACTTCTTTCGACTAACCACGAAAAACTCTTTTCATTTTTCGATGTAAATTAATGGTAAAATAATATTTAGAATTGCTCAGTAGATCCGGAAATTACCCCCTTTTACTATGGTCATCATATGACCCGTTTTATTTAATCAGCGTGTCCTGTGACACATAGGCCTCTTCCAGCTGCTTCCATTATTTTCTAATATTCGCTCTTCTTGTCCAAGTAATGCCTCCTATTCTCTTTATATCGTCTGCTCATCTGTTGCTTTGTTTTCCTCTTTTCGTTTTTCCATCGCGTGGTTACAATTCTGTAATTATGAGTGTCCATTTCAACCTGCTGTCTCTCGTCACGTGCCCGGTCCAGCGCCATTTCAATTGCCTTATTTTCTTTATAATGTCCTCTACTTTAGTCGCTGATCTTATCTCTTCTGCTCTTTTTTGATGTCTCAGTGTTACACCCACCATGCTTCGTTCTATTTCTCTTTGGCATGTTCTCAACTTTAGAAGATGTTTCTGAGATAATGCCCAAGTCTGGCAGCTGTATGTGACACATTTACCCCCTTAAACATCACAAATTTCCCTCCATAATATAACAATGTTTTCAGTAATTCGTTGCCACAATATTACATAATAAACTTCTTAATTATAATTATTACGTTGCTTTTTAAATTCAATTTTAATCTTTAATCAATTAGTTCACCAAACGTGAATTTTCCAATGATTGTTTATGATGTAAATGTAAATAATTGCCGCATTGGAGTAATCTATAATGGTAGCTTATTTTGTTGTTAAATAAATACCTTTTATTTGCTTTGATTTGCGATTTTAAAAGAGTACCGAAAGTTTTTTACACAGGCTTTTTCTGTCGGCCTACACCCTCTGTCTTCTTTGCCGATGAGTAGGGATGCCTACAAATTCAAATTTAATGACGTGGAATAAGTGATACATGTATCTTATTTTCCATAATAAGCATATTTTATTACCTATTTATTTTATTTTAACGTTCAAAATCATATTTATTAAAACATAACAGATTGGCGATAAGTTTGTCTCTTCTAATCATACCTCATTCCCTATACAGGTCTCACCAACAGAAATCGAAAATATAATAATGGAGCAACCGGAAGTAGCGGATGTCGCCGTTGTCGGTATGCCGGATGCACTCGCGGGGGAAGTCCCTAAAGCCTTTGTCGTTCTAAAGCCAAATCACAAATTGACAGAAAAACAAGTTTATGATATTATTGCCCAGAAATTGGTGAAATACAAACATTTGGAAGGCGGTGTTGCCTTTTTAGACGCGATTCCGCGCAACGCCGCGGGAAAAATTATGCGCAATGAATTAAAAGTGCTGAAAAAATAACAAAAAAAAACAATTTAAAGTGATAGAATAGAATAATGATGTAATTTTTTATGATTAGCTAATAAATTTTATTATTTATTTTAAACGTATATTTTATTGCCCACTATAAGACTTCATTTTGAAGAATGAAATGAAATGAATTATTATTCTCATTGAATTTATTTAAAAAAAATATTCACGTTTCGTGCAGAAACCATTAATTTGTAATTATCGCAGCATAAAATCTAATTATCAAAGAAAACTATTGCGTTCATCGTAAAATTTCCAGTAACGTTGTATTACTTGATACAATATGTCATATAAAATTATGAATAGAAATATTACGCGCATTTTGAATAAGTATATATCAAATCAGTATAGAACATGTCCGCAAGTCCGGTATTTATCTTCGAGTTCAGAAAAAAATGTGCTGAATTCCCATTATGGTGTAATAAAGGATGAAAATGTAACTTTAACGCAACATGTCTATGGGGAAGCTGGATTATGGGAAGACTCTCCTGCTTTGGTAAGTTTATTTTATTTTTAGTTTATTATATTAAGTAAAATCATCTTCTGCGTGTTATTAAAATCTTGACCGATTTTGATATTTCTACTACAGCGCAAAATGTTTTAGATCGTAAATTTTGGATCTAATTCATGATGAACCCAAAAAAAGTGCGTGCGTACAAAGTACACACGTCAGAAGTGAAACTTCTTTGTAAATTAATCATTGAGTAATTAAGCTGCCCAAATCCCAAAATTTAATTTTGCTGTCTTTCTATATTAACGAATGATACTAAAGCTAATTAAAATCAGAACTAAAATTAGTTGTTGTTATGTAAGTATACCTATAGAAATACCACCATAAATATGGTAACAATTACCAAATAATATAACAAATTCATTATTATCATAATTGATAACTATGATTGATGTAGGTTAAAAGATTGTTTTATTTCTTATTAGAAGAAATATGTTAATTATAATCTGTACCTAGATACAATGTTATGCCAACTTTATACTAAAACTTACCTACGTTACCTAGTACTAAGTACTAAAAGCTTTTGGGTATTGGAAAAAAGGATTGAGTAAGCACAAAGATAGATATAAAGCCTATAAGAAATGCACAAAACATCTTCATATATAGATAATATTATTATTATTTTAACCATATAATGATTTCTCAGCCTATTTCTTATAACGCGTATACAGTAATTATTAAGTTTAATAGTCAAGGATAAGAACAGCATTATTATAGCCATTAGTAAGATTTATTCATTTTCTGTTTCTTCTAGGCCTCGTTGATGTCAAGGCCTTTCTGGTTTCGAAGAAAATTATAAGATAAAAAAAAGAGAAAAAGTTTTTTTTTAAAAGACATAATCCTGCAAACCAGTTGAAGTTTGTGAAAAAAAAATTGAAATAGACCTAATTACTAGTCTCTAGGCTTAATCAAAGAAATAAGTAATAAAAAAATAAACTTATTTAATTGTAGATATAACTTTTAGTTTATATATTAAACTCTCTCGGTCAGTAATTTTTTTTGGTGGTTAAAACCAGAAATACATACATCTCAAAACGCGCTGAAAATATGTTTGTTTAACTTTAACATGTGATGTTCAGCAATAGAAAATGTGTATTTTAATAACATTCTATGTCGCAGACTTGTGCAGCATCAGGTCGCACCTACGCGTATGGAATGACAAAACTGTTAATCGAAAAATGCGCAAAAGGTCTCCTCAGCGAATTGAAGCTGTCCCCCGGTGACAGTGTTGGTTTGATTCTTCCGAACATGCCAGAATTTGTAGTGCTGGCTCACGGTGCAATGGAAGCTGGTCTTGTAGTGACCTTTATTAACCCCTTGTATACACATGGTAATTTTTTTTATTTTTATGATTGGACAATTCACACCAATTGACCACGTCCCATGCTAAGCTGGTGAAGCTTGTGTTATGGGTACTAGGCAACGGATATACATAAATTTTATAAATAGATAGATATATAAATACATGTTTAAACACCCAAGACCTAAGCACAACACCAAACTCCACCTCCACCACTTCGGATCGACAGAAGGTTAAGACCTTAGAGAAAAATTTAGAGAGAATATCATTAGATATTACATAGGCTGCAACTTTAACATAAAAAATTAAATCGTTATTGTAATAATCTAGTATTTTTATGTCAAAGGTTATAAACATTAACTCTAGCCAGTCACTTAAGCTGGACCTCCAGCATAACAACTACTTACTTGTATAACCAAAACAAATATTTCAGATGAAGTACTGCGTCAGTTCGCGGACTGCAACGTAAAGGCCATTGCTACAATTGAGATGTTCATGCCGGTTGCAATGGAAGTCAGCAAATCTTTGAAAGACTATAAAGGCACCATTTGCGTTGGTGGAGACGGAGACAAAGTTCGAGGTAACTTTATGATTTATGATCTGGTAATTTGAATGGTGAATAGGCTATCTCGCTCTTAGAATTTGATTCTGATATTTTACAACAATCGTACTACGTACTGTAATTTGGTGTATCGCTCTCTTAATGAGTTTTTAATTTCTATTTGGTTTTAGTTGTTTCATTTTCTGGTTGCTTGCTTGCTTAGTTTTTTCCTGGCTAGTTTGAAATTTGGTCTAATATATTTAATGTGTAAAATTTGAGAAGTCATATTCCGTGTATATTTTCAGCATACATGTTGTTTAAGACTTATAAATAAATCAATGAATATTGTGCAAACTGATAGGCGAATTTGAACGATAAATACACGACGATATTTTTTTAAACGCACTTTCTTCGCCATCTCATTTTTCTCCTTCAGAGAATCCCCTTTCATCTTTACCCACTTTCTTAATAAAAAAAATTTCACTAACGATTCAAAATCTGTACATTCACTACCAATATTCAAACATCTTTTCTACCTTAAAACGGAAAGTATTCTTATTTTGCAATTATTATTACATCAAGTACCGTTAATATAATAAATATAAGAGACTAGCTAGGCCCATGATACCTAATTAAACATACTTATATATTATTATGTGCGATAAAGTTTTTTCTATTTCTATCTTTCAATAATAATTTTGATGTTTTACACGATATAGGGGCCAAACAATATGTGTATACATATTTTTATTATGTATTTATAGTTGTGATAAACATACTTAAATGTTAAATTCTTCACGTCGTATAAAAATACGTGAATTTAGTCCCCGCGAATTGGGCTACGTAAGGATAGACAAAAACTATTATAAATTTTCCATTTGTCTGATAAAAGTAAAGTTCTTATTTTCGACTTACTAACATTAATAGTTTAAAGGAAGGACCAACAATTCAGATCCTATTTGTTATTATTATAATTAATTTATATTTAATTAGCAATAAAGTTAAGTTATAATATATAATTTAAATATCCTAAAAGTCGTATAAGAAATATCTTTAAAGTTTTATTGCTGAATTTCAAGTAATATTATTAGTTAATTCGCTAATCAATTAAATATGATCAAGTAACTGATGTTCCACACTAGGTTCGATTCGCCGTATAACAATAATGTAATTGTTGGGTTAAAACGTTGGAAAAGTTTCTCGCCTCTTAGTTTGCACAGGAAAGATCTGTATAAGATGTTTGTTGCCTCATTATCTATTGTTCAGTAACACGAGTACGTATTTTCTACGCACCAACCTTCTATATGAAACTAGCTAGAACAGATAATACAAAATATTTCCCTTTTATTTATTATACCTTTTGTTACAAACTCCAGGCATATATGGATTCCAGTCTCTTCTATCTGCGGGTCAGGGAGTCGAGCTTCCTAAATTGGACGCTGACGATGTCTGTCTGATCCCTTACTCCAGTGGAACCTCTGGTCTGCCCAAGGGAGTCATGCTAACTCATAGGAACCTTGTATCTAGTGTAAAACAACTGTGCAGACCCGAATTCATGAAATATAAGGGCGCCAAAGGTACCTAAGTAATAAGCATTGGTGTTGGTTTTAAGTAGGTTTTAAATTTACATGAACAATGGATATTTTTTTATTTTTTTATTAATACGTACACAATTCTAAAAAAAACAAAATTATAAAGAAGTTATATAACCGATAAATAACTGTAATATCAATTTAGGTACAGGAGATACGACATTGGCGATTCCACCATTCTTCCACATCTACGGCTTCAACGGTGTTTTGAACTATACCCAGGCAATCGGATGCCATCTTGTTTCCATTCCCAAGTAAGTTAATTCAACAGCCTAACAGCGTTTATCTATCGGCTTTTTTTTATATCAAAGTGATCACTACATCGTTGAACAAAATAGGAAAAAAAAAATTATGAGTCTTACCTTTACTTTGTTTAGATATTTAAATGTGACATTGTTGTTGATGTTGACAATGTGAGTACTATCACAGATTGGTAATTTGGTAGTAAAACTACTACAACTATTGGTAGTTTAACTATAAAAAGAAGCGGTCTTAGAAGATATTGACCTAATGTAAAAAATTTAATTCTCACAACCAAGGCTCTTTAATTAAAAGAGAAAAATTTAGTTTTTGGATGCTATTAATTTGTCAGAAAGGAGCCCGAGTTTTATCAAACTCCGGGTATAAGGGCAGTAATTTGCCTCATTCAGCCTATGAAAATGTTTTAGTGAAGCTTTGGCATCATCAACGCAAAAATGTTGCTTGTCAAAAAACATATATACCTATTTATTTTTATTCAAAAAGATAAAAATATTTTGTATTCACTATAATATAATTTTAAGGAGGATAGAATGACAAAATTTTGGAAAGGCATGTCACATCTCTCTCTCTCTCTCTTCAGTCGCTAGCTCATGTCTTAGCGTCGTGTCAGCAAGGAAACATCTGGAGTGGACACTCTGTTTCCGTCCAGCGCCTCTCTTATAACAGTGTATAGTTTTGAGGACGATGATGACTTTCACTTGATCAGTCCATCTGGTTGGTGAACGGTCACATGATCTTTTGCCTTCTGTGTTACCAACCAACCATGATCCACGATATAATTCGATGTCGGCATGTAGTAGACCGGCGAGTCCATGTCCGTGTCATACTTAATCCATATAAAATCTCGAGGCATCTTAAATTTGACCTAATTTGTTATATTATTTGCAGATTCACGCCCGAAGATTATCTAAAAGCATTAATCGAATATAAGCCGAGAAATCTTTTCGTAGTGCCATCATTGTTAGTATTTCTAGCAAGTCATCCATTGGTAAAGCGGGAACATTTGGCGTCAGTGGATAATATCACGGTTGGAGGGGCGCCCGCAACTGAAAGTATTCTTGAGAAGTTTCTAGACAAATGTGGAAAGACTAAAGACGAGCTGGTGTTGTTGCAAGGTACCATCATTAATTATGCTTAACGGTCAGACCTTCACGACATTCCTAATAACCTTAAGCATTTTACTTAAAATTGTGTTTATTCTGTTTCATATTTGATTAAAATTAAAAGTTAATAAATAAATGCTTTAAGAGAAAGTTAGGTAATGTGCCGCAAAGTAACTTCAAAAGCCACTTCCATATCTATTATCATGCTAAGATCATCAAAATTATGTTTCGTTCTAAGATTTTGTTAACTAATTATTCAATTGGGCACTTAAGTAAAAGACCATCTCGGTATGTTAATAACATCAATTTATAACACTTGCGAATATAATATTGGAACGGTCGGTTTTAGAACATTTGCTAAAATTGCAGGCGCAAACTTGCCGCCTTGCGCCGACTATCACAATTTTGCTATGTTGTTGGACATATCCAGTTTTTATTTCAGGCTATGGAATGACTGAAACGTCACCGGTTATATTAGTGACTCCTTATTTCTATCCACATGACAAAGTTGGTACTATTGGCCAAGTAGTTCCTTCAACACAAGTAAAGGTTGTCTCTCTCACCACGGGCGAGGCAGTTGGTCCTAACGAACCTGGTGAAATATACGTTAGAGGACAACAGGTGATGTATAATCAACGCCATCCGTTTAATAATCTATCCGTCAGTCTATTTACCAGACAGATAGGTACATAAATATAAAATACCGAATATAAATATAATGAATATTTGGATAAGCTAAAACTCCAATATTTATAAACTGTGATCAGTGATGTTTAAATTTTCTATTGACGGATATAAGCGCCAAGAGGCAGGTCTCTCGCTCACCACGAGTTAAGGATGTGAAAAAATAATCGATTATTAAAAAGATTTTAATCGATTTTTTTAAAAGTAAAAATCGATTTTTTTACGCGATTTTTATATTTGAAATAATCGATTAAAAATCGATTATTTTTATAATTGAAAATCAATCATAGTCGATTATTTTTATAATTGAAAATCAATCATAGTCGATTTTTCATCTGCCACCTCCCGACATTATGTCTGGTCTTTTATAACCCGGACCTCGAACTCTTAGGGATATTCGATATGTAACAACGATGTTTACAATGCGATACATTGATTCCGATTCTTTGAAGATGTATTGATATACTCGATGCATTGATGTTTTTTTGTAAAACATCGAAAGGATGATAAAACCAGTTAATTTTACAAAAACTCAAGTTTGAATGGAACACTATAATTTAAAAGTAAAATAAATTTATTCAGCAGCATAAGACTACATACAATTATTAAAAAGATAACAAAAATACTGCAATGTGCTACTGAAAAGGTATACACTCAGCATTTATTAAATTTCACCTAAAATCTATCAAAGCGAGAATAAGTTAATTTCGATTTTCATTATTCTTAAACGTTAATTTGTGTTTATAATTTCTATTGTTTATTTTAATTAAAAAACCATGAAAAATAAAATATTTAGGGTGTTTATTTTGAAATTAATTCAAAAATTAGGAAAAATTCGATTAATAAAAAAAAATCTATTATTTTTTTAAGAAAAATCGATTATTTATTAATCGATTTTTCAAAAAAATAATTATAAATATTAAAATAATTATTTCTAAAAAAATAATAGATTAATAAAAAATCTATTTTTTTTTATGCAGAATGTCACATGACACATCCCTACCACGAATGCACAATACAACCATGAAAAGCACTCGAAAAGGTTTTTTGTGACAGACCAACTATTTAAGGCTTTCGACGCGATATAACTTCAACTTAGTTTAATTAGACTCGCGGTCGAAACTCGAATCACTATTTTTTTTAGTAACAAATTCTATAATGGAACAATTACATTTAGTACTTTTATTATGGGCATTGATATACAAAAAACCCAAGATGCACACTCAACGTCTAAAAAACGTCCTCAAAAAATGAGCGCAACATTCTAAATTGTGCGCTCATTTCAAATAGTCTCGCGTCGCTCGCGTCTGGGAGCAGTTGTTAAAAATGCCAAAGTGTTCTGTGAGAAATTGTAAAAATATAACGTCAAGAAGGCTAAAAAAGGATGGGATATCGTATTTTCGGTAATTAAAAAACTTTATTGATTAGTTTTTGTTGTTTTTATGACTGATTATAACAAGCAATGTGTGATTTTTATTTATTTTTTCTAAAAACTTCATTAAACTCACAAACTTCTATACGGCCAACTTCAATGGCTGCTTGTTCAGTGTTAGAACAACGCATTACAGTCTTCTTTTTATTTTAGTCGCATTATAAGAATGACCCTGTACTAATAAGTGGAGTCGATGTTATTTATTTGTGTTTAATTTTTATAAATAAATTTATGTACTTTTGAACTTTTTTGTGTGTAGTTTTTGACAAATATATTTTAGGTCAGGAGGTAGCCAATTTAACATTTTTTTTTAATATAAAGAAAAAACTTTTTAACCGGATTAAAGTTATGTATTATTATAAATTTACAACAATGTGACAGTGTGATGTAAAGCACGCGAAGCGTCGGATAAATTTAAAATTATGTTAAATAGTTGTAAATAAAAAAGTCATGTTCGACTCCACTCAATACCTTGTCCTACCGACCACGGTCGGTCGTAAAATTTTATTGCTTTAAGTACACTGCGTTGTAATAACAACTTTAAGTAATTCGCGTAAGGTTGATTTTGCAATATTATATGCTTGTAACTTATAGAACGAGACAGAAATAGTGTTTCGGGACACTTTCGAGCGTTACTTTTATTCGAGACTGTGCATCGGGTTTTTTGTATATCAATGATTATGGGAAACAAACAGTGAATTAACTAATGTATGTGACGGCTTGAGGTTGCGAGGAAATTAATTGTAATTTTAAAATAGGTAATGAAAGGGTACTTAAAGAACGAAGCTGCTACGAAGGAAACAATAGACAAAGACGGGTGGCTGCGCACAGGTGATGTTGTTTACTACGATAAAGATGAGTACTTCTATATAGTGGACAGGACCAAGGAGTTAATCAAAGTTAAAGGGAATCAGGTAAGCAAATAATATACAATTAATGTTACAATAACCGCGGCCCTTACATTATTATACACCTCGCCAGTCAGGTCAAGATGCTTTGTATATAAATGTACTGTAATTATATTTCAAACTGCACGAAATGACTAGACATAGGCTAGGCTAGGGTGAAAACTGAGAACGAAACCACGCATTGAATCCCTACAGTTGCATCTTGACACATAAATATTGACATCACAGGAGACCGAAGATCTGGCAGCTACCTTGGACAAAGAATTAGTCTAGCTATTCAAAGGGGGAACGCTGCCAGTATCTTCGGAACCTTGCCTAAAGGGACTCCTTTTAATAATATATTTTAGTTATTATATGTTAAGGTAAATATTGATTATATTAGTACTTACCGGATGTTTGCACCAATAGACTGCAGGTAACTATCAGAGCCCTATGGTTAAGATCAGAGGTTCACAATGGAAGAATTTTTTCAATATTAATAAAATATATATCTTAAGCCAGTAAGCTTAGTTATATTTAACATTCACAAGATAATAAGAAAATTTGTGTGATTATTTTTAAGATTAAATTTATTTTATAATCATATATTTCTTTACTATCAGGTTTCTCCAACTGAAATTGAAACAATAATAATGGAACTACCGGAAGTAGCTGATGTAGCCGTTATTGGTATTCCAAATGATAAAGATGGAGAAGTTCCCAAAGCGTTTGTTGTACACAAACCAAACCACCAGCTAACTGAAAAACAAGTTTATGACATAGTTGCTAAAAAACTTGTTAAATATAAACATTTAAAGGGTGGTGTCGAATTCATAGATGCAGTACCACGAAATGTTGCTGGTAAAATTATGAGAAAGGATCTTAGAGTACAATAAAGATTAGCAAAATTATTATGGCTCATTATTAAGTATGTTGAAAAACTCCCAAGAATTCATAAGTTTAAAGTTCTGGTTTATCAATTGAAAACTGTAATCCATATTAAATTACTGTGATATTTGTGCTTACAAAACCATACCTCGGTATGATAATCTTATGTAAGTAATAACTAACAAATCAAAAATCAACAAATTAATATGGTTACTGTACAAATAAAAATTATTTTGAAATTCATTTATTTATTATCACCTATCTCAATGCTGATTCAATACAACAGAGATCGTTTTCATCACAATCAATCCTGACAAATCTATTAAATTAATTTAAAATTATTGTGAATCTTTTCACTGTTATTTATCATTGTCGAAATAACTTGTCATTGATATTTAGAACTAACTTCCTTTTAATTAAACAAGTTATTTAATTAATTTAATCTTAATTGCAGTAAGATTAATTAAACATCTTCAACATCATTGTAGTTTGAATATATAACTTTATGCTTCTGGAGTTTCTGTATTAAGTGGAACATCAACTAGTTCTTGTTTCTTCATATCCTCTTTTTGTTCTTCGGGATTTTGAGTGGGTTCTTGAGCAACAGGCTCTATTTGAGGTTGTATTTCAGAATTAACATCCGTTATTGAATAATTTTCAGATGTAATGACATCAGTTTCCTTAGAAGATGGAGTGGTGGAGAAGGTGGAGTCATCTTCTTCCTTTTTTTCTATATTGGGTGCTGGTTCCTCCATCCTCTCCCTTGCATCCTCTGACAATTGCTTGGGAGAGTTACTATTACCATCATTGTTCTCACTTGAAGATGAACTTTCTTCACTTGAGGAAGACACTTCAGATATATTCTTAGGTTCAGTCTCATCTTTAGTGCTTACATCAGAGCTACTTTCATCAGTAGATTTTACAATATCTGTAGTAATTGTTGGCACAGTTGGGTCTATATTTTCTTTACTTTCTGTTTCAGTTTTTTCAAGTGCTTCTTTTTGTAGTTTCTGTTCAGTCATTTCTGCATCATCTACCTTAATGTCTGGTATCACTAGTATGCGTTCAGAAGTACAATCTTCAGTCATCTCTACATCAATTTTTTGATCAAGACTTGCTTCAGAAACAGTGTTATCACTAACATTTGTTTTCAAAACACTAGGCATTGAAGCTTCAACAACTTTCTCTCCCTGTATTGTTTCCGTATTCTCAACAACATTAAGTTCAGGGGGCGTCACTGACTCATACTCAGTTGTTTGCCTTTCCTGGTTGTCTTTTTCATCTTGCTTAGCTTGCAATCTTGCCTCTATATCATCTACTGAAATATGAGCATCAGAAGAGCTTGGCTGTGGTTCGGGTTCTTGTTTTGATTCACCTGTCCCTTTCCATGACATATCCTCCATCTCTACATCAACATTATACTCAGAATTCTTATCAGAACCATTTACCATTGCTTCCATGGGCTCACCATTTTCAGGTTCATGGTTTCTTTGTAATCCAGGTTCTCTTGTGCTAACAACTAAGATATTCTTTTCTATGGCTCTCATAAATTTGTCCACACGATTGTATTGTTTCCGCGGACATGTAAGAAGTTCACATATTCTTTGTACTGTAAAGGGTGCTGAAGTAAATGTGTCAAGCCGTTCTATGAGACTATTTTTCATTATATCGTAATTAAACGGATCAACGTTAGGACACGGGGGTATCTCAACGCTTGGTGTCGATTCGTGGAAGTCGGTGATTACATTCAACAACTTTTCCTTGAATAAACTTTTAACAAGCGACCACTGATATATTGAATCCCCGGTTCGGGCCACATATACTAAATAATCGTTTAATTCCTGTGGTATTGTTTTGGGCTTACGCTTCGTAAACTCCTCGAGAAATTGAAATACTTCTTCCGCGTTTTCCATATCGTTTAAACTAATTAATCAAAATTTTCTTACGTTAATATTTAATGAGTTTCGAAGGCACAAAACAAAATATAATTGATACACAGTTGAATTAGTTAGATTGCACTGTTTTCTTGGGTACATTCACAGATTAATATGAGAAAGTGTCAAATCAAATATACAAATCAACAAAACACGGTAAATCAATGTCTACTGTCAAAGACAAATTTCAGAACGCAGAGCCGAAATAACATAGAACAGCGTAGACTTTACCCTACGCCGTAGAGAGAAAGATTGTAGAAGAAGAGAGAGTTTTATTAAGTAAAAACTAAATATAGTAGTAGTTGCTTCAGTAGTAAGTTGTTACTATAGTCGACGTCCGACGAATTTTAAACTGAATCGTCGCGTCGGGCAATTATGGTCACAGACACTAGGAATGTGCAGGCAATGCAACCCGTTATCGACACTTAGCTACCTGCGCACGCGGGGTCGATGCATCATCGTGACCTTCATTAGCACTCTGACTCCTGATTGGTCATTACGAGACGTTACGTTACTTTTTACGAAAAGTGGACATTCTCAGGAAAACCAACGAAAACAAACAAACAAAATATATGCCTTAGATATGCTGGCATATGAAAGGGGTCACGAAGTGATAAGACTGCCTCCATATTACAGTCAATATAACCCCATCGAACTCATCTGGGCTCAAGTCAAAGGAGAAGTTGCTGCAAAAAATGATACATTTAACATTGCTGATGTTGAAATTCTTAAGTAACACTATTGATAATGTTACTTAAGAAGACTGGACCAAATGTGTGAGGCATGCCGAGGCGCTCCAGGATAAAGACTTAAGGAAAACTATTTTATGAGATCAGGCACCACCTCTGATAATTAACCTACACGAAAATGACACAGATGGGGAAGATATGAGGATTTTTGAAGAACTAAGAACTAATATAATTATCAAAAACGGCCCTTTTCAGGATCACATTACGATATATGCAGTTTCTCTATAGTTGCGTCGAAACAAACATTTTATGTTACAAATTAAAAACTTTTATTTTCAGATAGCGAAAAATAACACTTAACATAATTTAGCATATCACTCGTACCTATCCCGTTATCGATATGCACCTCTATAATTCTTACGCACATCACTATACCTCTCCATAAGACCTGTAAGTGCGAGCGAAACATACATATTAATATGATTTATTACCAGAAGCCTCAGTTGACACTTGACAGTTCATATTCTTCATAATGCGTCGACTAAAGGCTAAACACGAACAATACGTAAAATCGAATAGCTATTGTTATAGAATAGCAACGATATATTTTATATTGTAAAGTAAAAGGCGCTCTTATAATATATAATTACCGCGTATTTGAAAGTTAAAATCAAACGTATGTACGAATTATAAACGTGCGTTGTTTAAATCCAATCGTGTGTTTAGTAATTTTTTCGCAGTTCGCACAGAATACAACATAACTGCTGACAGGCTCAAATATTTACGTCCTAACTCCTATACGTTAATCTCTAGTCTCTACTCTACTTGCTAGTTGGTTAGTATCACGTCTGTGATTTACGTCTGTTAATTGTTTTTGTCTACTTACAATTTTGAATATTCTAAATTAATATTTTATGATAATATTTATCGCACAACTTGTAAGTTGTAACACAAGATGAATTCTCTAATAAGAAGAGGAATTTACCCGCTTTATTGTAATACTTTCAAGTTATCGACGCGCTATTTCGCTGATGAAGCGGTAAAGGAGAAGATAGATCAAATAGTTAAAAATAATAAAGTGGTTGTATTCATGAAAGGAATTCCTGACGCCCCGCGATGTGGCTTCAGTAATGCAGTTGTACAAATCATGAGAATGCACGCTGTTCCATATGAAAGTCTTGATGTTTTATCAGATGAAAATATTAGACAAGGTTAGAATTAAAAGTTATTGTTATATAATTTTAAGGTCTATTTTTAAGACCCTAAACAAACAGTCGGTACTACTACAATTTATGCCTATAAACCTTTACTTAATGTAATAAGAGTAACCTGCATTTCTCTTTATACAATCATGTGTTATATTTAAAATGTAGTAACATTTACCTTCCCTTCAGGTATAAAAGATTACTCAAATTGGCCAACAATTCCACAAGTCTTCATTAATGGAGAATTTGTTGGTGGATGTGATATAATGCTTCAAATGCATCAGTCAGGAGAGCTTGTAGAAGAATTAAAGAAAGTTGGAATTAAAAGCGCACTCCTCACAGCTGAAGAGTCAAAGAAAGAAGGAGCTTAAGAGTGACTATGATCTGTGGGTTCTTAAAAATTAATTATCCAGAATAGACATTTAATTTGATGTGTATAACAAAGTTCTTCATTCTTTATGAGAAGCATCTAGACTTTAGAAATCACTGTAAAATGTGAAGGTTTAATCTATGAACAACACGTATATAACAATAAAATATTAAACTCTTGAAGAAATGAGAACACATAAGTAATTCACATTTTAATGTATCAATTTATTAGGTATACAGTTGAAACTATGTTTTTCTATTACTTCCTTGTAGTTTCCTTTCATAATTAGGTTGAGCTAATAATAGTTATTGCTTGAAAATATTAAATTACAATTTAAATATCAACTAAATGTATTACATGGCAGTTTGCCTGTCCTTGTTAAACATGTCTAAATTATAATATATATTTAAATGTATATTTTAGATTACAATACTGGTATTCACATAAAATATATTATTAATAATTTGTTATTGTCAATACTAAGAGTTTAAAGTTTACTTGACTTTGTTGGGATAAGAAGTTTGGTTCGTAAATAAAGTAATGTTTGTTTTAAGAGCTCTTTATTAATTTAGCTGTACATTCGAGTTAGTATACTTTTTGGGCACATTAATGATTCTTATTCTATATCCCACTTCATCCTTAAAATAATATATTTGGTTGAATTAACAACACAGTCATTATTAAAAAGACTATAATATGGCAGATCATTTATTTAGAGTACTCACACAAAAATACTCATACAAACGATGATAGTATAAAAATGATAATAAATAGATGGGCAAGGTGTGGCATCTATTGAATAAATAAGACATTTTTAAGATCATTCTTTGCTTGCAACCTAAATGCTGCATAATTACCATTAAACTAATGGCAGTAATTAAAATTTGATTTGTATAAATAATGATTGCTTACAAATAAGATATAACAAAACATTCTCACAGTATGAATGAGTCTCGATTTGGTGTCATACATTAGTGAGCCTAAGATTAGCACCATTTTTACTTACAAATAAAATGTTTTGTGACTTCCCCTGATGTTCTCGTACAAATAGATAATAATACCTAAATCTAATATAAATAGTTTTAAACATACAGTTTCTTCGGATTTGAGCCAAATGTAATTTTAGGGAGTGAAATTTCACAAGTAAATGACATTTTTGGTTTGAACATTGCACATACATAACTGTTAAAACGACTTATTGCAAAATTTATTCTCTTTGGTTGATCATGATTAGGGCGAAGAGATGATCAACGTAAGTGAAGTAATTTATCGCAATTTCATGACTAAGTAATCCTCCGTGTTAGTAAATAAAATCCAGGTGGCGGAGGGCAGATCTTTTAAGTTTCCTCTTGCTTTCTCAAATCAAGGTGATCTGTTAGACAAAAAATCAAAACAAATTATGTAATTTACATCTCGATAGCTGTAATATTTTTGGAACTTAGATCTTTTTCAACATGTTTCCTTTAAAAATGTATATGTATTTTAATAATCTTATGTAATTGTGCAATTATTTATCAGTAGAGTAGATTATAACATACTTCCATAGCAAATTAATTTTTATTGATAAAATAATAATATTCAAATGAAAATGAAAAATTCATTGTTATACAAGTATTTATAACAAATTGTACATATCAATTCACAAGTGCCCCGACACAAAAATAACTTTCTGTAAACAAAATATTTGGCACCCATTTAGCTCAACTTGGTGGTGTTCCAATTTTATTTGTTGAAATTTGATATCTCAAATATTAAAATAAGTCTCGGTCCATTCTAAAGTTCATCATACTTAGAGGTCAGTTTCCCCGTAGAGTGCCGTGGAGAAGGCCATGTAGTCCAGGGCTCCCGGTGGGGCTCCGGGCCCGCGGTAGGGAGGCATCCGGGACACGCAGTACTCTGCCTGGTCGGGAGGCAGCTCACGACGGAGCTCTTCCGCTGTTATGAATGGCTGGGGACGAATCGGACAGTAGTATTTTCATCTCAGCCGCCAAGTTGTAGTTTATAAATTGTAAAAATATGTAAATCGACTAAAACTTTGCGAAATGCTGATATTGCTCGTTGGGTGCGATGAACAAAATTTACGAACATCGTAGAAAATAAAACAATTGACACTGAAAATCTTATTAAAGTCAAAATGTTTCATGAATTCTCTAATATTCTATTACCTTGTCGCCGGCTAAAATCCTAAAGCTGTCGATAACTTGTTCTGCGGTGTCGGTGTCGGTGGATTCCCTGGTCATGAAGTCTAAGAAAGCGTCGAAGGATACGTAACCTGGAGAAATTAAATATTGTTTTGAAATAGTCGGCAATGTATCCGCGAGCACGGGCGGTGGTGTTCCTTCAGGCTCTTCGAAAAAAGCCTTACACGTTTGGGGATTTGAACATTTCCATATAAACTTGACGCAGTATTTTTCATTTATGACTACATATTTGGCAAAAACCGCCCACGCAGAGTTCTAGTCTGTTATAATTATTTATTTATTTACAGCTTATATTCAAATTTTAACTAAAAATATTATAAAACTATTATTAAATTAAATTGAGTTATTTCCTATCTATTAATATTTCCTAAGTACATTTTTAACTCATCATACTCTTCACAAATAGGTCGCTCTTCGGCGAAGAGTCTAGAAAATTTAAACTCCAATAGTAAGCGGGGAATGGGGGCTCGTTGACGCTGGACTGTGCGAGTCGAATGCTCAGCGAAAAGGTTAGGTTTTCGGTCGCGGGGTCCGGAACGTACGGTCTCATAATCTGTCCCAGCAAATATGCGATACTGATGTTATTGAAGCGAAATAAATAAACGCCTATTTTTACCAGTAATCTCTTCTTACGGCTATAGTCTCAAATATTTGTTCACCTGTGTTGTTGGGGTCGACGACGGCGAGTATGCGTTGGAAGTCGAGTTCGCCCTGTCGGTCCTTTCCGATGCTGTATCCCAGAGACACGAGGCACGATTTGAGTTCCTCGGGTGCTAAGCGTCCTGAAACATCAAATTATTTGTAATATTATTTTCATGTTTTTACGTATACGAAATAACATTGCTATTTTTATTCGAATCTATCGCCTGAATCATTGTTTAGATGCGTTATGCTCATAAAATATATATTAAGAATAGATTTTATCGCGGGCTTTGAGCACGGCGACCGAATCAAGAAATTCCGATGACGTAATATAGGTGCGGCCAATACGCGTTAGAGCGGGACAGAATGCATACTGCGTTTCACATCGGTCTGGCGTGATCGGTGACGTAGCGCAGGTGCGTTTTATTTTTTCAATTTAATAGAAAAACGCACAAATTAATTTGAACTAATATCAAAGAAAAAATACTGTATAAATTATTATAATTGCATAAGTTGATAAAAATGCTGCTATGCAATAGCTTTACCGCGGCAGACCCCGAGTGCCACACGTTTTTTCATCATTATTTGACGCCGGCTGCACGCACGAGAAAAGCATGACTCATTGTCCCGTTTGCGCCGCATCTATCTCTCTTCCACTCGAAGACTTAAGTATGAAATCATTTCATCAATGTTTTGTTATGACGTCACGTTAAATTATCGTCCGTAAACCATCTTTACAGACCACCATTTTTTGTTTCTTGTTTGTTTTTTAGATTTTTTTTATTGATAAGAGAAGTAATTTGTAAAAATATTGCGTCATTAAACAAATATGCAGTATGTCTCTTACGCTTAAATAAAACTTGAAAAGGAAACAATTTTCTTCACAAACCTGTGCGGTTCTTGTCGAAGTGGTTGAAGGAAGCCCTGAACTCGGTGAGTTGCTCCTGGGTGATGCCCTTGGAGTCGCGGGTGAGGATCTGGTTCTCGACTTCGTTGATGGTTCGGTTGATGGAGGTCAGCAGTTGCTCCCAGCCCACGCGGAGGGTCTCCATCGTGTATTGCGAGTACCTGTCGTTCAAAACAATCAGAGTGTCGCGATGAATGACATTTCCAATTGATAATATTTAAATGATAAATTCTAATTTGGTTAATTGATTCATTAAAAAAAAACGCGTGTGTACTTATGTACACGCTGTAGAAGTTACAATTCTTTGGCGCAACAAGATAAAAAATGATTTTCAAAAATTGTATTCTATGTTTGTAGAAAAAACGACGCTAACAATAGAAAAAACTAAAATGTTGACTATAGCTAACTTCAGGGTGTCGGTTTTTTGTGACGGTGTAGTCGAGCATCGTAAATATTTACTCTCATCATTTTTCTCTAACACGCCAAAATAATTATAACTTCCAAAAGGTTTTTAGGTGATATTTGAATGAACAGAGTTTAAAATAAGTGTTACCGGTTCTCGAAGATCATGCCTTCTTGCACGGCTTGGTGGATGCGCTCGAGCTCCTCGATGTGAGGCTTGTAGGCGTATACGCCCGACTCGTACTCCTTGAGGCGGTGGAGCTGGTCTTCCAGGGAACCCTGGAAATATAAAGAATAGGTTGAAGGTAAGCGATATGAAAAAACGAAGGCAAATTATCTGCAAAAATTTTAATATTGACCAATTACAGAACAGTTAGTGGTGATAGACAATTTACTCTATCTAATTGTCATTGGTCTTCATGGAAAGAAGTAAACGCGAACATCTTACCTGCAATCCCATGCCGATAGCGGTGACGGCGTCCATCTGCCTCTCGATCCAGGGTCCGACCGCGTTGGCCTTCTCCGCGAACTGTCTTCTGAGGTTCTCGTTGTTCTGCTGCTTGCGGAGTTCCGCCGCCAAGGTGGCGTCGCGCTGCGGCACTAGCTGTCTCACGTCGGACCATTTGCGGTTCAATTCCTGTGAAAAAGTATAAATATCGTTATATTATAGCTATCATTTATTGGATTATTCCGCTGCACGCTTCAATTGTCTTTAAAAAAATTTTTTTTTAAAATAATAATGAAACATTTTTAATCGGGTCGCTTACATGCGCAGTGAGCGTGGTGTAAGGGTTCTCCAGTCCTCCGGGGATCTGGTGCTGCTTGACGATGGACTCCACTTGGTGCACGAGATTGACGATGGCCTGGTACTCCTTGTCGGCCTCTCCGAGGGTGGCCTTGAAACGAGCGTGGGCGTCCATTAGGCCGGAGATCTCTTCGATGGTGTGCACGATGAACATGTCCACCAAGTCCTCGCGGGTGCCGTCCAGCCTAGGAATAATACAATACGGAATAAACTGATAGTTCTAAAAAGTAACTCTGTGAAAATAACTGAAGTTGAAGATTTAAGTAGGGTTAATCTTCTGGATTATTCCATGTCATTATTTTTTGCAGCTCAAGATTTAATAAACTGTTTTTAGTTTCAGAACAATTATTCTTTTAAATTAGCTCCAGTGCCAAATGTTGCCTTTGATCTCTATAAAACTAATAACGATTACATTAGGCTATTTAATAGTATGAAAAATTCAGTGATATTGAGTTATTTGTTATATTAAAAGCGTTATCGAGTAAAATGACTAGTAAATAATCAGTAATCTATTATAAACCGTCACGTGACACAAATCGGCCACAGATTAGTCGAAACGACGATGACGTACCATTCCTGTAAATAAAATCTGCCTAAGCCTATAACTGTCTTGAAATTTAATTTCGTCGGAGACCATTTTTAAGGGAAATACATGTGTAATTTAGGAAAAAAATTCACACAAAAAAACTTGTTTACGTATTTATTACAAGCATGGTACATCTTAGATACTGGTGCGACGCCATCTTGCACAGAGAAGCATTTTTGGCGGGAAATAAGTAATATTTAATTTAAATGATGTCATACCCATACGCGCTAACTATTTCCGGCCTAATCAAGTAGTTCTGAGTGTATGTTTGTTGTTTTCTTTTTGACCATACCGCCTAGTCTTTCGTAGAAGTTTTCCCTTAATTATATATTAAACCTTACCTAACCTCTCTATCACCATTGATTCTAGTTCTGAGTGTGTAGAGTAGCATAGACAATGATAGATATTGTAAAATGTTTTTGTTTAAATCTCCTAATCCTATTCAAATAACCTATTACGATACATACATATGACAAGACTTCAAAAGTTTGAACAAACGCCACCTAGCGACTGAACACACAATCAGTTGAAAGACTAAATACTGACCAGTTGTTAAATGGCGCGGCTCTCTTGGCGAACTCGAGGTGCAGCAAGTCGATCTGCTCGAGCACCCTCTCTGCATCGTCGAGGGCTGCGCGTCTTCGCTGCGTGAGGGCTCCGAGGCGGTCCCACTGGGAGCAGATGCGCTGGCAGCGAGCGTTTACGTTGGCTACCTCGTGGTATTCCAAGGTGCTGGAGAAAGAGAGAAAGAGACAGGTTGTAGCTTGTAGAGATTAGTGAGATGCATTATTGTAATCACAATTTGACGATGATAAACTTCAGTCTAATGAAGTGATATTTACAGGCAACGTGATGGTAATGATAAAATTAGGTATGAAACTAAAAAAAATATACATCGTTAGCTGTCATAAAACAAAAAACTTGGCGATTAAAAAGAGTGGCGGAGAGTTTATTGCCAGTTCTTCTCTTCCGTTCTACGCCCTCGATTTGAGAACTGGTAATAAATGTAAAATTAGAAGCATTTCATATATTTTTTTTTCACGTTCATAAGTGTACATTGTGTTACCTATATGAATAAATGATTTTAAATTTTTGAATTTTTTCTCCCGCGAACTTTGATTAGCTTTAATGATATTTTTGCTTATCCTGCCATTTTAGTAGCTAAAAACCTAAATACTAAATAAAAATATTTATTTTTTATTTTCCAATTTTCCATGACCTCCAATTTTCCAATTGGTTCGGAAAAACGTCAGTGGGCAGCTGATTCCACTAAGTGGTGGTGCGTGGCAAAAACTGCCTTGAAAAACGCTCAGTTGTGGAACGGCGGACGTCGAGGTGATACGGGTGGAATTTCGTATTCTGCCTCGACGTCCGATGATGAAACTCAGCTGCAGGTATTAATCCGAACAACTCCTCTGACCACTTACCATGGTAAATGCTTAGTTTATAAAAATGACTCACTTGAGTTCCTGTGCAATGGCGGCGATCTGCTCCACCCTGTCCTGATGCGCGGCGAGGTCCGACTCGAAGGCCTCGTGCTTCTTCTTCAGAGCCTTGATGTCGTACAACTTGCATTGTCTGAAGTCTTGAGACTGCAGCATCTCCTCCTTGCCTGGAGGTTCATTTCAATTATTATTTATTTATTGCATTACAATATAAAAATTGAACATAATTAAATGAAAAGGAAAACTTATCGCTTTCGAGCAATCTCTTCCAGGCAACCAATGGGAGTAAAAACCAATGTATTAAAGTAAAAAAGGAGACATAGACATAGACAAGAAGTGCCTACATATAGTTATAGTTATTAAGAAAAAAAAACTAAACAGGAACGAAAAACAAAAAGTAAAAAGTGCACATGAATCATAATACGAATAATAGTTAGTACAAAAGTTAGGGATACGATGTGAAAAGTAATGTTTGTACAGAAGAAATTTAAAGGAAGATAGAGAAGGAGCTAAGCGAATAGGGACGGGAAGCGAATTCCATAGCCTCAGTACCTTAAATGACTCGCCAAGAAAGGAGGAGTTATGAGATGGGATTTCAAGGATATAGTTTTCCGAAGAGCGTAAGCTATAGTTATTAATCATTTAGTTAGAATAAAGTCGATTTTTGTGTTTTATGCTTTCTAAAGCGTAAATAAATAAAAATATAGTAAATTTTGAAGTCGGTTAAAGAGACTGCATCACCTCTAGTCCAGTCTTCGTGGATGTCGGCCTTGTGCTTGAACTTCTGCGCGAGGTACTCGAGTCGCTCCAGGCGCATCATTTCACTCAGGAGCCATTCCTCGAAAGCCTTTTCTGCGATCTCCAGACCTTTCCAGGATTGGGCGATGTCCTAAATGTAAACATTTTATATAACATTACAATAATGCACTTGAAATAGAAAATATAGTTTTTTAATAATGTATAATATATTTTCGTTCTAGAATCGATTTTAGTTAATAAAATGAAATTTAATTGTCTGACGTAATCTGTATACTTATAATCGTGTAAATTAATACGCGTGAAGAATGCGTGAATCTGGCAATTTTATTATTATCTTTTATGAATTCTTTAAAAGCGATGTACACGGCTAAACAATAAGAGGTGGTAATAAAGACATGATCTTTTTATTTACATATTGTATAAAGTTACATTATATAAATTAAGATTTTTAATCTTATAATTTCAAGTTATAATACTAATAATAAATGTTTATTTTCGAGGGAATAAAACACACATTTGTACGTCAAGTTTAAAGTTGCTTATCGTTAACCAATGTTTTTATAAGACCCCTTGCCTAGAAGCTACATAGCAGGGGACTGTCTGTTCTCCGATTTCCTAGAAAGGGAAAGTCTCTTTAACTTTTCACTTAACCTAGGTCTGGTAGGGCGTCGGGCGACGACTGCAACGGAAATGAATTATAGTCTGATTTTTCATTCCATAGAATTCTGACATTTCATAAGTGTTCCTAATAACAAAGTTCTCCATCGAAAAAGGGAAAAATGAAACCCATTTCAGGGCAATAAACAATAAAATGCTACGTATTTTTGCTTTACCTACAAAAAGGTAAATCTAAATATTTACTTAAGTGATCTAATACAAAAATAACAAATATTTCAATATCACAAACAATATATCGAATTAACTTTAATGACTTTATTTTACAGGCATCACTGCCTGCTAATTCCAGGGTTAGTAAACCTTTTAAAAATATAATGTTATCTTTACTTGTGCTTTTTTACTGTTTGTGATGAAAAGGGGCGCAATTATCGCTCGCCGTTAAACCACGTTTAACGTGAGCACCGCACTTAATAAAATTGATACATTGACTAATAAATAAAATGTATCTATAGACTCAGAAGTTCAGACTCGTATTGAAATTGAAAAATGTACCTGGCCAAAAAGGTTTGCAATCTCTGACATGTCAAAAAATGCTAGATGTCACAATTCTACGGAATTAAAAATCAGAGTATAGGGTGACATTTATTTTGACAAATGAATTCACTTACAGAAACCATCTTGCCCTCGGTGGGCATGTAGGCGGGCCTGTTGCTCAGGCGCAGTTTAGTTTGAAGCGTGTTGAAGTTGGTCTCCAGCTTCGCCTTTTGCTCCACACGGGGAGGCTTGTGCTTGCGTCTGTTTTTGCGAAATTATAACATTATCGTAACTTATTTGGAAGACCTTAAAAATAATCTAATTTACAGCATAAACGGGAAATTATATTATTTGCATAACGGCGTTTCAAGAAACGTAAACCAGAGATAATATTAAAATGTGTTATGTATTATAGATAATTACTATAATATAATAATAACTTTAATATAATAATATAGTTAATACATTATAATTATGTTTTATAAAAAAAAAAAAAATTGCGCTTTCTTATCAAGTCTTTTCTAATTAGTATTTATGACTTTTAAACCAATACAACAAGAATAGTTTTTTGTTCTTTTCTTAAAAGACTAAGTCGAATTGTTTCTAATACTCCAGTGGGTAGCTGGTTCCACATAGTGGTGGTGCGCGGCAAAAACTGCCTTAAAAAACGCTCTTTTATGGAACGACGGACGTCGATGTGATATTTTATATTCTGCCTTGACGTCCGATGACGAAACTCAATTGCAGTAATCCGAACAACTCCTCTCACTCTCCATGAAAAATGCAGTAGAAGATAAAGAGAGAAACGACATCTTTGGTCTCCACGTTTCAAGCGACCAACTTTGCTTTTCATACAAACACGATTGTGTATCTTTTTTGTATATAAAGTACCTGTAGGTACGGTAGTCCTCCAACTTCTTCTGACAGCCGGCGAGCGAGTTGTCGGTCTGTCTGCTGTTCAGCCAGGGCATCGTGCGTCGGATCCATTCCAGTAACTGTAATTCATATTAACCTGCTAAAAACTATCGTGAACATTGTAATTTTAATGGGAAATTCCTAACGACGAAAAAAGTTATTTATACCGGCGTAGAATAAAATTTCGATTAATGTGATAAAAGTCATGAAGTGAAAAACATTATAATACAAACTATAATAATGGGATAGGAATGAAAATAAAAAGAGCAGTGTTGGCCTAGTGGCTTTAGCGTGCGACGCTCATCCGTGAGGTTGTAGGTTCGATCCCCAGCTGGATTTTCATTCAATGTGCGCATTTAACATTCCTTCGAAAGAAGAAAACGTCGTGAGGAAACCGGCTTGCCTTAGACCCAAAAAGTCGACAGCGTGTGCCATGCACAGGAGGCTGATCACCTACTTTACTTAAAAAGATTACAAGATAATTTTAGAAAAGTTAGTTATACACGCGTAGATATAGAGTAACATAGTATGTAAATTTTCTAAATGAACGGCGAATTGTGTATTTGATTAAATTCCTTACATCACTGGCAAGACGCTCATACTCCTCCATGAGGCGCTCGTTCTCCTGGTTCACCTTGAGCACTTTGCAGATGCGGTTCGCGGCGGTTTCAGCCTAGAATATTATGAACTACATTAAAATAAATTTACATACATATTTTACGTGTAACATACTAAGCGTTTGGTTTGAAACTGTAAAATTTAGTTGTGTTATCCAGGTTACTTAGGCATATGGGTAGATAATGTATCAATGTATATTATATATAATTAATTCATCGGAATACTGATTCCACTGAGTCTAATTGCGGTCGTTTAACTAATGTACTCTTTTCTCTTTCTGTTAAATCGTGATTACGCTGTTATACAAAGAGACAGATGCGTACTTAAATTAAAACAGTATAATTACATTTATTGAAGTGAAAACTTCTTTAGCGGCGTTGTACACTTTTTTGGAAAGGGTAAAAAATTTTAAACTCGCGTCAGGACAAATTCGTAATACCGATGTTTTTTTAAAAGATTATGAACCTTCGTGCTATATAGTTACGGTTTTAATTTATTTGTCTCTTTCCTCAGATACATTGATGTATGTGGAATTGGACCTTAAGTCAATACATCAAGGTTTAATTTTGCGAAACGTCTAAAGCTTTATTATTAACGATTTAGTCAGACTGACGACGGATGGAGAGTAGACAGCTGGCGCGGCGTATTTAATGTAATATAAATTGTCATGTTTGTTTACGATAGCGCAATAAATAAATATTGTATTCTACCAGTACTTTTATACTGATAATTAAAGCAAATTTTTCCTTTACCATTCAAAAATATCAAAAATGCACAACGTCAATATTCAAGTTTTCACTTCTGCCGGTACTCCCGGAGTGCAACCCGTCGTTTCTTTTTCTGAACAAGTGTCTCGTATATGATTCCCGTGTTATTATTACAACAATCATTTATTGATTATTTAATACGCCGGTGCCTGTATTTAATAATTTCTCTTAAAACTAAATAGTACTCGCACACTGACTTAACACATTGTTATTAAATGGAAAAACGAACCTTCTGAGCACCAGAGAAGCAATGGTAGTAGGAAGACACGTATGTCATGACGGCTCGTTCGTCAGGCATCGCCGTGTTCTGTAGATCTAGCAAGCGCACGCAAGCAACAATGGTTAGTACATGCTTTACTTAGGAAGGCTTTGACGCGTCACGAAAGGCTGTTGGAACTTAAACTGAGAAAGCGGACAAGTGTTGGGGTAGAACGACGAAAAGGGAGTTACGAACTTTGCATTTTGTTTTGGTTTGGAAATATATGATTAATTTCTGGAATTACTCTTTTTATGAAATTGTTAATAAACGCCGAATATTTTAAAGTCCAACGCTATTGCGTTTAGTTCTTATACTGGTATTCTAAAACACCAAACGAAATTGTATTTATAAACTTGACTTAAATATAAGACTGAGCTTAAAGCTTTTTCATGACTGTCGGTAAGGCTTCCATTCTGCTGTAAGTTAATAACAATAGGCAAAGGGTTTAATAAAAATACACAAAACATCTTGTCTATTAGTAGAAAACTTGACGCTTCAGCGTAAGTTAGGGGAATCGGTATTTAAACAAAAGATATTGCTATCTTACTTTAACAACGAGAGTAGGACAACAATATCGAAGTTTAAAATTCACAGGTTAAGCTGTCAATTTCTTAACAATTTTTCTAAGGAAGGCGATACATAAACATGCTATAAGTGACACACTGTCTGGCGTTAGGGCTCTCGATGATAAGAGCCATCTCAAATACCTGTTGCGCGCCTTGGAAGGCGTGGTAGTAACATGACACATAGGTCATTATAGCGCGTTCGTCCGGCTTGGGGGTGTTTATTAAGTCTGCAATATTATTACGTTTGAGATTCGTTGGATTTCTTGGAAAGTCAAAAGTATACGCCATAATGTAGGTACATATCGCCCAATTTCAAGAAGAATATTTTAGTTATAAACATACGTTTGAATGAAATATTATTTTCTATGCTAAAATTTCTGGCCCCACGTACGATAATTCTCGTCATCTATACGTACACGTACGTCTATATGTACCGAAACTTTGTTTCGTATATAGCAGAAATAAAATGTTATAACTGATTTAAAAAATTACGTGTTTTATTACGACAAATATTTCTTAATAATGGCAACAATATAACGATTGCCAACTCTTCTCTTCTTTGCTATAAAAAACTACTAAGTCCCTGATCGTACGATGTATTATCTACAAGAAGAACTCACCATCTGGATCCAACATGCGTGGAATATCAAGATACTTCTCGGCAACATCGAAAGCTGTGTTGAGGTTCTCGAGAGGGTTGTCCTTCGAGAGCTTACTGTAGTCGATCAGGTCAGGCCTGTGTCTGTGGATGAGGGCGCAGAAGGCGAGACCGTCCTTGAATGACAGGTGGAAGTTTTGCACGTTGACATTCTTGTAGGGGGCGGTCTTGCGCTGACACCAGAGAAGGAGACCTTCCTGCAATTGAGAAACATCTTTGAATATAAACTTTTTAAACAACACATCGTTTTATGACAATGGAAAGAAGATTTTAAATACATAATGTATTTTTTCTATCGAATTTGTTATAATTACTGTGAAGGTACCTACAATTATTGGGCAATTTATAAGCAAGAAATAGAATATAAAATCACTAGTTACACATAAATTGTAATTTTGTATTTTAAATTTTTTCCCATTCAAAATTTTTTTTAATTAAATTTAAAGTGTGACCCACATCTTTTGTATAAATTATTTCTTGCCTAATGTAACTTGTTAAGGAAAAACTATTAGTGAATCTAGCAAACCCTTTTAGCAACAACTAAAAGTAATACGGAACTACGCTATCAAAATTAATGATGATTTCATTCTAGTTTTACAGATTATACAGCTAATAGATATGAAAAAATCTTGATTGATGTACAAATTCGATGAAGCTCTACGCACCCCTACCCCTTAAAATTAACTCACTGTAGGGTTCACGTATTGGACAAATCATTGCAACCCTTATAGTTTGAAATGGCCGTGATATCTTTTCTCGACTGCACTCAGAATCGTTCATTAAAAGTTAGTACAGAATTAACTTCATAAATACTATCGAATAACTTTATTGGCCTATTCATTAAACCAGTCGTCAACAAAGCGGTAACTTTGTAACTGATCTTCATCTTTAGATATATATTATGAGAGATTATATAATCAACATCCTTTCGTCTATTTCAGTTAAATATCTGTAAGTTTTTTATAGCTGAGGTTCTCTTAATGTTAAGTGATCTAAAGGACCTTAAAGGACCCTAAGTCGAATTGGTTCGGAAATGCATCGTTGGGTAGCAGTTTATGTAATATAAAAGTTTTAAGTATAAAATGCTATAATTACCTTAGCGGTCATTTCTTCAACGGAGATGTCTTGAATGGCAAACCTAAGGATGATAGTCCAGATCATACCAAGTGTCATTTTTAGGTTACCATCGACGATTTCTTCAGCACCGATGGAGACCAGCTTTACACCTGCAATACATATGCTAATATATTATTTTCATTCTTTTCTCTTTCTGATTGTATAAGTGTAATTAAACATTCTGTCTTCAATGGGTCTATTTGATTGTTACATATATTTTAAATGGATATAATAATGAATAAATAAGCAGTGTTCAGTTCACGCTTCAGCGTGCGACTTTCATCCCTGCGGTCGTAGGTTCGATCCTCGGCTGTGCATCAATGGACTTTCTTTTTAGTGCACATTTAACATTTGCTCGAACGGTGAAGTGAAACATCGTGATTAAACAGACAAAAAGTCGACGCATGTGTCAGGCACAGGAGGATGATCACCTACTTGCCTATTAGATTAATAATCATGAAACAGAGTCAAAAATTTCAGGCCCAGACCTAATAAGGTTGTAGCGCCATTGATATATTTATTTCTTAATAATCAATAAATAAATTTAGTTTTTCAAACATTGCTGTATCTATGAAAAAAGCTTACAAATATTCAAAATTAAAGAATACAACTGTTAAAGAACATTTAGTTGATAGTTTGCTTTGTAATGCCACTCTATTATCAGTTTTAGCAGGCTTTGATAAAACTCACCTTTAGATGCAATGAAATCAAGTGCCTTATTGACATTGGCAATCTTGTGGAAACGCATTTTGCCTCGGTCTGGCTTCGGCAGGGTTTCGCCGGATATCACCTCCAGGAGAAGCATGAGTTTCAGCCCATTGCGGAAGTCCTCGTCTATGTTCTCGATGCCAGTTCCGGCTTTGCGCAGGTGGCTGTTGCACCATGCTGTGAACGTCTGGAAACGAAAATGTTGATTTATAATCGTGTTTCATAGTAATTAGTGAATAAGTGTGGTGGCTTTGTGAGATGAGTATAGAGTAGTATAGTTGGGCTCCTATGTAGAATCGTGTTCTAATTAATACGAATAGTAGAATAATTGTAATCGCGTTACCCACAACACAACTCCCTACTGTGGGTACTAGAGCTGGATCAATTATGTCACAACCATATTTCTGTCATGAATAAAGTTTTATTATCAAGCATTATTATAATCGTAAAGAGAAATAAGATATAGTCTATCGGACCTGATCAAAATGGTACGGAGATTATATTCCTTCACATACAATTTTAATTTTTGAATCGTAAAATAATAATGACTTTTACTATATGAAACAATAACATAGATGTGTGCTCTTTACTAGCAGAGTAGATTTTTTTTATAGAACGGGGCAAACGCACAGGAGGCCCAGAGGGCTCGCGAGTGCATTGCCGGCCTTTAAAAATCAATCAATCAATTTTAAAGAAAGCATTGTTAAGTTCCTATCCGCTGTATTCCTGGAATTTTTATTTATTTATAATTTTTTTATAACTTTCATGTGTACCAAAATTGTCATATATTTCAGAAAAGATAACTTGTATCATATACTGTAAATATATTATTATGTATGATGTCACCACATCTTCAATAAATAAATAAATGCCTTTAATGATCATGCTTTATCAAGTTTGTTGAGTCACCATAAGTCAAAACTAAATTGACCACTATAAGTCAAGACTTCATTAGGATCGTGTTATACTACGATAGTAATAGTAGTAAAAGGATAGTAACCCACGACTATGACCTTCAATTTATTGAAGTGGATTCGTGTTGAGAGGGGATTCCCACGTGTGTAGCACTGATCAATACTGCATTTGCAACGGGGACAGGGAGGGTGCGACCCTCTCAGCCAAAACTCCGACGGTTATTGGTTTATAGCAAGTGGCTATGGTAATGTGTGAATGTGTAGGTTTTAAATTTAGAATCACTTCGACTTTCGGATCTTATTGTGAATATTTTCAATGGATTCTTCCATCATATTGTCTTTGATTTACGAAAGTACTTATTTAAATAAATACTAGTTTGACGGATATAAACTCGAATTTATTACAGTATGTAACGTAATTGAGAATGTGCTGCGATTTCTGAAAAGCTCACGATACTTCGAGTTATGTAAATAATATATAATAATATGATAATAATTATGATTTTGAAAACAATTTATTCGAAATATTAATGATGTCAACCATTTATAATTCAGATTTCTTTGAAATAGCGGAAAATGTGTTAGCAATTATTATCAGGATTTGTCTTAGTTTAGAAAGAAGATCAACTATTTTATATTAGATTCTCAGATAATATTTATTTTATTTATTAATGAAAGTTTACCACATCATGCATAGTACTAAATCTACGGTATGTGTTACAAACTCTTTTATCCAAAACATTTGACAATTTAGGTAATCATAAATGTTACAAACAAGTTAAAAACATATATTTTAAGTTAAAATAAAAATACCAGTAATTTTAGTTAAGCAAAAAAAAATACCAGCAAAACAGCGGATAAGGTTCGAGATAGGCACTTAACAATGCTTTCTTTACAACCGATTAGCCCACTATCGAATATATCCAGGTCCGGATAAGTACTGTTTAATCAGTTAAAATCGCGAAGAATTCGAAAGAGAGGTGCCTGAACTCCTATGATGGTTTTTGCAGAAGGAATTTGCAAACATTGATTTTTGACCATGGGAATAATATTAAAATATATATAATCTATGCACAACATTCGATAGAGAGAAGATTAACACCGGAATAAAATACTCATATTTTGAAATAAATAAGTGAACTTTTTGTAAGCTTACCAAAAGGACTTAACAATTTCAAAATTACAATAAAAACTGTTACACAAAGCTAATGCCGAGATCACGTATTTGACCCATTCATTGAGCAATGAAAGTTGCAATATCTATTGTAAATAGTCCGCAAATGAGCAATTGTAGATATGAGAGTCGTACTGATGTAAGAATCATGTTCAAACATCACGACTATTCCTTTTATGCTATCTCAAAACATTGAGTCAACGAATGTCGATAGGTTCCTCAGGGTTATAAGCTGACTATTGGAAGGTCATATTTGTTAAAAAGTAATATATATCTGTCAACTTGCGGAACAGTCACACGCCACGACTACTGTAGCTTTAGAAGCGGCGACAAACTTCTTGTACAGATTTTAGCAATCGCTTGCTATCAGCGAACGTTCTTGCCACACATAATGATTTGTACTTTAATAATGATTTTAAAAATGCATTGAATTAATATTATATCTAATTACAGAAAAGCGTTGGTATGCTGTCTTCATACACAACTATTTTTGTTTACAATACTAAAAGCAGAAAATATTATTAAATTACTGGATCCCAGTTTGTTGTATATAACAAAAAGTGTATCAATTGTCGCCATATATATGAGAAGTAATTTAAAATATTTACAATCGCTTCAACCTGTGTTTCATTATAACGTAAAAGACAAAGTGACAACCATTCACAGAGCATCATAATATTTATAACTTATAGGTAGGTTTAACTTTTGTCTAGTCTAGACAAAAAGGATTTGCAGGAACCCTTTCGCAGGTGGTAGGCCTCCAAGGATCTCCAGGTATTGGTCTTGGATCATTTCGAGTCGCCCTCATGGTCCATCAATCGTCTGACAGTCTTGGCGACAGGCGACGCCCATCTCCATATAACCTTTACAGCATAGTTTCGGGCATCAGTAGATTTAGTCTTATCATTAACCTTTTTAATTTTTCTAATGTTGTGGATGCTCCGTTCTAGGCCCCTTTGAAAAGTTCTGATTTTTCTTTTTATCTTGTCTGTATATTTCCAAGTCTGGCAAGCATATAGTATGTGTATGCGATAGTAAAGTATAGGTTATTGGCATTTAATATGCGATGGTCAAACCTGTTGACAGCTTATTTACCGGCATCTCATTGAATGACACATCAAACAATCTTGGCTACTTGAGTAATGCTAATTACATATGACTTTTCCGAAGGTGATTTATGGACGGTCTACTTACGTAGTCTTTGTAATCCATAGTCTAATCTATGAGTGAAATGTCTTCTTTGAGGAGAATATTCTAGTGTTAATGGCAGATTTTGTTAAAACAAATAATTTAACATTTATATAATCTGTAAACGGTTATAGGTATTTATAAAGTATCCGTTATATATTACTATCCGTTCGCCTTTGGACTCGTAGATTAAATCAACTCAATTGAATTGGAATCATTTCAGAACAATTTTTCCTTGATAGCTCAAGATGAAATGGTATTTTGAGATCAAAATACTTAATACAAATATTTTTGCTTAATAATTTCCGAGACGAGATATATCTCAAGCTATATAACAGCATGAAAGATCACGTGCCGACCGGTAAATTGGTAAAGGCAGCTGCAGAACAGGTGATGGAAGTAGGTAAAGCTACTTTTGTATGAAATGTAACCAGTTTACCACGCCTTTGGTTCCGGTGTTCAAGGTCGTTGCGATAATTCTTTAGCTTCATTTGTTGCGTTTTCTTGGCAATTGAAATGAGATTTACTGCAGTTTCAGTATATTAACTTCATATTTTTCCCCAAAAGTACCGTGATTTTGTGTAGAATTTAAACATGAATTTTCAAAGAATAGCAAAACAAATATACGATTTAAGCTAAGCTAAGCACTAAGCTTTCATTTGTTTCAAAACATACGCAGAAATTTATTATTTTAAAGATGTAAATACGTACAGAATTTGCTCTTGAATATCTTCATATATTGTTGAAATCCTTTGTAATATCTAAGCGTACAAACGGCAACAATGTACCGTATTTTTCTAGAATCTACCGCAATACTTTTGTGACATGAAAGCACTGGTCGGCAATTACAAGGCAACAATAGGTTGCGGGTGTAATTGAAGTAATTGTTACGTCTTTGCATTCTGTTATTGTTAGTTCACGTTTTATGGCGCATCTATTTGTAATCGCTAAACTCGGCTTCCAGTACTGAAAATAGCACATCTGCCTATTTGTTTTATCATTTGTGCCTTAGTGGTTGCCTAGAGCCTTTGGTTTTGGGCTACATGTTTGGAATAATTCGTCATAGTATGAGAATAGTGACGGATCTGACGAATAGTAAAGTTTACAGGGCTGCCATTTCAAAATAATATAATCATGTTTGTTTTTGTCATAACTATTTTAATTCATATTCTGTTATTATGAAAATTGGCATACAAGCAAACAAAAGGGTTTGTTTTGAAACAAAATAAAAATAATAACAATAAATTACACAGTTTACTAGAAAAATGACGTCTATCAAATCCGTCACTTTAGCGAATGATTAATTTCAAATTTAAAACACATGGATTTTTTTTTGATGTAGCCGTAATATTTAGTCAATGTAGTATCCAAATATGATAAAAAGTGGATTTTGGGTTTTTTTCAAATCCGACATTGTTCTACGATCATGACGAATTCCAGAAGACTTCTGAATTCCAGGCAGAAGTCCACCTATTAAAAGAGATAAGATAAAATAGGATCACGGGCCATAATATTTTTTTTATAAGTGTAGTACTCAAAGACACTGAAATCCTAATAACATTATTTTTAAATATTATCCAATATTTTAAAATAATGTTATAAATCTTTTAACATTATTTTGTCTAAATCTTTTATTTTTAAATGAATTAAATAGAGTAATCAATCACAAAATCATAGACAATTAATATCAATGAGTTACAGAAGTAATTTATTTCCAATGACACCGATAGAATCTTTAATATTTATAGCTAACTTTTCCTCATACTTTCGCTTTTAATTATAGGGCAAGGTCTCGTAACTTCAACGTACAAACGCAAATGTATCTTTTAAATAATATATGTATTTAAAACAAGAATGTCAGATATAATCTAAAATACGTTTATAGAATTCATTTTTCTATTGTCTTTGACTTATAAATTGTAAATTTGATTTCACGTATAGTTTATTTTTCATTTTAATGTTATATTTATAATCTGTGATCTGTCAGCTTAATAATACGAAATAATATTTTGCACAGACTAATACAGTCTAATAATGTTAATCATTCCGCCTTTACGAGTAATTTAATAGGATTGGTCAGAGCAAATACGTACACTGTGGTTTTTATTACAGGAATCCATTGAAATGAATGAACATAAATGCGCTTATTTCACAAAATGCGAGAAAAGTTGTGTAATTCAATAAGATTTACTTACGTTGAATTAAACAATGAATAGATATATTTTATTTGGAGCCTAATTATAATTAAGACCGCTCAAGCCTTAAATATTCTACCTGACCCCAGTCGAACTGACAAAGTTGCCGTTGCTTTCCAATATACTTTGATGTAATAATGTTATTTCTAAGGAAGTACAATTGCCACAAAATTCCACCATATCTGCCAAATGAAAGACTGCCGTGTTCTTACGGCATCATAGGCGGAGTACTCAGACCGGGAATCGAGTCCAAAACCCTACAGAGACAACAATACAAGCCCATTGGGCGCTGTATTAAACGGCAGTAACTACTAGCTATACAAGTATCAACATTTATAAACAAAGATCATCACTTGGCGTATTTATTTTTTTGGTATTTATTCGTATTAACAAACCTAGGACACACATTTGCTCTGGGTATAAATCAGGTGATACGTGGTGATTAGTGATTGTGTCTGTCGACATTTCGATGCATAAGTGACCGGACTGCATTCTGATACAGTTTGTCATGACTCATCATCGTGGCGTTTTACGTGGATCATACATGACGTAAATTTAGGAGTTATTTAAAAAAATCATCGGGTTTCACACTAATACATTGGTACAAGAATAATAAAATTAATGTGACAAGCCCTTATAGGCAAACAAGTAACACGAAGAGATATAATGTTTTATAAAAACTAAAGGAAAATTGATTTCAATGTATGAGGAGAGCAACTATGGACCTAGCTCGTCAGAATGCTCAATCGGGATATCGGTGAGTTTTGGCCAAAATGCGTTCTTCTGAAAGGGAACAATGGGCTGATGGGATGGTTTTAATATATATGTGATTAACAGTATGACAAAATATGAACGAATATAAAAGCTAGGCTTTTTAAAAGGAATTTCCTTTACCAGGCTTACAATACTTGTCAGACTATTTTTATCCAACTGCCATAAAATCCATAAATGCCTGGCATCAAAAACTTATAAAGTATCTAGCAAGACTGTATTTTTAAACGAATTTGCATACGACAACTTTCTTGTACTAGTAGAACCGGTTAAAATAAACACAAAACGAAATGTGACACGCGAACTAGTTACAATATTTTTAGAGATAGAGGAATAACAAATTAACCTTAGTGTAAACTCGACCTCGTAGGAAGTTAGTCCCCGACAGGTGACCTAGAATGTGGATATATCTGCACGGTCACTTCTAAAATTATATTCGCAGGTGCCAGATATTCTATTATATTCCAAGTTTAAAAGCGTTTTAAATCATTGGTGGCATCATATGTCGAAATGCCTGAATTAGCACGCATTCAAACTGGAAACTTAAGATAATAAAGAAAACTGAAAATCTTTCTTGTTATTGTATGAAATCTGAGCGGCTGAGCTGAATTTTCGACGTCATATTCCACTTTTCTACTATCAACACGTTCGAGAATTTACATATTAATATAGACGGTGTCAACAAATACTGTATTTTTATAACACTTTCTAAGTTTGACAAAACTAGCGCGCATATGGTTCGTTTTAACAAATACTTAAATTTGCATATTATGTCGCAGATTTTTCCAAACCAAAATCGAAAGAAATCGATTACATACTTAGGTAAAAGAGAATTGATGAACAATGTGATGTTCTGTGGTAAGTTTTTAGGGTGCTCTATGATTTCAAGGTCAATAGAATTTTTTATCTGTATCAATTTAAATTTAGAACACGGCCTTTGTATGACTGTGAAATGTCAGAATGACGATTAACTATTATTTATACCGGCGACTAATTTATGTACTAGAAATAATTTTAAAGAAGTCAAGCGTGACACTGGTAGGTTATTGCTTTTGGCATGAGTTTATCTTAGATGTATTTACGGATATCGCATTTGTAGTTAAATTTTGAAAGTTGTTTAGAAAGCATCGTTTTTATATTATATTAATTGCTCCCATCATCAGTTACGAGTTATATAAATTCGGAAAACATCTGATGAATTATTTAAAAGAGAAAATTGATTTTAGAAAGATGATAAATTATTCTTGAATAGCTATAAAACATTGAAGAACTTTATGAATTCCGGCATATAGTTAATATTTATGTAAATTCACTCTAGTTTTATAAGACAAATTAAATTATCGGATCACCATTAAAAGCGGCAAAAAGGTTTGTACAGTTATGATTCTATTTGCGTTTAAATGCTATATTCCTATTTCTTAATCAGTTCAATTACAACCATAAGTCCCTTTCTGTCGAACTGTATTAACTCATTGGAGAAAGAAGATAGTTAATTGTAATAGCATTATATTGTAGCTTATGCAAGTACTTTAAATTTCTTTACGAACACGAATTTATTATATTATTTACATAGTTTCGAGATTCGTTATTTAAGTAAATTGTTCACAATTCCGGCACGCGAGCCATCTCGCATTGAGAGTGTCCATGGGCAGCGGTATGACTTCAACAGGTCATCCTCCTGCCCCCTATTCTATAAAAAGACCATACCTATGCATTACAATTGGAATCTGGGACCCTATTAAGTAAAACATACCTGTGTCAGGGTTTCCAGCTCTTCCATAAACCAATCACAATATAAAGACGTACATTTTACCGAAATACAATTAAAACACCTTTTATAACATTTTTTGTTACTTTTTACAATTCAATAAATAACTTTCACCAATCATGGTCAGCTATAGAGTATTCACCGATTCTTTCGAAGAACAGCTGTGAAAGACTTAAGGCCTTATCCCAGCACGAATTGCTGTGTCAGTGGAGAGCTGGAGCACTGAGGCGTGCCGTAATAACAATTAGTTATGTAAAACATTAAATTAATGTATCTTTATAATTTTTTTT